TATGCTAGAGTCTTTCTTTGCTCTCTGCCAACACTGAGCATCATATGTCGTTCCCAATGTCCTGCAGCGGAGAGTTTTCGTATGTGATACGACGCACAACTATGTTCGTGTTACCAACAGAAACCCTTTCTCCCAGCTGATTGCATTTCATTTCAAAAAGGATGCTGGTGCATTGCATAGTTGCTTTTTCTCTGCGCGTCGCTCATTTGGTTCGCGTGCAAAGCACACAGACGCAACTGCATGAGTAGCAAGCCACGCGACGAGAGAGCGGTGAATTCTCATGGTCATTTATTCAGACGCGTGGTGCAGATAGGGCTCGGATAAAAGTGACGCTGATTATGCTCGGCGAAGATGAAGACGTACGAACAGAAACGAAAAAGAAAAAGAAAGAAAAGAAAAGAAGGAAAAAAAAAAGTTAGACAAGGAGCGGAGAGGGAAGGAGGGCACAGTCCAAAGAAGTGGCCGACAAAAGTCATTCGGACGGGAACTGACAAAAACATCGGAATTCTATAGCTGTCCGCGGTATATCTCCGAGAAATGTGGGCTTGGCCATTCAAGCGTTTTGGCAGTCGTAGCATATACTCCGTGCGAACATCACCACGAGAGATGTCACAAGATATCAGCTGCGGTGACTTCTTCTCCGACCTAGGAAGCGACGACCTGTTGCGGTAAGCGGGGCAAAAGGATGTTGTTAGCTCCTTCCTGCTGACAACTTCAAAAGACATCGTCACGACACGGCAAGGACGACTCTTCTACTCTTTCCCGATGTGGCGTCTCCTATGAGCTAGATGTCCTTAAGAGCTCCTGACATGATTTTTGTTTATTTTTTGTTTCATTTTTGACATTTGATGAAGACACTTACACATCCGATTTTGGTCAGCTTGCGGGGGAGCAAGGCGTGGCGCGCCAAATTCCACAAGTCACAAGCCGCCGGTTAAATGCAAACAGCCGCTGTCGGCCACCGGAGCGATCTGGTGCGAGTGGGAGAGCTCGACCTCGACCTCCAGCGACTCAGCATCCACGGCCAAGATGGTTCGATAACAGCCGGTGGCCTGCTTTAAAGGCCGGCGTTCCTCGTCTCTCTCCCCTGTTTGCCAGTCCTCGCTTCGCTCCTTACTCGCTCTTCCTTGCGATTCCATACTGCTTGCTTCGCCCACAGCATTCATCGCGTCACCATGCCTCGCGTTCGCAACCCCATCCTGCCCGGCTTCAATGCCGACCCTTCCATCCTTCGGGTCGGCAAGGACTACTACATCGCCACATCCACGTTTGAGTGGTACCCGGGCGTCCAGATCCACCACTCGACCGACCTGGCCAACTGGACGCTCGTCAGCCGGCCGCTCAACCGCGCGGCGCAGCTCGACATGCGCGGCAACCCGGACAGCTGCGGCGTGTGGGCGCCGTGCCTGACGCACGACGGCAGCGAGTTTTGGCTCGTGTACTCGGACGTCAAGCGCAAGGACGGCAGCTTCAAAGACTCGCTCAACTACATTGTGCACGCGCCCACCATCACGGGGCCATGGTCGGACCCCGTGTTTGCCAACGCCTCCGGCTTCGACCCCTCGCTGTTCCACGACCCGGACGACGGCCGCAAGTGGTTCGTCAACATGCTGTGGGACCACCGCCGGCGGGCGGGCGGGCCGCAGAACCGCACGATGTTTGCGGGCATCATCTTGCAAGAGTTTGACCCCAAAGCCGGGCGCCTTGTGGGCCCGCGCAAGAACATCTACGGCGGCACGGCCCTCGCGCTGACCGAAGGCCCCCACCTGTACAAGCGCAACGGCGTGTTCTACCTGCTGACGGCCGAGGGCGGCACGGGCTACGACCACGCGGTGACCCTGGCGCGCTCGACGAGCGGCAGCGTGTGGGGGCCCTACGAGGACCACCCCGACAAGTACATCCTGACCAGCAAGGACCACCCGCTGACGGCGCTGCAGCGGGCGGGCCACGGCGACATTGTGGACGTGGAGCAGCCGGACGGGTCGCTCAAGCCGCACGTGGTGCACCTGTGCTCGCGGCCCGTCACCCAGAAACGCCGCAACGTCTTGGGCCGCGAGACGGCCATCCAGCCGGCCCATTGGGGCGACGACGGCTGGCTGTACCTGGACAACGGCATCCTGCCCTCGCTGTACGTGGACCTGCCCGGCGCGCGCGACGACGACCCGGCCACGAGCGCGTACTGGCAGCCCAAGACGTACACGTGGAAGGACGCGGACCTCGCGGCGGTCGACTACAGCGCCATCAACGGCGCGGTGGCGTCCAAGCTGCACCCGGACCTGCAGTGGCTGCGGCTGCCGGACCCGTCGCGCCTCTTTTCGATTGCGGGCGGCCAGCTCGTGCTGCACGGCCGCGAGTCCATCGGGTCGTGGTTCGAGCAGGCGCTCGTGGCCCGGCGGCAGACGCACTTTTCGTTCGACGCCGAGGCCGTGCTCGACGACTACCAGCCCGAGGACGAGCGCCAGTTTGCCGGGCTGACGGTGTACTACTGCCGGTACAACTTTTTCTACTTGACGGTGACGGCGGCGACGCCCGAAGACGCGGGCGTGTTTCCCAAGGGCGACCAGAAGCCCGGCCGCGAGCTGCAGCTCCTGACCTCGGAGGCGTCGTTTCCCAACGGCACGCTCGAGACCCCGCTGGCGCCGGGCGTGCCGCTGCCGGCCACGGGCAAAGTGCGGCTGGCGGCGCAGGTGCGCGGTGGCCAGAAGCTGCAGTTCCTGTACGCGACGGAGGCGGACCCGGAGCTCAAGCCGGTCGGCCCCGTGTACGACGCATCGATTGTGTCGGACGAGTGCGGCGGGCACCCGGTGCACGGCAGCTTTACGGGCGCGTTTGTGGGCATGGCGGCGTCGGACCTCAACGGCACGGCCCTGGACGCGCGGTTCGACGAGTTTGTATACCGGCCGCAGCATGACCCGCTGGACCGGTACGATGTATAGATTGTGGACATCCTGTTGCAGCAGTTTGAACTGATGGAACTGATGGAACTGAATATATATTTTTATTTTTATTTTTATTTTTTGATTTACTTGACGTATTTGATTCATTTACGCTTGACACTTTCTTACTGGATCACACATTGGATGAGCCGCCGTCTGACTTGTGTTAGAGAAGATGGTTGAAGGGAGCGGAAAGGGGGAGGGAGGTACTCACCGATCAGGATGGTCGTGCCGTTGGCGTAGTCGGCGCGCACCGCATACAGGTAGGCCTCGGCAATGTGGTCGGGGGTCGCCACAAAGCCGACACTCAGCGCCTCGCTGCCCTTGCGGAACGTCTCCGCCTGCGCCTCCTTGCTCTGGCCCAGCTTGTCCCACAGCTCCGTCTGGACCAGGCCGGGCACCACGGTGTTGACGCGCACCTTCTTGTTCGTGCCGCCCGGCGCGCCCTGGGCCAGCTCGACGGCCAGGCCCTGGGTCAGGTTGATGACGCCGGCATTGAGCGCGCCGCCCAGCACGGCGCCGGGGCGCGCGCGCAGGGCCGCGGCGCCGGACGTGAGCGTCAGGGAGCCGCCGGGGCGGATGATGTCGTGCTTGACGAGAATCTTGCCGACGACAATGCTGCCCCAGAACTTGACGCCGAACAGGTGCTTGGCGTCGTCCAGGTTGGCGTCGGCCAGGGGGCCGCGGATGATCTGGTCGACGGCCGAGAAGACGACGTGGTCCACGGGCGCCAGGGCCTGCAGGGCGGCCGTGAAGGCGGCCTCGTCGCGGACGTTGGCGACGACGCCGGCCGGGGCCACGGCGGACGCGCCGCCGACCTCAACGACCGTCTTGCTGAGCCGCCGGACGGCGTCGGCGACGCGCTCCTGCGACGACGACACAATGGTGACGTGCGCGCCGACGGCAATAAACGCCTCGGCGGCGCCGAAGCCGATGCTGTTGCAAAGGGTCAGTTGTGTGCGCGGAGTGCATGCAGTCGTGCAAGTCGGGCAAGTCGTGCCAGTGGGTGCGCACGGCGCGCGGAACTCACCCCGACGAGCCGCCAATGACGACAATCTTCTTGCCGACGAGCTTGTCTGTGTAGCCCATGGTGAGACGTGCGGTGCGGGTGTGTGGTAAACGTTGGGGCGTTTTGGGAGGCGTTTTTGGGGCGTCGTCGTGATGTGCGACTCGATGCAATTTTCAAAGGTCGGCGCTGGATTATGTGCGCGATCGCTTGCCGATGCCGTCTATTTAAGAAGAATCACCACAGACCGTCGGCACATGGTTGGAGACACCCTCGAGACTGATGTGCTTCGATCTCGCAATCGCGCCTGCAGACGTGGTTTGTCAGCCAAGGTGCGAGGCTCTGGTACTCTGGTCAGGGCCTGATCGAAACGAACTGCACTCGTCGGCACGACATCGGAGCCCCCATACTTTCGATGCGGAGTTTTCAACCAGGGAACAAGTGTGCGGCATGTGGTGGTTGAGGCATCGGTCATGCTAGTTCGTTTCCTGCCAAAGTCGCCATCTGGCCCGCAATGGCGTTTCTGGCCTAGATCGCCGGGAACAGAAACAACACTTGCGTTTGACGAAATGTTTCAAGAAATAGAAGGGGATGAGACACTTTTTCAAGATGCGACAAGTCTAGTCTGTAGAATATGACCAAAGAAGTCGTGTTCTTTAAGGTGTCTTTTGAAGTTATTTATTTCGTCTTATTTTCACTTTATCTTAAATCATTACTATACTATCACCCACAAACGTCTTTCGTACCTCAAACGAAAACCGTGTTCTTTTTTCTCACAGTGCCTCATTTCTCAAAACCACAATGACAAAACACAAGACACAATGACACATTTGGTGAGTCTTTCGATAGGAGAGCGTTCACCCCCGTCTGCGGCCCTTTTTTCCAGGGCAGTTCGGCACTAACCTTCAAGGCACGTCACAGGCGCTGCTACGGTCTGCGTCATGACTTCACGGCCAGTGGGGAGGTAGAGGACGGCAGATAAGATGTAATTACAGAATACTGTGCAAAGCATGAGACGGGTTTCTCGTTTTTTTCGTAGACGACTACCCTTGTCTTTCATGTCCATACGCACCTCTACATCACACAGCCCATCCCACCTGTCTGCCTTGGTGAGGCACCCGTTGCGCCACGAGACCGTCAGGAACCGCCAGGAACCGCCTAAGGGGATCACAAGGGCCCCGCTGCCAGTGGAGTTCAGCCAATTAGCTAACACGCTGGCCACACTGACGAAGCTCAGGTGGAGGCACCGCCCACCCTCTGACACCAACCACAGCACTGGCCAGCACACGGCCGCCGAAGACAGTACACCAAATCCACTAATCTCAACACAAAATCGGTCCTGGAGACTTCACCAGTAATTATGATACTGAATGAGTCAGTCCGCTGAATGTGCGCTTCGAGGACGACAACGACAGAGGATGGAAAGACGAGACGAGGCCGGCTGAAAGGAATCAGCGCCTGACGATCCCAGCACAGGACCAAGACGCCTCGCAAACCATTCTCAAAGTAGTCGCAGTCAAAATAAAGTTTGCTGTGTTGACTCTGCCATTGCGGCACAGCCACTAAACCAAGGCCTGAAGCGCCCGTGCCTGCGCTGTCTCCATACGCCTAGCCATATTCGGTCCCTGCCTGATACACCCCTGTCTCAACTGGCGTGCCCGCGATATATATCATCGCCGAGTCTCAGACGCCGTGAGCCTTGATTCATGTCGTCCACCTTTACCAACACACACTTTGCGCTTCCCTGAATCGCTCCGCTAGCTTCATACTTGTCCTGCTACTGCATTCAAACTATTACCGTCTGTGTTGCATCACCAGCTTCAAGTCGTACCACCCGAGACTTGGTGATTGTTCCTGGATCCTTCTAATTCGCCAACTTCCTCCCAAACTCCCCGTTTCTACATTAGTCACGACGTCCCATCCATCCACGAAGCTCACAATAATGGCCCTTGCCTTGCATTCCTCGGCCTCGGACGATCCTTCGCCCCCGGGCGTCGAAACATCCTACCTCTTGGAACGGTGTGATGGCCGTCCGCCCTTCCTCGATGCCTTTTCCAGCACCCACTCCGACCTCACCGACCTCGTCGCCCACAACCGCCACCTCCCGCCCTCGGGCACCCAGCGCCACAACTGGCAGCATGGCCGCAGCAAGGCCCGCCTGACCGAACTGCGCGTCGCCATGTTGCGGGACCGCTTCGGTGACGAGTACTACAACCACTCCTACAGCGACAAGACCCAGACGAGCGAGGCGTACCTGGCCCGACACGGCGCCCTCGACGTCTGGCCGCGCAAGCTGCGGCCGCACCAGATCCGCCTGCTGCAGCGGTGCATCACGGCCGCGCCCCGGCGCTGGCACGAGAGCGGCCAGTTCCACGGCATGTACAGCGGCCGCGGCCATGTCCGCGGCCAGCGCGAGTCGGTGCGCGATGCCTGCCTCAACGCAGCGTACGTCGACCAAGCACGCCCGCCATGTCCCGCCCGCGCGCGGCGCACCACCCACCGTCCACCCAGTCTCGAGCGGCAGGGCGCCTTCTGCGACGCCACGACGGCCAAGAGGCGCTTGTCGGAGAGCGACCGTGGTCGGGGTGGCGGCAATCCGGACGACGACCTGTACCGTCTGGGTCTGCTGTACGACAGCGAACACGCGTGTGGTGCGGATTTCGGGCTGGACTCGATTGTGCACGACGCGCCGGTGTACTCCATTTCCATTTCGCAGGGTCGGCCACGCGGTCGGGCTCGGGGCCGCTCGTGCGGGCCAGACGCGTTTCATGAGATCGCTGAGGCTGAGGCCGAGGCCGAGGCCGCGTCGGATGAATTTGGTGCCGGCCTTGCGCCGAGCACCGACCGCAACGTCGACCCCACACTCCCCGAGCTTGGTCTCTCCTTGGCCAACCTGGCCGACGATGCCGCGCTGGCTCGCTTCCTGCACGACGAGGAGATGACTGCGTACCTGGCTGCCAATCCAGAAGGGGATGCCGAAGTTGCGTCCGACCTGCACGCGCTCCCTTCGACCTCGCCAATGCACGTCATTTATGAACTCGCTCCCGAGGTGGCGATGGCGGCTGACACTGGTGTCTACGCAGATTCCAGTTGCGACTCTTGTTCCGGCTCCGACGCCGGCGACTGGGTCGTGGACATGGACACGCTCGAACCGAGCGTCTCTGAATGTGTCGACGATGCCGATGCCGATGTCGACAACGACAGCAATCCTGATGAGACCTGGCTGCTCCTCCGACCTTGAGTTCCTTGAAATCCAGGAAACCAGAAAGAAACACTTCAACGACGGCTCGTAGCAAGTCCTGCCATGGTCGAGAGAGCAGTCTCCAAGACTCCCTTAGAAAGACACTGCTCCTGCGACTGGCATCCCCCATTCGGACTGGCCCTCACCCTGTGAAGTCTATCTTTACTCAAACAAGACAAAAGGAACTCATTCAAGCGACTATCAAACCAAAGTGTCCGGTGGACATGCAGCTCGACGGTGAGGACGGAAAACAAAAGAAGAAACGGACAAGTCGGAATAGCAACCGCTCATCTTTTTGGTGTGCTCAGTTTGAGGCGACTCGACTTTGAGCTCCTTGAGATTGGCTGCTTTCTGTTTGAATGTCTTCTCGTCCACCACTCACGCCACAAGCACCGGGAGACAGTCTCGCGTCGTTGTGACATCCCGCATACATCAAAACGCCCAGTCACCAGACGGAGACTGCTCTTTATTTCCTTTTGTGTTCTTTTGTTTTGTTTCCTTTGTATTATGATGACTTGTATTTGTACTGAGCGTCATGGGCCTTTGCTTTTATTGTACTTTTTGCTTTTCTCTTCCTCGCACCACTTGTCCTCCTAGCGTTTTCTGTTCCTTTACCTTTTTTCACATATATTCAACATGTATTTTTAGTTTTCACATTTGTCAATACATCATACCCTATCTAGCCTGCTTTAGTTATCTTGTAACTGTATTACCGTTCAGTATATTACTGGTTTATATGGGTGTATTTATATAGGAGTACTCTGTATTTTCGATTCAGGAGAAAAAAATTGTATATTCAAGACACTCGTTTCTGGCTCTTCTACTGCAGAGAAAAGTCGAATACCGAGCGTTCGCGGGGGGACATCTAATAAATATTATGAAAAAGAAAAGCAGCAGGTCTGAAAATGACCACCGGGAGAGCCGTCGTAGCAGCCTCCAGACCAACTAAGACGAGAACCGGTCTTGAACGCCAAACAGTGAGAAAGTAGCAAAGAAAGAAAAATGAAAATGAAAAGGAAAATGGAAGGCGCCCCCAAAACAAATCAGATCCAATGAATGAAATCCAAAACAGTATATGATGTATATACCCTTTCCATATTAAAATCAAGTTGTCGTTTTGTCCAAGCGTCTGCCTTTTGTATCCCAAAGAAGTACGCCTTGTATTGTTATTGGTTGTCGTCGCTGTGGTCGTCGTTCGGTTGTAGTATTTTTATTCTACCGAGCGGCGGATGCGTAAAGAGATCCCCCACAAAAAATGAAGGGACATTTAAAAGAGCAATTTTCAACGCGTAGAGTTGAGTTCCGAAAGACATGGGGCGGCCTTACAGACAGCATTGGTACTCGGTCGCGTCCAAGTCGTTGAACAGGTGCGTGCGCGCGCCGTCGTCGGGGACCTCAAAGGAGCTGCCGCGGTACCGGCCAGTTATGTCGCGGTGGTTGCCGACGGTGGACGAAAAGGCGCTGCCCTGGACACCGATGAAGAAGCGGCTGCGCGCCATGATGCCCATGTCAATGGCGCCCTGGAAGTCAAAGGCCATCTTGTTGATCAGGCCGGCGGTCTCGGTGTCGTCGTTGAGCGTGGCGAGCTGCCACTTGTGCGTGGTGGACCAGCCGCGCTCGGCGGCGGCCTTGGAGAACATCTCAATCTGCTCCTGGTCGCCGCAGGCCAGGTAGACGGGGGGCTTCTCCTCGCCATAGTTGCCAAACATGTCCCAGGCGCGGTCGAGGGCGTCGAGGTCGACGCCGAGCTGGTGCTCGGGCGAGCTCCAGATGCTGTCGTTCTCGGCGCGGAAGTGCACGCCCATGTAGTTGCCGGCGTTGGGCAGGCGGTCGACGAGGCGCTGGACGACGGTGCGGACGTCTTCGCGGAAGCGGATCAGGTGGGACAGCTCGGTCCAGAGGCGCAGGTCGCGGCGCGTGGGGTCGTCGGTGATGCGGAAGACCAAGAACTCCGAGTCAATGTTGACGAGCGTGATGCCGCCGTTCTCGACGACGGGCTCCGGCAGCTTGGCCTCCTCTTCGGCCAGGCGGTCCATGTGGATCTTGAACTGCTCGCGGAAGAACTTGCTGTACGGCCGGCCGACCCAGAAGTAGCTGTGGAACTTTTCGTAAAAGGGCACCTCGGAGCACAGGATCTCGAACCGGCGGCGGACGGCGACGGTGCCGCCCTTGTCGGGGTTGATGTCGTCGGGGTGGAGGATCTTCATCTTGGGGCAGGCCTCGGCCATCTGCGTGCGCAGGTGGTCCATGTCATACCACTCGTCGTAGGGCATGTAGGCGTCGCCGTTGAAGAAGTTGAAGTCGAGCAGGTTCTTGGAGTCGCGCAGGGGCATGGTCGGCAGCAGTATGTGCGAGCCGGTCTCGATGGCCATCTTGAAGCAGACCTTGACCTGGGACATGATGGAGGTCATGCCGGCCGTGATGGCGACGCAGTTGACATAGGCCTCGTTCTCCTCAAAGTCGGCGGCCGCGCAGGCCGCGCGGAGCTCGGTGAAGGGAAAGATGGGCGGCTTCTCGGCGCCAAAGACCTGGTCAAAGTAGTTTTGGACGTGCTTGGAGGTGGAGGCGCCGGGCTTGCCGCTGCCTACGACGCCGGTGATGGACTCCTTGGCGGAGTTCCAGGCATCGGCAGGATAGGACTGGTATTCGCCGAGCGGCAGGAGCTTGAAGCTCCAGATGAGGACGAGGGCGAGGAGGAGGGAGGTCGCGAGACCAGAACGACGGCTGAACATGATTACGGCGTCGTGAGCATTCTTTGGTGGAAAAGACGTCCAAGACGCGGTGGGAGGGTTCGACAGTCAATGTCGGTACGGAGGGTCTAGGGTTTGTCGGCTGGAAAAGCAGTTGAATTTATGGGACGAAACGAAACGAAACGAAACGCGCGGCGTGTTTGGATGGACGGGAGAGCGAGTGACGGGACGAAACGACCGAGGGATGCGCGTCGCTGTTGGAAAGCTGCAATGGCTGGAAACACGGAAAAAGGGTCGTTGTCGAGCGGAGGGAGCCGAAGAAAGGGAGAACACGAAAAATGGGAGGGTGGGGAGAAAAGAAAAAGATTGGAGATATAAAAATAGGGAGGAAAACGGTGAAAAGGAGTGGCAAGAAGTGCCAAACGAGAGAATGGGAAGTGGCTTCGGCACGATCAATATTGAGATCAGAAGCTAGATCAGAAGCAAAAAAATGGTTTGGTTCAAAAAAGGCTGAGGAGAAAGGGGTTAGGGGAGACCAAAAGAGGCTCCAGGAGCAACAGAAAGAAAACGAAGCAGTATGTAAAAAGACCGATGCAGACAGATGTAGGCGCATTTGCGCCGTTTCCCATGCCCACTGGCTTGGAACTGGGAAGTTACGCCCAGGAGGTTGGCGAGATTGGCCACTCCTTCCCTGCTGGTGGGCGATCTCCAATTTTTTTTGGTGTACCTTCCGTGGTGAATGGCGCTGTGTCATCAATCCAACGCAGGAGCTAAGAGCGCCACGCATAAAGTACTGGGTACATTATATTGTCACTCACTGTACGCGAAACGCATACCGAATACGAGGCGCTACGCACTTGTCGCTTGTACCCTATACTCAGCACAGGATTGTGATACTTTACGGATAGGGAAACCCAGAGATATGATACCAGTCAGCGCAACCGCGAACAGTTGAGGACGTGACTACGACGAACGGAGTACAACAGGGGATGATGGTAAGTGTGCGCGAGGATTCTGATGCACATATTGCGAAGCATTGGCAGGACGCGCGCTGCGACGGCGAGTCAGCGATGCGTAATTTACACAGTAAATAGCCTCTGTAAGGCTGGAAGCGAACCACACATCAATCACGTCAAGAAACGAGAAGGAGCGACGGGGGGGCGGGCACTCTGGGAAATAAAGAATACGAAGCCCCTCGGACCTTCCGCGACGCACCAGAGGCAGTGTCACAGTGGAATCAAAATTGTGTGTTGGCCGTCCGGAGGAAGGAGCGAACCACAACCATTTCTACGCATGAGTATTCCGGAGTGTAATTTTGTTCCGGTTTGGTTCCTTGAGTTGCGTCAAAACTTTGCGGAAGAGGAAGACGAGGGAGGCTGCGCAATAGCACCATGGAAACCCCCATGGAAATGGGTTAATGAAGTTAATGTAGGACCTGCGACCTGGAACGCCCAAGGAATCGACACGAGCAAAAGAGTGGAGACTGCCAGGGAAAAGGGAGCTAGCGGCCAGGGCAGACGAAAGAATAGGGGCAGAGGGGGAGCGCGTCATTGTCGACTTTGGGGGGGGGGGGTTTGGGCGGTTTTGGCGGGTTTGGTGGGGGTTCTCAGGAGAGACCGCGTCTGCATCAGCGCTGCACCAAAGAGACGGATTGGAGATGGATTGGAGACGGATCTGTTGGTCGACAACCTCGACAATGGGTGTAGTTCTAGCAGCATGAAAAGGAAAAAGTGTAGGATCTCTACGGAGTACAGAGACTCGAGAGCTGCCGTTACTTTTCACGTGCATTTTTTGCCTTTTTGGCACATCCCGAGATCTGTTGAACGTTTGCTGATGTGGTTTTTATAGATGACCGTTTCCCGTCATTTTTTCATTTTCCGCGTCGTCTGCTTCTCCGTTCTGCTTTCTCGTATTGTTCATCTCACTGACAGGAGCGCGTGCGGGACAATGTAACCACAACCATAGTGTATGATCCATGGCATTTCTTGGCCCTGCATTGTCGAGATTATGTTCTTTGATTCTGTACACCATCCTTCGACGACCCCTTTGACAACGTGTCCAAGACGCACGGGGTTTTTTGGGTACGCTTGATGGGCAATCTAACAGGGGTTGAGATGAGTCCATGAGAGCCAATAATAGGATTCGTAGGGCTGCCTCATTTCTGAGCGGAAAGTGCGCAGTAACTACGACGTAGATCATCCGTTCTGGTCCGACTTATCTGCTTCTGGACACGATGAGTCTCACGCCATTCCCTGCTGTTCGGGAACTCTTCCGTTCCGTGAAAACGGTTTATTTGTTTCGTGGCCGGCGGTCTAGACTCTCCCGTCGTTTTCTTTTATGCCTCGGGACCTGCGGTTCCTTATGACGTACAAACAAAAGTAGTTGGCCCAACAGTCTTGACAGCCTTGCCATTGAATCACGAATCCGAGAGAACGAGACGAGGCAAGAGATACGACAGTCCGATAAGTATGCTGCATGCCCTCGTGGCAGGTAAACTTATAGGATATCACATCGTCCATTACCAGTCAGATTTTTTTTAATAAAAAGAGCGACTAACATGCAATACCGTTATGTTACTTGTCCATGTTAACCCCACGCGGTGTTGTCTGTTGAGGGCCGTTAGTCGACAAGATGCGGCAGCTCATAGCTGATATCATCGTAGAGGCTCAGTAAGAATGGTATGTATAAAAAAGGGAAGACGGCCAGGAAAGAAAATGCAAAAACTAACGTGAATGGACAGGGACAAAAAAAAAGCGAAGTATGGCTGGACTTGAGGGTGTGACTCTTGGATGTCGTTCGCATCTATCGCATTATCTTTTGGTATAATTCATCCGTCGGTCGATTTCCAGCCCGCACATGTCAAGCAAAGGGCGTGCGTCGGCAGGGCGTACGTCCCTCTTCCAAAGCAACATGGAAATAAAGAAGGCCGCTAGAAGCGCCCATAACTGGTAGCCTCGGGACTTTGAACGGCGGAAGAACGAAGAAGAGGGGGTCGTAGCCTGCAGCCATCGTCAAAGGCAGACAGAATGGCCCAATCGAGAGCGGCCGAAACAAATCATTGCCGGAAAGAAGAGTGCTGTGGGAGAAGAAGGAGGGTTCACTGCGTCGGCTTTGACTCATCGACAAGAATAACGTCCGAAACCAGAGGGGCCGATTCACGGCCGCCCAGACGGTTGTAGCTCGCCAAATGCACCACGAGAAAGAGGGGAATCCCGCTGTTAGCCGCGTCTAGTCGGGAAGGCCTGGGCAGCTGTGAACGCACATCTGCTGCAGGTCAATTGGGGAAACATGTAGGACGACGCACCTGTTTTTCGATGCGTCACAAAGTGTCGATAAAGCGGAGCTTTCTCTTTTGTGACTCGCACAGAGCATTGCATATATAATGGGCCCGGCCCGTCGAGAGTAGAAAGAAAGAAAAAGGTTTCGTGGAGACAACGACGAGACTGAAACTTGTTCGTCTCTTGTCGTCGTCGTCCGCAACTCCCCTCCTCGCCCACACCCATCTCCATCATCGTCAATATGGGATCGACTGCCACCGACTCGGCCCCGGCCCCGACCGGCAAGGTCGCCTTTGGCAAGCCCATGCGCGCCCTCTTCCCCTTTGCCCCGACCTACCGCAACCTCAACCATGGATCGTACGGCACCTATCCCTCTGCCATCGGCGCCGTCCGCGCCCAGTTCCTCGCCGACCACGAGGCCCGCGCCGAAATCCACAAGCGCCTGGACTGCCCGGAGCTGGTCCGCAAGGCCCGCGTCGCGTTCCAGCCGCTGCTCGGCGACAACGTCAATATCAACGAGGTCGTCATGGTCGCCAACGCCACCACCGGTGTCAACGTGGTGCTGCGCAACCTCGCGGTTAACTGGTCCGCCCCGGTGCCGGACGCGGGCGATGCCGTCCTCTACTTCACGTCCATCTATGAAGCGTGCGACAAGACCCTGCAGAGCCTGGCCGAGGCGGGCCGCGTGCACAACGTCAAGGTCCATGTGTCGTTCCCGGCCGACGACGACGACGCCGTCGTGCAGAAGCTGCGCGACGCCTACGCGGCCGCCACCGCACGCGGCCTCACGGTGCGCCTCGCCATCTTTGACACCATCGTGTCCGCGCCCGGTGTGCTGCTGCCGTGGGAGCGCCTGGTGGCCGCGTGCCGCGAGCTCGGCATCCTGTCGCTGCTCGATGCCGCGCACGCCATTGGCCACCTTGACCTGACGCACCTGGGCGACCCGGACGTGTCACCCGACTTTTTCGTGTCCAACCTGCACAAGTGGCTGTTTGTGCCCCGCGGCTGTGCCATGCTGTACGTGCCCTTCCGGAACCAGCACCTGCTGGCCACGAGCCTGCCGACGTCGCACGGGTACCAGAAGCCCGGCCAGCGGGGCGACCAGTCCACCGAGGCGCTCCGGGCGCTGTCCACGGCGTCGTCGCCGCCGCCCGACACCTACTTTACCAATCTCTTTGCCGAAGTGGGCACGCTGGACTACTCCCCGTGGCTGTGCGTCCCCGCCGCCGTCCAGTTCCGCGAGGAGGTGTGTGGCGGCGAAAAGGCCATCCGCGACTATTGCTTTGATCTGGTGCGAAAGGGCAGCGACCGCGTGGCCGCCAAACTCGGCACCGAGGTCATGGACAACCCGCGCAGCAACATACGCGCGTGCTACCTCAACAATGTGCGCCTACCGTTCAAGGTCTCCTCCGACGGCAACGATGACACCGACCCCGAGGCCGTGCCGCTCAACCGGTTCGAGGAAATGCTCGGCTGGTTGACGGCCTACTCCGCCAAGAAGTACGACACGTACTTCCGCATCACATACTATGAGGGCCACCCCTGGGTGCGTCTGAGCGGCCAGGTCTATCTCGAACCGGAGGACTTTGACTGGGCGGGCGACGTGCTGCTGGATCTGGTCGCGCAGATCAAAACGGGCGACTGGAAGAAGAAGGCTGACTAACCAAGAGCCGCGGGTGACGATAAATAATCATTTCAACGAAAGTAAACGATGGCTTGGAGAAACTATCCCATACCAAATCATATCTCGTTCCAATAGAGAAGACATGCCAATACATACGTCAATCGTTATACGCGCGAGACATCAAGAAAACGAGATGAAAAGAAACACAAGAACAGTGCAGAATCGATGACAACTAAACATTTCAGATCAATGCCACCAACGTGGCCCAAAATGCGTGTTGAAAGCCCGAAACGAGACAACAACCGAGTACATCGCATGTTGAGCGTCACCATCAGCCAGAGTTGTCCGTCTCGGAGCCCAATAATCTTGTGAAACTCTGTCGTGCTGTAGGAGATACTCTCACGTATCGTCCCCAAACTGGTTGTCGTCGTCGACATAATCGATGCCTTCCACTTCAGCGCCTTGGAGCCGCGCCGCCATGCGCTTGATGATTTTGCGGTCCGGCCGCATCGCCGCGAATGTCATCGGCGTCGTCAACACCCGTGCACCAGAGAGGCCGCCGCCGATGTTGCTCTTCTTGGACGCACCCCCGCCGCCTCCACCGGACATCAGCGCCTTGATTACTTGCAGTTGCCGCCCGGCCAGTTTCCACACGATGCTTCGCCTGTAGAGCATGCGGAACGCTTGGCTTGCTCGGATCAACGCCCAGTGGCTATATTCAGGATCGGCGAGGTAACCTTGCTGCAGAATCTGCGGGATTGTCTCGGCGCCTGCGTCCAGTTCCTTGAGAAGAGGAGCCTTCTTTCGAAGTCGGGAGGCGGGTGAGCCGGTAGCAGGCGAACCCGCCACGGCCGTCGATGAGGCATTGGCCGACATCGTCGGAAGGCGCACCGTGATGTCGCACCATTGCTGGTACACCTGGAGGAACCGTTGTCGGTAACCTGGGTCGTCGAATGCGTTGCCGCGGTTGCCTGAACCCTGCCCCCATTCCTTGATCTCTTCCTGCCAGCTCGCGTGAACAGCCAGTATGTCGCTTTTGAGCGTCTCGAAGATTTCGTTGCACACGGCCGACTTCGCTGCGAGGGCCTCAAAATCCTTGGCTGGTTCTGCTAGGTCCGCATCCCAGTAGCTGTTGTCGTGTCGTTCGCCAGCGGCATTGTCACGATTGCACATAACCTCGCGCATGTCGCTCAACGCCCGCAGTTCGCGCTGGATAATGGGCTCGGCCACGTCGAATTTGAGAAAGTCAATAATGTGGTCCATCTTCTTTGCACGCGCGCTGCGGCTTGTGCACTTGTACGCTGGTTTGTCCAGCCGCTTCGGTGCTGGCGAGCCCTCCTGGAGCCCCTCCAGCAACTCGACGCGCAGTCGGTCAAGGTCCTTGTCGGTAAAGTCGTTGCCCTGTTTGGCCTGGTCCACGAGGTCGCTCAATAGCGTGCTCAGCAGATTGGCCGTCTTGTCGCCGATGCTGCCGCGCATATAGCACAGGCCTTCCTTGTACACTGTCAGCCTGCCGAGGAGATTCTCCCTTGTGTTGAATGCAAAGCTGCGCTCAATCATGTCAGCCATGACCGGCGGCGGCAGATCCGCATCACCGCCAGCCCCAGGGGCCGGGGCTGTGAGTTGATCCAGCGTTGTGCGAATCTTTCGCATGTAACCCATCTCCACAAGGTCGTACTTTGGCGGCAGGGGCGCGTTCTCAAAGTTGCTCACGATGCGCGGGTCCCAGCAGACCCATGCCAGGTCGCCATCGTAGTCGCCTCCCGACAGCTTGTCCGCCAGCGGGCTGTTGCCTTTGCTCGAGAAGACGATGACGTCCTTGAGTGCGCAAAGCTCTTGTCGGAACACGGCGCGCACCTTTTGCATGTCACTCGTAAAGTGTGCAGGGACCCGCGCCACGAGCACGTCCGTGCCAACGAGCAGGGTGTCCGAGAACGAGCCGTCGTCGCCATGCTCGTCTGGCTCCGAGTCTGGTTCGACTTGGAACTTGGACGAGAAGCAGACCTGCACCTCTCCTTCCTCCAATACGCCCATGAAATCGACCACCATGAGCATGTAGGCCGTCCGGCCCACTCGGATGCTGAGCCTCTCGCTGAGCTTTTCACACCGCTGTTTTTGCATCTTGTACGCCATCTCCCACAGGAACCTCTGGGACAACGGGTCAAAACCACCTGCAAGTAGGAACTGAATGGCGTCCTCGTCTCTATCCGGAAGGCCGCCCAGAAACGGTACCTGGCAGTGGACGACATGGTCTTTTCGGTATTGAGCATTTTCGTATGCCCACGAGGCGAAGAGCAGCGGACTCTCGAGGGCTTCACGCTGCTCGGCTAGGTCACGTGTGAGGCCGCCCTCAAGGATGCCACCGAGAACGCGGCGCACGCGAGCCTTGTCGATGGCACGATCTTCCAGCAGGGAGATGAACTGCAGGTTGAGGCTTGCGGATCGCGCTTCCGATGCATACGTGCAAATCTCCAGCGTTCTGTGGCCGGCATCCAAGCCATCGCATTGCCACTTGCGTTGGGCAGGGTATGTTTCGATCCAGTCCTCTCGGCCAATGTCCTCCGTGTCTAGGATCCACATGCCTTTGGCGCTGCCTATGCGCCCCTGGACAGCCACCGGCAGGTCGCTGAGTTCCAGCGCGGAGCGTAGCTTGCGGGCCACGCTCAAGGACATGCGGGCCACACCGTCATTCATCACTACCCCTGTTGGAGACAGAAGATCCTTTTCGTGATGTATGATTTGACTCGGCTCAAACACAACGGTGGCCCGGGTCCGGCTGAGACCAAGTGCGATGCGAGAGAATAGCTTGAGGTACGGCTGCTTCCGGTTGCCTGGGTACTTGTTGCATTGCAGGAGCCAGTCCAACATTTGGTGCACGCGCAGTGGAGACGCAACTTGAGCTGGGGCGGACACCGGCCCGTCCCCCACACCGGCACCCATGCTGGCGGCCGCCGCCGGTTGTGAAGACGGAGAGAGACCGACTCCGTCTTCCGCAAACAGGTACACCCGGTTGAGCAGAATGACTTCTTCGGCCTCGCCTGGCCTAGAACGACTTGTGACTGGTATCTTCTTGAAGCCGTCCTTTGTGACATAGAAGGCTGCCCAGGTGCGCCCAGCAAACTCATGACGCTGGCGTGCAATCCAATGGTTGACCTCTCGAACAGCCTCATCTTGTTTGTGCAGGATATGTGGCACTAACCGTTGGGACGAGTGGTGGGAAGGCATCAAGATCTCGAGGTAGCGATCGGAGCCAAAGTGGCGGCTTAGTCGATGGGGAAGGTCAATGGAAAGAGGCTGCAGGTGAACGGAATACAGTGGCCCAGACGTGTTTTTGTTGAAGCCCATCAGGATTGTATACACAACGACTCTCTTCGTCCCACCGTAGGAAGTGTGTTCATTGAGAGCACTGTCCCAGGCTACCTGTGTCGACTGTTCCGGGAAGCGCTTTCCGGCAAACTTGGGATGCTGCTGAAGGGCATCGCGAAATGTTGCCTGGTCCTCCCACGTGGGCGAGTACTTCAGGTCGATATCTTTCAGCTTCACGCCACTGAGTAACGCGATACGTGTGGTCTCCCATATTATCGCGAAGGGCGCCTTCTTGAGCCATTCCGGAGTCGGGGCTGGGTATCAATCATTAGTGCAAGCCGCAAAATGAAGTGTAACATGACAGGAGAGAGGAGGAAACCCACGAAAGACACCACTGAGTCGATCCCATAAGCCTGGCACAGGATGTGGCGGACCTGGCTGCGGCTCTCCCGGCGCATCGCTGTATTCTTCTTCGGAAAGTTGCAGATCCTCCATCTCTGGGATGCTTGAGTACGCCGTACTCGACGGCGAATTAGGCTTCTGGACATCCGTTATGTCATAGAGGCCAAAGGACTCGTCAAGGGCCTCGAGTACGTCGTCGGAGGCGGCAAATGACTCTTGTGATGGCGGTCGGCGTAGAGGCGCCGGTGAATACTCCTCGTCTGAAAAAACTTCTGTCTCGTTGCCTTCATCCTTGTCAGGCTCTGCATCTGCGCCAACCGTGGTCTGGCTATCAAAATACCCGTCGACGGGGCCCTCAAAGGAGTCTAGAGCGGAGTACATGGAAGACGATGTTGACGATCCACCAGAGCTCCGAGGTCTGTTGTCTTCCGGAACAAATACGTCAATGTCTTGCCTTTCAACAACGTCAGGTTCCGGCCTGGTCCGCACAACGGGCAGTCCGAAGCGCGAGACTACAGGCACCCGGTCAATGTCAGCCGCCAGCTGTGCATCATGGACAGGCGCATTGACGTCAAGTACAGCCATGGCAGGTGGAGGTGGTCTCCGTGTCGGACTCGTGACCGGCTGGAGCAAAACGTCTCGTGAAGCCTCAAGGAGCGAAAGCAGAAGCTCCTGCATGGCGATCTGGTCCTCCAGGCCCTGGGCCCGAGGTGCGTTATCCATCTTTGACGATGGCAGAACACTGCGGGTCACTCGTGTCTTGCGGACCCAGTTGGCATTCTGATCGCAAACCTTGGCGTCAAAGTCGTCAAGCACGGCCTGCAGCCGGTCGGGCCCCCGGTAGTGAAGAAAGCGGAGCAAGTCGGTGATTCTGCTGTGGCGCCCAAAGTGGGCATCGACTCGACCCTTGCGCGCCTTGTCTGCTGGAGAGCCCTCTGCAAATGGCACGCCCAGGTTGTAGATTCCATTGAGCTTGGCGACGTGCCCCCGGCCCGGATCACCTCCATTCTCCTTCACCTTGACAGGCGTGACAGGGGCCGCAACCGCGGCCGGCGGCTGTGGTGGCCGATCTCTGGGTGTCGGGACCATGGCGTCGGTCTAGGAGGCCTAGCCCTGAGAGACTGTGGTGATATACGAATGTTGGCAAGAGGAGCTAGAGGTTGCCCTTGCGCGGGTCGGGCCTGGGAAGGGGTGGGCGGGAGCGCTAATGGCGCAAACGGCATACTAAAGCGCGCGACCACGCATGAGGCACCAGGTGGGCCTTCCGGCTTCTTGCTGGGACCTGGAGAGAATGGTCCGCTATGAAAGTGAAAACGGTTCAGGGAAGCGAGAGACGGCTGTGAAGAAGGTCACTGGTTTCCGGCAAGTGGACAATTCACAACTGGGTGCAGAAAGAATGTCAAACGGGCAAGACAACAGTTATCTCAGGGCGGGCACAAGCGAAAGGCATTGTAAGACCAACACAAGAAGCTGGTGACGGTTGCCAGGATGTATTTAAGTTGAGGCGAAAGTGTCAGGTCGATACATTGTTACCTTGTTTTAACCTCTAGCAAAATGAATCTCTCCGCTGGGAAGGCGCCTAGAGTCGTTCTTTCCCATCTTGGACATTTCCCCCACGCCGGAAAGGCTGTGGGGTGTGGTTGCACTCAGGGGGAAGGCACAACTAGGGTGTGAGCAATAAACAATGCAAATGGGCAGGGGCTGAGCGCTTACAGGAAGCCTAGAGGGAGGAAAGAAGGAGGGGGGGTTTGCGGGTGGATTCCGCGCAAAGTGTTTGCATGTCGACACATTCTATCACACCAGATAGACGCTGCGTGTGCCATTGCCAATGTCAACCGTCGTCCGATATGATACACAGTAAAACATGGTCAGTAGTAGTTATCATGCATTCAATAGTGCACCTCTGGTCTGCCTTGCTGCCAGCCTTGGCGTTGAGAGGCCGCTCGTCGCTTGCACATCAATGCACTATCCGAATGTTTGCACAGGTTCTGCAGTTTCATGCACTCAGCTTCTACTAACTGGTCTCTCGATCGTATCATGTTATGACTGGAATCGACTTTCATGGAATATGCCGTACACACGGCGAGACATTGAAGGCACCCGATGGCACGAATACAGTATATATACAGTGTGAGTGTAATACGCACAGGGCGCTGACGTAATACGTCCTCTTTCGGCATGTCACGTTTTCCCCTCACGCGGCTGCTTCGGATTTGCATCGGCATCGCAATTACAACGTCGACATCCCCAGTCTTCAGACATTTGCAATTGCCAATCAACCATTCGGCTGCAGCACACCACCAATTGAGCCACGCACCGTGTGTGACTGACACGACTTCAAGGCCAGCCTTGAGGCACAAGGCTGCGCAACCTGGACTCACGACATTGCACAGTACGCGAAACCTCTCCACATTCCCGAGACACGCCGAAACATCGACAAAAGTACCCGGCTAGGGCCAACGGAGCCGAGCAAGCTATGGCTGAAGGCCACAGTCCCGAGCTGGACAACCTGACGGCCGAGGAGGCCAGTCGCATCATCCACTCGCACCGCAAAGTGCGGTACGGTACGTTGTTTGTTGCTGTAGTGGAACGAGCACGCGCTCAGAATTGCAACGTCTCAAGCAAAGCCCATGCCGCCCGACGTTCGGTGCGGCGATCCCCCACTGCCGCTCCTCGTCCCCAGTTTCGTATCCCAAGAGGCAAATCGCAAAGCACGAGAGGGCTACAGCACTGACACTTGCCTCCCTTCTCTCGCCCAAATATAGGTACTGCCTGCTGGCCCTGTCGCCAACGCAAAGTCAAGTGCGACAACAAACAGCCGTGCGAGAACTGCGTCAAGCGCGACCATGCGCAGCTCTGCTCGTACAAGCCTAACCGGCCGTCGTCGGGCAAGAATGCCACCCCATCGTCGTCCTCCACTGCCATCCCATCCACCGAACTGGGTTCCACGGCTGTTCTGCTGGCCAGTGGCAAGAAACGTGCGCGTTCACCAAACAGCAGTGATGGCCGTCGCACCACCAGCTTGGAGCCTGCAGGCGATGCCATTCGAGGTACGCTGTATTTGTCTTCTCGTGTTTTATATTGGTCGTGTGCATACCATGCGACCAAGGCCCACTTTGAGCAACGCCACCCTGCTAACGCTGCCTTCTTTACCTTGTTGACTTTTTTTCAGTCGACTCGGACGCCAATGAAATGTCCCGGTATCTCGGCCAGAACAGCATCCCCGCCTTGCTGCGCGAGCAGGCATCGCCCAGCCGGCAGGAGGAGGGCGTCGAATACATACGCCAAGACATGCGGTCCATCCTCGGCCTCGACAACTCGGCACCATTCCCGTTAATGTCGTCACGGCATCTGGACCGGTTGACCTTGGACATCTCCGCCGAGCTTCCGTCGGACCGCGAGGTGATGAAGTGCGTCGAGACGGGCACTCACAACTCCAGGCACGAGGGCCTCTGGCAGATTATAAATTATATATGCTAACATCAAACAGGCTGTTTCATGCCTACAAGGAAATCCCCCACCCGTTCTGGGGTTTCGTACTCGACATCGACGAGCTCGAGACCAAGCTCATGGTGTACCTCGAAGAGCGGGCCAAGAATGCCAAACACTCGTCAAGGCCGACCAAGCCCGTCTCCGCATCCTGGCTCGCAATCCTCTTTGCTGTGCTCGCCGTCGGTTCGCAATACCACGACTCGCCGTACCACATCCGGACACGAGATTCGCAGCGATACATCCAGATCTCCTTCCACTTTCTGCGTGTTGGCAACTTTTTGCTTCGCCCCAACCTCGACTCGATCCAGGCCATGTTGATGACGGGGTTCGTTCTCTTGAACGACATGAAAGCCGAGGCGTCATGGGCGTTGCTCGGACTTACAACCCGTCTAGCACAGTCTCTTGGCTTGGACCGGCACCAGCCAATGGACGGCAGAGAAAGCCCTGATCTGCGCAAGAAGGACCTGCTTCGCAGAACGCTTTGGTTCGTTTCTCTCCGGCAGTGCCGCAATTCCCTCGTGAACAACCTCAAGCTAACATGCATACAAGGTGGACCATTGTCTGGCATGATTGCCTTACGTCCCTCTCGTTTGACCGGTACGTTGGCGATAATGACATAAAACAATACAAGATCCATCGTACTGACCGACAGGACCCCGATGACTGCCCACTCCGTCTTGCCCATCCCACTCAGCCCCACCGCAGTCGGCGGCTGGAAATATCTCGAGGGCATGTACCACCTGTGTCAGTTCATCGGCAACCGTCTAAGCCCCGAGCAGACGGCCAATATCACATACGACAAGATCGTTGAGAACTGCAAGGTCGTCGAGGATATTCGGGACAAAATGATACCCCAGCTACGCAGTAAGGAAGCCTGCCGTTCGGCGATTGACCGTCTGCACCACTATGCCATCCGCCTCCACACGTCCTTTGTTGTGTCCGTCTGCTGCCGCCCAGCACTGCGTCGCGGCGAGAGTGGCCAACTGGATGCCGACCAAAAGAAGTCTCTGGCCGACAAATGCAAGAGCAACCTGACCGAGACCGTCCGCATGTTCTTGGCCATGCACCAGCTTTCTGTGATTCCGACGCGCTCATGGGCGTTCACCTACCACGGCCTGTCGTCGGCGGTCTTGCTTGGCATCCTCGGCGAGACCAAGACCGACCTCGAAGTGCGCGGTCTGCAGGGCGACCTGATCGACGCGCTCTCGGCGACTGCAGCCAAGGAAAACACGTCTCCGCCCTCGCACATTCACCGGACCGACCGCGATATCGAGCTGTCAGGCCCGCTGTCGCGTGCCCTCACCGCCCTCAAGAACATTTACGACCACGGGCACATTGCCGGCCAAGCTGCTGCCGCTGCGGTGGCTGCCGCCAACGGCGCGGCCGGGAAGGCGGACGACGGCAATGGGGCCAGCGGCAGCAACGGTGTCGGCATTCTCACGGCTGGGCAGAACCTGATTGCTGCCGCCGTTGGCAGCAAGAACGGCACCGCCAGCACGGCGGGGTCGGGCACCGATACGCCGCTGCAGTTCACCCAGGGACAAGCAGGCGCCCCAGCCGGCGCATTGGTCGCGCCTACAGTGCCAAACTTTTCTCGCAGTCTCGATCCACATCAAGACGCCGCACTCGCCATGGCCGAGATGCAGCATGGAGGCATCGATATGGGGTATGTTGTGGCCAGCATTTTGCATTTGAAGCTTAGTACCCGATGTCGAGAAACTAAACAACGTATAATAGAATGTTTGCCGGTATGCAAGGCCAGCATCCAGGTATGCTGCCAGATCTTGGTATCGACACATCTACGTACCTGTCCCCAATGGACCTGTACGACCAGATATTCTGGGGTACGAGCCAATGCGCCAACACGCCTTCCCCAAATGAAAAGCCAAGGTACTGACAGCTTCTTACAGAAAACCCTGAGCCCTGGAATATGGGCTCCGATTCGATGAACTTTGACTTCATGGCCCAGCCACCACCCGGACAGGCTCAACAGCAGTTCTACTTCTGAGTCTGCCAAGTAATGATGACCGTTCACATTGATCTTTGATATCAATCTTGAGGAATGTTGTGTTTGGAGGAGCTAGTTGTTTAAATACGTTTTTATTGTACGATATCTAAAAATCGTTTTGGTTAAACTAGAGAATTAAAAATGGCGTTAGTTAATTATAACTTGACTCGACAATACTTGCCTTCATATTTTTTATATTTATATTTTGTTTTTTAATTCTATAAACAGTCGTGTAAAAAAATCAGGAAGGTGACAGCTCATAAAGTCTAAGATATATTTAAACCCATTTAGAATAAGAATATAATATTATACGCAATGTAAATGGAAATCATGTGAAGATGTTGGGGATCAATTATCCTTGATACCCCATCTACCATGTCTCCTCCCAGTAGACTACTTTGTTCGGATCCTTCTCGTCAAACAATCGCTTCTCCGCTTCTTCCGGGTCCTTGCAGAACCCGCCCGAGACTGCCGCATCACGCAGCGCTTCACGGACCGACTTTGGCATGCGCCCGCTGTTGCCGCACAGGCAGATGATGGCGTCCTTCCGAAGCAGCTCGCACACTTTGTCTGCATGGCGCCGGATCAAGTGCTGCACGTAGTTTTTGCCTTCGTCATACGAGTACACGACCACGCTGGGCTCAGTCGTTGCTGGCTGTTCTTCTTTGCCGCCTGTGCCACCTTTGTCGCTTGAGCCGTTGATAGCCTGCTTCTCAGTCGTGTTCTTGTTGTCCGGGATTGCCTTAAGAGTGGGCGCTGGGTTTGCCTCTGACTCGGGTTGTTCAGGATCCTTCGGATCCCTCGAAAACGCAGGGACAACCGTCAGATCCTCGGTGCCAGCCCACTCCTCGTGGAAGTGGAAGTCGGCAGCCTTGTTGCGGCAACCAAAGAAGAGTACTGTCTCGGCGCGCGGTAAAGACCGCATCCTGTCGTGGACCAGACTGCGAACTGGGGCCACGCCGGTGCCCGTTGCGATGCCAATCAGAGGCCGCTCGGCAGAAATGCTTCCGTTTGGCGGTGGCGTCTCGCGTTTCATGTCCACATGCAAAGGAGTGCCTGCTGGCAGATTCTTGAGGTATCGTGAACACAGACCTTCCCGTGGTTTCCGGATGATGGTCCGGTACTCCACCAACGCGGCGAGAACGTCAAGTCGGTAGACAACCGCGCCGTCCTGATGCGCATCGCCACCGCTCGTTTCATGCTTTGTTTGGATGACTTGTCTCTTCTTCCAGTGCTTCCCACCATTGGCAATGCTGAACTCGCGACCACGGATGATGGGGAACACATCGGGTACTGCCTCGTATGGGATTTTGGAGGAGTAGAACTCGGCAAGCACCTCCAAGATCGTCCGCCGTGGCCGGGAGGTGAAGTCGTAGAACTCCTGGGATGCGTCGGGCTGAACAAGCTCAAACAACTTCTCTTTGTGGTCCACGTTGGTTGTATAAAAAGCAAGCTTGTGCAGGAAAGACCGTGATGGAACGGCCATGAAGTCAATGTTGTGTGTGAGGAGGTCCCGGAGAGTGCTGTTTTTGGTAGGGTAAAGCCCATTGGGCGACTGTGCGCCGAGCGAAATTTGCTTGTCGGCGACTGAGCCCCATTCCATGAGATCAATAAGCTTCTGAACATCCGACGGGTAGTTCTTGGGATACACGACGACTCGGTCGCCAGGAAGAGGCTCGTACGCCATGCCATTAACCAACGGGAAAGTCACGTCCAGCTCTATGAGGCGAACGTCTTGCCAGTGGTCAGATGGGGTGACTCGCTTGTTGCTAACGACAACGGCGCTGTTGACGTTTGGGTGAGGTAGTAGAAGAGGCGGCGGAAAGTCTGGTGAGGATCTTGCTTCGTCCGCCTGTTCCTGCATGGGCGCTCCTTTTGCGCCCGAAAGCCGCACGCTAAGCGTGTAGCGAGGTGGAAGTGGCTCCTCCTCTGGAATCGGCTGTACCGAAGGGGGTAGAGGATATGTCGCTGTTAAGAACTCTCTCAAGTCCTTGAGCCAAGGCTGGTAAATGCTATCGATGCTGTTCACATGTGTTAGTGTGGAGCATAGGTCTTGTAAGCACAGCGCTGGTGGAGCGGCCTACCCATCATCATGCCTCTCATCAGCCTCTCCCCTTGCGAAGGTCTCCTTTGCACCCAGACGAAGAAGACGACTGTGAAGAAGCCGCGATGCCCAGTTGTACCTGCAAGAACGGTTAGACAAAGACGGTGATCCTGGGACGTTTCATGCTGCTGCACTTGTTAACTAGAAGGTCACTCACTTATGGTACGAGCTGTCTCCAAGGCCAAACGTCGTGAAATGAACTGTCTCCAGGCAGTTTGGTGGCAGCTTGGCTCGCCGGAGGTCCTTCCAGAACTTGCGCGCGCTGTTCGGGAAGTGGCCTTGGCCTGTTGTGGCAATGACGAAGCAGACGAGTTCATAGTCTTGTAGGAGGTCGTTCTGCAAATAGAATTAGAGGTGGGATACATAAAACTGGCTTCCATTGGAGGAGATGTGGCATACCAGCTTGACATTGTCCAATGCATCGAGATCAGTGTGGAACCGTAGCCGTTGGCACATCCGGTCGATTTCCTCGGCCTTGTCCTGGGCCGTGCCCGTCTCCGAGCCATACAGTATGAGAATACGCCTGTTTGAGAGAGACATCGTATATGCTGTCTTCTGCTGGCGGTTACTTTTGGTCGTGCACCGTTTGATTGTAAGCGGTTTTGATATCGCGGGATGCTCGAGCTGAATGGAGACGAAGGACCACCCGGAGTACGTTATCCGGCCTGGGGCTACACTTTGATAAAGAAGCGCTCTCTTCGTCTCGATGCACTGGCGTACCGGGTTGTGTTGGTTGATCAAAGTGGTTGTTGTATTCGTGGATGGGTTTTGATGTTTTCGAGGTGAAAAATTGAAGCCATTTGGAGTGGTGTGTCACAAGCTAAGGCTGCATGTACCTATTGCAGCCACTGACTACGGCGGGGTACTTCTCTGCCAAAGCTGTCCGATTTCGGCTCATTTCTGGCTTACACCTATTTAAGGACTCGCAGTGAGCACGAGGTAATGCAGTCTAAAAGACAGCACGTGGAAAGAAGAAAGCTGTGCCTGCTTTATTCTGCACTTCATAACGCACTTGTCGTGTTTTGAAGAAGGCGCGAAGGAAAACGATGGTCGGTTCATGCTTGCCTTTATCTTGGTGCCAGTTTCTAGGAAGGCGCGAAGCACGGTCATTACCGGATAAGGCAGCTCCTCGATGCCAGTCTCAGGAAAGAACTTCGGTCACCAAAATGAACAGAGCAAGGAAGCATCGATAGGCAGCTTGAACTTTTGTTGTAGGAACGTGGAGTAAATGTCTCCGTTGACTCAACCGGGATGCGCTGCCTTCGTATATTGAGGCCGAACTTTGGCTCAAAGAAACCATTTTTGGGTTGCGCCCAGTTCAAGTGGGCCCGGGGCACGCGACCTTCGCAAGGCTGCGGCGCGATTTTGGCATTTGCCGTGTATTTTGTTTACTCCGTACATAATCTTACAACTTACGGCTAAACCGCTGTTATGCTCTTTGCAGTGGAGATTTTCGCATTGCCTCATTTGCGATTTGTGCAGAAGAGGCGCCTTCCCTCTGAATGTGTGTTGGTGGCCACCTTCTCGTCCTACAGAGAATGGGGCGACTGGGCGCAACAATGGGAAGAGCTGTCCAACGTGTGCTTCCTAATGGGGTATGACAAAGGAGGCAGGCGCATGTTGCTGGTGCTGTTTCCTGTTTGCGGTCTAACTAACGTATCTTACGAAATATACGTTCGCGGGCCTGTTGAACTCTGTTTTTATCGACCAAATTTGGTTATAAAGAGAAGGTGCGGCCGGCCATCCAACTGCACCATTCGTTCTTTCCCAACCAGGGATGAGAAAACGACCAACAATCCAGCGCACCGTAGAATAAGAAGTGCGAGGCCTCGCTGCCCGTCTCAGTGGGTGAAAAGTCAGATCAGACGAAAACGCTGCCGGTGCATGAAAGCGGACCTTTCGCCCGAAATGACCGTGGGGAAGCCGGGGGTTGAAAAAAACGCATTTAAATGACTTCCAGAAGGAACGAAATTGTTCTAGAAGCACAACATGGATCCATGAAGACGAAATAGTAAATAGAAAGAGCGGACATAAAGGGGCAAGGTATTACAGGAAGCAGCGAACCAGACCACTCACATTCACAGGCGACTCGCAGGACCAGCACAGGTGCCTACACCGTCGCGCTTTATTCACTGATGAACAGCTCATTAGTTCCCCCTGACAAGGCCCCAGGAGCTTTGTTGTACCTCCTCACCAAAAGTTTTATGCGATGTACTTCCAAAGCTTGGTCAACCAACACCCTAGTCATTGCGCCGCGCCACGCCTTCCCTATTTCGCCGAAACGCCGTGCGAGCTCCCTGCAGAATCGAAAATTACAGTGCCCAGATTAGCAGTAACGAATGATGACGGTAGAGGACAGATCATTAAAATAAATAAGTAAAATAAATCGGAAAAAGGAAACTGGTCAGACTTATGGGGAACGCTCACCCAGTAGGAGCGACCCAGCACCCCAGTACGAACCACGAAGCACGGCAGGTGCGACGCGCGACTAGGCTGTAATTTTCGCCTCCCCTTTATATTTTTCACGTCGCCCTCCTTTTCGCCCTTCCTCCCTTTTTTTTCTCAACCTCCAAGATCATCAACAACAACAAACTTCACTGACATCTCGTCACTTTCTTCCCGCCTCCCCCCTTTCTTCCCTCTGTATTCTAGGGCACCAAGCTACCCTGCTCGCTCCCCTTCGTCTCCAGAGTCCAAACACGGAAAATCAAACTCAAGCCAACCTCAACTCATCGGCAAACCCCCGTCGTCTCGTCAACAACACCTTTCAGCGCCTCTCAGCTCTCAGCCATCAACACACCATCAGTCTCGCCCACCATGTCTGCCCCTGCTGATACCAAAGTCTCTGACGCTGCCGTTTCCGACGTGACCGCCGCTCTGTCCAACGCTAACATCTCTGGCAAGCCCGACGAAAAGGCCAACGACGCCTACCTTGCCAGCGCTGCCGAGGGCCGCCGACTCTACATCGGCAACCTCGCCTACGCTACTACCGAAGGGGAGCTCAAGGAATTCTTTAAGGGATACCTTGTGTAAGTTTGTCCTGCAACACGACGGGTTGTCGAGCTATTTTTGGGGTTGGCGGTGTTTATTGGAACCTGGTTGTGAGATGCGTTTTTGATGTTCTGAACTCGCAGGGCTTCTGGGTGATGCCTTCTTATACAATGTCCTGTTGTGCTCACAAATGTCTGTTCTATAGCGAGTCTGTCTCGATTCCCAAGAACCCTCGCACTGAACGCCCGGTTGGCTACGCCTTTGTCGACCTTTCGACCCCGACCGAGGCTGACCGTGCCGTCACGGAGCTGTCCGGAAAGGAGATCCTTGAGCGCAAGGTCTCTGTCCAGCTTGCCCGCAAGCCCGAGGCTGCCGGCGAGAAGGAGGCTACCAACGGCGAGGGCGAGGAGGGTACCCGCCGCCGCCAGTCCACCCGCGGCCGTGGCCGTGCCAGCCGTGGCCGTGGTGGTCGTGGCCGTGGCGGCGTGAACGTACGCACAATCAGTCTCTAATCAACATAGCCATGAAACCACTAGCTAACAAAATATGTAGGAGGATGGCACCCCTGTCGAGGGCGAGGCAGCTGCTACTGAGGCCGCTGCCGAAACCGCTCCCAAGGATGTTACCAACAAGCCTGTTGGCACCGAGGAGGCTGGAAAGAAGGCCCGTCAGCCCCGTGAGCCGCGCGAACCTCGTGAGCGCCGTGAGCGTGGTCCCCCGGCCGATGGTGTCCCGTCAAAGACAAAGGTCATGGTTGCCAACCTGCCGTACGACCTGAAGGAGGATGCTGTACGTCCACCCTTGCCTGTGCGCTTTGTGACAAATGTACCATGACTGCTAACGTGGTTTCTTCTTCCCAAATTGTAGCTGAAGGAGCTCTTCGCCGCATACGAGCCGTCTACCGCTAAGATCGCGCTGCGCCCCATCCCCCGGTTTATGATTAAGAAGCTCCAGGCTCGTGGCGAGGCACGCAAGGGTCGCGGTTTCGGCTTCGTGACTCTGGCCTCCGAGGAGCTGCAGCAGAAGGCTGTTGCGGAGATGAACGGCAAGGAGATTGACGGTCGCGAGATCGCTGTCAAGGTCGCTATCGACAGCCCCGACAAGACGGATGAGGAGGCCAACGCCCCCGAGGGTGAGGCCAACGGCGAGAACGTCGAGGCCGAGGCCCCTGCTGCCACTGCCTAGATGCTTTCTTGTACACTTGACAAGCGCGAACAGAAGCGCTGCTGCAAACTTACTATGGCGACCGGTGCCTAAATTGTTATCTGACTTTCACTTCTTGTTCCCTGTCGTGGGCCGGCACCATCCAAATGCGTGTTTTTCTGTCCATGTCGCACGCCGCTGCTTCGGCACGGCAATTTTTACAACACAACTTGTTCGACTCCCTGCTTGACGATTTTGCCTCTTTGATCGAACCTGTTCGAACAGAGAGGTGATGTTCGTTTGTTTCTTTTTTTATTAAAAAAGGGGAGCAGGGAACCAAAATGTACCCGAGTGGTGGATTTTTTTGGCGATGGAAGTATCTCCTGGCGTCTTCTGAAATGGGCTACATCTTCATGAATGAGAGACTCTGCGGGGGCCTTCACACGCCGAACACCCATTTCTTTACTTAGCAAGCTCTCAGCTACTTTTATATCTGATTTTAATTTCGCCGCTGGTTTTTTCGGCAAGTCAAGGTGCTGCTGCATGCGACTTGATGTTTGATACCTGCACGTGTGCTTGTCGTAATTTATGACTCTGTACTCTGTACGTATGTTCGAATGGTTTATAGTTCTGCACGAGATGTTGTGTCTTGCGCAAGAGTAGTGAGTACCAGCATTGTTGTCTTTTTTAAACTGTGCTGGAACATCTTGGTGGCCTTAATCAGTGTCGACTTCGGCTTAGCAGAATTGGCTAGGTTGTAGATTTCGACGCCAATTGGTTACTACGGAGTCAAGAGCCCTTTTTTGGGAAAAATGGGGAAATTGGTGGGGGGGCGGCCTGGGCCTGGCCTCTTGCCATGCTGCGCAACAGCAACTGAAGTCGAATCTCAAAACACAAACCACCCTCTTGGCACGTTTTGTCAAAGGCAGCATCGGTGCCGCCGTTTTCGAAACAGCGCGCAATCACGACCCCTTGGACGAAATACGAGCATTAGCGACAAAGACCATTTGAGTATTCGATCGAGATCATAACCAAACACATTGATTGCTGCCAGCGCACTTGGAGAGCATCGACAGGGGCTGCCCTCCTCCGCCCTCCTTTTTCTTCCTCAACCTTGTGGCCATCGACGGACACATCGACGACCACGGGCGTTACCGAATACCTAACTTCTCCCCTTTCCCGAGCCGTTACGATACGCATCCCGCACATACGCGCCGACCATGTCTTCAAAAGCAATGTGGGAGGTCGACCCGGAGACGCGGTCCAAGGTGTGTTTCGCTGGCCTTGTACCTCTGGACGTCCTGGGATACCACGCAGCCCGTTCATTTGCTTTCTAACGTATTTTGTTCTCCCCATACAGCTCCAAACCATCCAGAAAGAATCCAACAACGACGTCTGCTGCGACTGCGGCGCCCCCTCGCCACAGTGGGCGTCACCCAAGTTCGGCGTCTTCATCTGCCTCGTCTGCGCCGGCGTCCATCGTGGCCTCGGCGTCCACATCTCCTTTGTCCGCTCCATCTCCATGGACGCCTTCAAGGCCAGCGAGATTGAGCGCATGCGCCTCGGCGGCAACGCGACCTGGCACGCCTTCTTCGAGGGCCACGCCGACACGACCATGCGCGGCATCACCTGGGACGACGCCACGATCGCCGAGCGCTACGGCGGCGACGTGGGCGAGGAGTACAAGGAGCGGCTGAGCGCCAAGGTGGAGGGCCGCGAGTACGTGCCAAGCGAGAAGAAGCCCAAGCCGGCACCCGTTGCGGCAGCAGCCGCCACCTCGCGGTCGACGCCCCTCGGCGGCAGCCGTACGGCCAGCCCTCTCAGCGGCTCAGCATCCGGCGGCGCAGGCGGTGCAGGCGGCGCCAGCGTCGGCAGCGGCGGCAAGATCAAGGTTGACGAGAAGTACTTTGCGCGGCTGGGCGCCGAGAACGCCGCGCGGCCCGACAACCTGCCGCCGAGCCAGGGCGGAAAGTACACCGGCTTCGGCAGCTCGCCGCCGCCGTCACAAAGCAACGCCAACGGCGGCAGCCTGCCCGGCTTTGATGATCTGCAACGCGACCCCGTGGCGGCCCTGACCAAGGGCTTCGGTTGGTTCACGAGCACCGTGAGCAAGACGGCCAAGACGGTGAACAACGACTACATCCAGCCGACGGCGAAGCAGATTGCCGAGTCGGACCTGGCGGCGCAGGCTCGTGTCGTCAGCGGGAACGTCGCCCGTTCGGCACAACAGGGCGCGCGGTCGGCACAGGAGGGTTTCAACCGGTTTGTGGAGGGTGGTGGGGCCGGCAGCAGCGGCGGCCAGTACCGGCCCGTGAACACGGGCATGGATGAGAGTAAGCGGGCGTTCTGGGACGACTTCTCGTCGATTGCCGACAAGCCGGCGGCTTCGGCGGCCCCACGCAAGACGACGGTCGGCACGATGGCCATGGGCAAGGGAAGCAGCAGCAGTGGCCCTGCTGATACTGGCGCAGGCAAGAAGGATGAGTGGGAAGACTGGTGATCGTTTCCGTCTACTTTCCCTAGATCTTTGTGCCAGAATCCGTTCGTAGCCTATAGCTGTTTTCCCTTGCTATTTACTATCACCATTCTTTATTTAGTTATTTTTTTGGGTCAATATTAGCGGCGGGGAGTTGAACGACCAATATGCAGCACTGAAAGACAATGCTTGCTCACTCTTTTGACGTCCCTCGTAGTGGCAGGCAAAGAGGTACAACGCAGGTCGAATCGCAGCATGTGACATGGTCACGTGACCCTCCGTTCTCGGCCGAGGTTATGGTAACCGGTCCTAGCCGCGGTTTTGGCCCCAGCAGTGGGTTTTAGCGAATGCGCCGCATCCAACAATGGAGGTAAATTCGACCTTGCCTTGGGGAAGCTTACGCCGAAGTACCTAACAAGGGCGACACAATCTGCTTCCAACCACTTTCTCCCCGGCGACCCTCTCCCTACGATCCCGTCGCCATTGACGACTCGAATTCGCGAATTCTCGAATACGATCCCAACAATGTCTGCCCTCCGGATTCTCGTGCCCGTGAAGCGGGTGATTGACTATGCGGTACGTTTTTTGCCCCGCGCAAAAGCATCAGCCCAGAAAGCCGAAGCCAATCGGGCGACCTCATCGAGACCAATTCGGTTCGCCCCGACGGCAGCCCGCAAGAAGCGGTCACTGACATAGTCCTTTGCTTCTCCCTCTAGGTCAAGCCCCGCGTCAACAAGGCCCAGACGGGCGTCGAGCGCGCCGGCGTCAAGCACAGCATGAACCCCTTTGACGAGCTGTCTGTGGAGGAGTCGGTGCGCATCCGCGAGAAGAAACGGGCCCCCGGCGGCGTCGAGGACATTTGCGTGTTCTCGGCCGGCCCTGCCAAGGCGCAGGACGTGCTGCGGACGGCCATGGCCATGGGCGCCGACCGCGCGATCCACGTCGACACGGCCGGCAAGGCTGCCGACGAGAATGCGGCCGAGCTGGAGCCGCTGACGGTGGCTAAACTGCTGCAAAAGGTGGTGGCCGAGGAGCGCAGCAACCTCGTCATTCTGGGCAAGCAGAGCATCGACGACGACGCGCACCAGACGGGCCAGATGCTGGCGGGTCTTCTGGGCTGGCCGCAGGCGACGCAGGCGTCCGAGGTGACGTTTGCCAAGGACGGCGACGCCGTGCAGGTGGTGCGCGAGGTGGATGGCGGCGTGGAGACGCTCAAGGCCAAGCTGCCGCTGGTGATCACGACGGATCTGCGCCTCAACGAGCCACGGTACGCGACGCTGCCCAACATTATGAAGGCCAAGAAGAAGCCGCTGGCCAAGAAAACACTGGCCGACTACGGCCTGGAAGCGGAAGCGGCCAAGAAGCGGGTGAACACGCTCAAGGTTACGGGTGAGTTCTTGCTTCCTATCTGTATATCGTTGTGTGTTGTGTGTTATGTGTTATGTCCTTCCGGCACATGCTAACTGGTTAGAACCCCCACCGCGCAAGGGCGGCGGAAAGGTCGAGGATGTCGATGGTCTCATTTCGAAGCTCAAGGAGCTGGGCGCGTTATAAGTGCGTGGCACGAGCATGTGCCACATCTCGACGACGACGAAAAATACTGGGAAACGACATGGATAGATACTCAATGACTACAAGAATGCGGTAGAGACGAGGACCTAGGAAACAAAACTGAGGTTATGGATTATTAAAAGGGACATATACACAAAGATTAAATATACTGCGTCAAACATATCGTGTCATACACACTCGTCCAGGTCGTATGATAAGATACATGCCCGGAACGCAACTGTGATGTCTTGTGTGAAGACTGATGCAAAATGATAGCATCCATATATTGGAGGCACGTTGGAACAGAAGGTAAAGTAACTTACGTTGGACGCAACTCAAGCACAGGCAATCATTGTACATCACTTAGACGTTTCCCCGGCCATTCATTCCGTCCTCTCGAATCTCCGGCCACATACCTTTTTGTTGTTGAATCGGTTATTTTCCGCATTGGAGAGAGCACGTGCACCAACATGGCCCGACTGTCTCGCCCATCTACAGGGGCATAACGCCGGAGTCGGAACGAGAGGGGCCAATCCAATGCACTGGAAAAATTTGACCCCTCTATTGTCATCGCCCCTACCGTGAGAGGACGCCCTGACGCCCTGCTGGAGACAAGTTGACAAGCTTGGATAGCGCATCAATTGCTATCTAGCAGACCCTGGCTAGGCGAGAAAGTGCCGCAAAATAATAGGCTGAAAAAAAATTGCGATGAGAGAAAATGGGAAAGAGCACTAAAATACAACGACAGAAAATTGTGACAGGGAAGGAGTCACTCACATCCCAAAGAAAATTTGCCCGTACCAAATTCCCCTCGCAAAGGTCCCTCGCCCGCTATTGTTGCAACAGTCTGTTTTCTCCCTCCTTTTGTTTCTCTTTTTCGATTTCTTCCTTCTTCTATCCACATCACCACCGCCGACGAACCGCTGCCAGACAAAACAGAATTAGACCCTATGACCCTCTCAGCCCCTACTTTTACCTCGTTTGTCTCTTTTTGAGACGTCTCTCGGACAATCTGCCCTTATGAACGGGCGTCCGTCAATCTTCACCTGCCAGGTAAGCCACTCCTCGTTCGGACGATTGCTCTGCTTCTGGGACTGCATCGCGAGGCGTGTCGTCCTTGGCACGTATCGTGAACTGCTACAGGGCGGGTGAGTGCAATTGGCCTCTTTGGAACGTCTGCTAACCCGGTTTCTCCTCCAGGACTATCTCTCAGGTTCGTGCTATCTCTAACCTAGATTTGACCATTTGGGCTTCACCCTCGGTCCCTCGACTCCACGATGCCTCAACAACCTTGCCGCTGCCTCTGTACGATTGCTAACGGTTGCTGCTTCAGATCATCTGTGGAGGGCCCTTTTAGACTAGAACTCACTCCCCCAACCTCGTCCTCGCTTTCACCCGCCTTTTCGCTACCCACGCAGCCAACCACAAAACCAACCAGCAAACCACAGCCTACCGGCTCAGCTCATAAACCAAACAACTTTTCAGACGCGCACTCAGTTTCATTGCCGCAGCCATGCTGTCTCGCATGTCTATGCGCCTCGCCCGTCCGGCCCAGGCCGGGTTCGCGGCTGCGAAGCCCCGCGCTGCCTTTGGCATGGCCGTCCGCTGGAACAGCACGGCGGCACCCGTTGACGGCAGCAAGGGCCGCAAGATGCCCGCCATGCCCAAGCGGTCGTTCGCGCCGGCTAACAAGGTGGACGCCACTCTCACCATTCGTGTACGTACATGGACTTCTTTGCCGGCTGGATTGCTTCGACTTTGATGCAGGATGCTGCAGGCCGTTCACCGCTTTTTCACGTCCCAAGCACATGCTAACACGCATTCCTCAGGACGGCCCCATCTTCCACGGTACTGCCTTTGGCGCCAACAACAACATCTCTGGTGAGGCCGTTTTCACCACCTCGCTCGTCGGCTACCCCGAGTCCATGACCGACCCGTCGTACCGCGGCCAGATCCTCGTCTTCACCCAGCCGCTCATTGGCAACTACGGCGTGCCCTCCAACGAGCGTGACGAGTACAACCTGCTCAAGTACTTTGAGTCCCCCCACATCCAGTGCGCTGGTGTCGTCGTTGCGGACGTTGCCGAGCAGTACAGCCACTGGACGGCCGTCGAGAGTCTCGGCGCGTGGTGCGCCCGCGAGGGCATCCCCGCCATCTCTGGCGTCGATACCCGCGCCATTGTCACCTACCTCCGTGAGCAGGGCTCGTCTCTGGCCCGCATCTCTGTCGGTGACGAGTACGATGCGGACGAGGACGAGAGCTTCGTCGACCCTGGCCAGGTGAACCTCGTGAAGCGCGTCAGCACCAAGGCTCCGTTCGTTGTTGAGTCCCCCAACGCCGAGTTCCATGTCGCCCTGATCGACTGCGGCGTCAAAGAGAACATTCTGCGCAGCCTCGTCAGCCGCGGCGCCGCCGTCACCGTGTTCCCCTACAACTACCCGATCCACAAGGTCGCCGAGCACTTTGACGGCGTCTTCATCTCCAATGGCCCCGGTGATCCGACGCACTGCCAGGAGACCATCTACAACCTGCGCCGCCTCATGAACGAGTCGCCCGTCCCCATCATGGGCATCTGCATGGGTCACCAGCTGCTGGCTCTGGCCGCCGGCGCCCGCACCATCAAGCTCAAGTACGGCAACCGCGCGCACAACATCCCCTCGCTCGACCTGACGACGGGCCTCTGCCACATCACGTCGCAGAACCACGGCTACGCCGTCGACGCCGAGACGATGCCGAGCGAGTTCAAGGAGTACTTTGTCAACCTCAACGATGGCAGCAACGAGGGCATGATCCACAAGACCCGCCCCATCTTCTCGCTGCAGTTCCACCCGGAGGCCAAGGGCGGCCCCATGGACAGCGCCTTCCTTTTCGACCGCTACCTCGAGAACGTCAAGATGTACAAGGAGGGCGCCCAGGTCTACAAGGACAACCGTCCGTCGCAGCTGCTGCTCGACATCCTGAACCGCGAGCGTGTCGGTGTTGAGCCGACCCCGCTGGTGCAGGCCGTGCAGAACTAAGCAGCAAGCAGCGAGGACGCACGGAAAGTTGACGTGAGAGAGACGATGGTTTGAAAAAGCCGTGGCTCTTGTCGTCCTCTCTCTTGTGCTCCCATTGTTGCTTTGTTCGTGTCGTAGTTGTGTTTTTTTATATCTTTTGGTAATTTGCGCAGATTGTCCAATGCCATAGAAATATGGTTGAGATTTGTCGTTTTCATAGCTCATTTATATTTGCAATACTCATTTCGTCTCCATAATTAAGTGAATTATTTTCTAAATTGGAATTATTGTAATAGCACTTTTCTCATGCATAGGACGAGTACCATTCTGCCCATACAGTGCGTCCCTCTGGCCACCCACAACCTACACTTGTGGCATAATCTCTCAAACGGTCTTACTACCACCGATCGTCTTTGAAACCACCCAAGCGGCCTTCCCGTTCATCACGACCACCACGATCAAACCGGGGCCGATCCCGACGGTCACCGCCACGGTCACCACCACGGTCATCCTGACCGTCGCGTCCTGGCCGGTAGTCGTCGTACATCCGTCCGCCGCCTCCGCCTCTCCTATTGCGTCTGCGGCGGCGGCCGCTGGCGCCACCACCACCACCCCCACCACCACTGCCCCCGCCGCCGAGTCTGCCTCCGCCACTCCCACCTCCGCCGCCACCATACCCGAGGCGCTGTTGCCGCCGTTCGCGCTCCCGGTGCGGCGGCCGGATGCCGTCAAACATTTCCGGGCCCCGGTCGACCAGCTGGTCGCCCTGCTCAAACGTATAGCGGTTGTGTGTTTTGGTGTAGTGGCTCTGCCCGTTGCGGCCGGGCCCAGGACTCGGGCTGCGGCTGGCGCCGCCCCTGTTCTTGCGTGGCTGCGTGTGCAGCAGGATGTTGTCCTGCCGGCGGCGCACCAGATCGGGGGTCACGAGCTGGTAGTCGAGGGGCGGCTCGGCACGCGTTGTTCGAATGTCGTCGTCGAGTGGTGCCCACGGCTCGTTGCCGGCACGGCCGCCCCGCTGGCGTTTCTCACGCGGGGGCGGCAGCGGTGGCGGCGGCGGCGGCGGTGCGTCGCCAAATCCAAAGCGGTCGCCGCCGTTGTCGTGGGTGCCGCCGAACCGGGCCTCGGCGCTTCCCTTGGGCCCACGAGGCGCATCAAACGGTGGCGGTGAGCGCCGCACAGCCTGGTGGTCTGTGGCTGTCCCTCTGTCCGGACCGCCTGCACCAAAACCGGCGGCCGCGCTCGACGGGTCGTACAGGATCGTGCCAGGAATCGGCGTGTCGGAGCCAACCTCGCGCAGTGTCGTGACCACCCGGCCCGCCTCCTCCCCCTCACCCCCATCCTCCTCCTCCTCACTGTAGACCACTTCCCACTTTTTGGCCGAGCTGCGACTGCCGCCGTGGCCACGACCACCGGCGGCCTCCTCGCGGTCAATGTAGTCTTGAGCCAGGTCGCTGGGCACAAAGTCGACCCACAGGGGGCGCCGGTTGCTCTCGTCCGGCCAGACCTGACCGTGGAGGGCCACGCGCACGCGAGTGGCGGCCGCAATGGTGGCAAAGATGACAAACGCGTGCGTCTTGATGGGGTCGAGGTAGGCGCTGACCAAAAGCGAGTCGCCGCTGTCGCCTCCGTTCGGCGGTGCAGCGAGAGCGGCCACGTGGTCCTCGAGCGTGGATGGTCGCAGCGGGCGCATCAAGTGACAGATGTAGAGGGCCGTTGTGGCCGGGTGGATGGCGGGGGACGTGGTCGTCACGACACCAAGGGGTTCATCCGCATCACGCATGTCCACCTCGCCTGCGGGTGCAGCATCGTCCACCATCATGTCTGTGTCTTTGTCGGGCTGGCCCTCCGGTGCCACAGACGCTGACTTGGATGGCAACTCCGAGGGCAACTCCGAGGGCAGCTCGGACGGCAGCTCGGATGTGTCTTGGCCGTCCACACGCTGGCGCTTCCGACCCGCTGCCTCGTTGTGCAGCGACGGCGGAGGCGTGACAGACCGGCGCTTGCGCTTCTGCTCGTCGAGCATAACTTCGGACATGGGCACGGTCGACGGTGGTGGAGGTGCCGGTGCCGGTGCAGGTGCCGGTGCTGGTGCTGGTGCGGCCGGCTCTTGAGTAGAAGCCGATTCGGCAGCAGCGTCTTTGGATGTTTCGGCGGTGTCCGCTGCAGGCACGGCCTCGTCCTTCTTTGCATCCTCTTTCGCGTCCTCTTTCGCGTCCTCTTTCGCGTCCTCTTTCGACTCGTCCATCATCTCGGTATCCCCGTCTTTTTCTGCCACGGCGCCATTCGACTCGCCCGCATTCGCGTCGTCGTCGACCAGGCGCTGCACGAGCTCGTCTTTCCGTCCCGCCGTCGACAGGTCGCGTTGCTTGAGTTCGGCCCGCAAATTGACCACTGTCAGCTTGCCCCAGTCGGTCGCCGGCGAAGACATTGTGTCGGTCGCGATGGCAGGATGGCGGGCGCTGCGGTGTGTAACGTTGTCGATTCGCCTGTGCTCGCCCGTGTCGTGCAGTTTTCTATAGTTTTCGATGGGGTTCGTCACCTTGTCGCAATGTGAGGTTATAATTGCCGGTCGCGGTCAATTGGGGCACGTAGCCACCGATCGATAATACACCTGTTGATACTGGCCTCCGGGTGGCACTGCTTCTGGTTGCGGGGCGAAGCAATGGACCGAACGGAGCGCGTCGTGATGGCTGGCGATGCGGCTGGAAGCTGATTTGACCACAGCCAGCAAGAAACGCAGAGCTTTGCTGGGGAAGCTTTTTCTGGGCCTTGCAACACTCACCCGCATGTCAGGACCCACAGTTGTGTTCACTGCCGTTTTAGGCTTAGCGCTAAACAGGTGCCGGTTGTGACGCTCTGAGAAATCAAAGGACCAAGATTTATTCTGCGAGCAACATGGATAAAGGACAGCCGATGACGACAGACGGGACGTGACTTTGAATTCACCATGCCGTAAATGAGACACGGGCGGGAGAAAACTAGACAGTGCCACTTTGAGGACTTGAAGATGCAGAGTCCCGTTGACAGAACATGTTTTTCCAAGTCCCAGCTGGGCGGGCATGTTCTAGATTACATAACTGTCGCTGGCGTGTAAGTCGGCGACCGTACGACAGATCTACTGGTCTACGACATCTGAGATCATTTGGTTCTAGATCGCAAAGTGGTTGCATCTTGACGATGCCTTTGTCACATTCTCGTGGAACTGAAGATTCACGTCTCGTGACTTTGTACTCCTTTCGGTTGGCAACGTGTCGTACAAACAAATGAGGAAGGAGTGAGCCGCACTCGACATGGTGGAGGGTGGCTGCCTGTGGCCAGGCCCCTGTCCATATCCAAGTCGGTCGCTGCTGCCCAACCAGAACACGCGGCAAAAGAGGAAAGTGGGCTACACAGACTCAGCGAGGGAAAGAGCAGACAGAAAGACTCCACAGTCGCAGCCCCCCATTCGCGCACATTCACGATTGTTTCCCCATCATTCTCCTCCTCGCGCATCGTGCAGAGGAGGGGACAATGAACAACACACCGCCGAATGCGTCCACGCTGGCATCGCGGGTTTGTTTGTCTGCCAGCGATGAAAGCGACAGGAAAGGAATCTGTCGCGAACACGAAATCCACCAACAGACAAAGAACCGAAGCGTTCTCGCCGAAACAATACGGCGGCCGCGAGGCAGTGTTTCTTTTGTTTTTGTTTTCTTTGACGACGCCTTTGATCGCCTTTGCGCGCTCGAATTTTTGCGTGGACGTGACTGACCTTGATAACCTCTTCTTAAAAAGAAAAGCACTGCCCTCGTCGTTGTGGAATCGCAAGTCATTTTCGAATTGATACTCATCAACCATCAAACCACCAAACGACTCGCGATCACCGCTGGAGAACATCTACATCGCAGGAACGACACGTCGCGACGATACTTTCGGCTCCATTCACTCGCTCAGTGAGCCCTTCGCATCACCAACGTTCATTGTACTTTCACTTTTTTCTTTTTTTTTTTTGTCAAGTATGGATTCCATACTCTACTTCTTCCGCAACCAGCGCGTCCTGCCGTCGGTGGAGTCTAACGATCCGCCGGCGACAAAGAAGGCGGCGGCAAAAGCGGCAGGAAATTCGGCGGCCGGCTCGCCGACCTCTTCCTCCTCGTCCCCATCGGCAGCATCCGCGGCGTCGCTGGCCGTATCTGGCATGTCGGACACTCCATCCCCACCCCAGCGACTCTTGGACGATGACCGCACACCAACCACAAAGCGAAAGGGGGCGCCTTTGGAGAGTGGCCGCACAGCGGCCGTTGTCGCAAAACGGTGGAAGGCGCTCAACAAGGAGATGGATAGGGCCACCTCCGATCAGCTCGCCGCACGCATCATCCGACAACCTGTGTCCATTTCGGCAAAGCTGAACGGGGCTAAGAGCACCGACTCCAGCACCAATGCCGGTGCTAATGGACGCTGGGCAGGCCGGTTTAACCCACTGCACCTGGTCCAGTCGGTCAAGGTGAAGGAGGAGGATTTGGGCGACGAGGCACGTCCGGCTAGGAATCTGAGCGGCCTGCACGACATTCCTGCGGCGAGCACACACGACAACGAAAATGACACCGTCCAAGACCATGGCAGGATTGTTGTGGCTAGAAGCGAATACGACCTGCGCCTCGGGGGAGCGCAGGAGATGCGCGAGACAGAGGTTCCAGACAGCCAGGAAATCACTGAAAGCGAGGCCGGTTTCGAGGCACATATGCGGGATGCAGAAGACGACGATGTCCATGGGGACGGCGACAACGAAGAGGACACGGAAGAGGATGAGGACGACAGCGGGTGGTATGATCCTGCCCTGAGCGCCAACACCTACCCAAATCCCGGCCTGCCACAGCAAGTGCAATCCTTCACAGGCAGCTTAGACCGAAGCGGCACCGGCCAGCCTGCTGCCGACACCGACGACTACGATTCGGACGATCTGGAAGACGAGGACGACGACGACGGTGTGGACGAAAACTGGGACTGGCTCTTCGAAGCCGAGGCAACGGACGCCAACAGCAAAGGTGCCGTGCCTGACGAAAGCGACTACTACTGGTCCGTTGATGTTGATGAGCGGACGGCCTACGAGCAAGGCGTGGCTGCTATTGAAGGCTACAACACCGGATGGACGGCAGACGAGAAGCGCCTTCACCGGCTGCTCTCGCTTCGCGGCTTCCACCCGCTGCTGCCCGCTACCTGGACACGCGACTTTTTGGGCGTGCCCGTGTACCCGTCCCTGTTTGCAACCGCGCACGGTGATGCCCTTGAGCCGACCCGCCCGGTGACCATCAACAACTTTGGCAGCCAGTTTCACGCCACCAAGGCACTGCGTGCGTTGTTCGACCTCCAGTCGCGGGTTAGTGGCCTGCGGCAGACGGGCCACAACACGGCGCGCATTGGCGCCATCATTGAGCGCGAGCTGCGGCGGTACATTGCCTGGGCCGCCGCCGACGCCGGACTCGACCGCTGCGCGCCCCTCGCGGCCATGCCCAACATTGCGGCCAAGCAGTTCCGCGTGGGCCGCCCAGAGCGCTCGCCCAACAAGAAGGGCAAGACGACCAAGAAGCGCAGCATCGCGCGCCAGGTGCAGGACTTTTTTGGCGACTGGGTGGCGCGGTACCGGGCCTACTATGCGGGCCTACCCGCGTTTGATGTGGACGAAGCAGGAGGCGAGACGCATGGTGCTGGTGCTGCTGGCGGTGCTGGTGGTACGCGCCGCCTCCGTCCGCCGCGGCTGCTGTACGGGTTCGTGATTGTGCAGCACGCGGTCATGTTGCTCGTTGTGGACGCGGCGGGCAACCGCAGCAGCCGGCACCCGCGGCCGCGCTGTCTCGCGGATTTCAACCTGTCGTTCGGCGACCGCTGGCTGGATGCGAGTCTCAGCGTGGCCATCCCCGTGCACGTGGCGCGGGCGGCGCAGATGCGGTGCCGGCGCGGCTTGAAGCTGCCGACGGCGGCTGTTGACGATGCGGACGAAGATGCATAGATTTGTATGTTTTTGCAATGTTTGCGGGATGGCGTTTGGCTTTGTTCTTTGTTTGCGTTTCTCGTTATATGCATAGCTTTCTTTTCCTTGTGTTCTGCCTCGGTCCGTCCGATTTGCTTTACATTTCCTTTGTCAATACCCAGATACCCCAAAGATTGTCACAACTGTGCCCGAGAGAAGGCCTTCCAGCGAGACGCGGTTGCGCCGCAGTTGCGTTTTTTTCTTTGTATCCCGGAGTTTTATTCTTTACCAAAGACAAACGCATTGTTTTGTAGTTTCGTTGCAATCACTATAGTTATATCAAATTCCATGAACCCCGTTCTTCCTTGCCGCGCTACTCGGCCTTGGTGATGTCCTTCGGAATGCGGATGGCCTGCTGCTGTGGGACATAGTCGTATGTCGCCGACATGGCCAAGAGACCGGCGTTCTGGTAGTGGTTGGGTGTGGAGGTGTTGCCCGCGGCGGAGTACGCTAAGAAGTTGTGCGGGAAGCCCAAGTCGAAGGGCACCGCCGCCTCGATCTCGGCGACGTCCTCCTTGGTCAAGACGAGAGACAACGCGTCAATGTTGCTCTGCAGCTGTGCCGTGTTGCGGCCGCCCACAATGGGGAAGACATACGGCGTCTTTTGCATGACATAGGCAAGGGCCACGCTGGTAATCACCGTGTTGTGGCGGTTGGCCACCGTTTCAAGGACGCGGCTGACGGCAAGCGCCGCGGGCGAGGCGGGCGCCTGGCGGCCCTCCTTCTGCTCTTGCTGGCGGCGGCGCTGCTCCTCGGTCTTGAAGGCGCCACCGCCCAGAGCGCCCCAGGGCGTCAGAGCCATGCCCTCGTCGCGGGCCATGGGGATAATGTCGCGCTCAAAGTCGCGCGTGGCGGCCGACCACATGCCCTGGTAGACGCTAAAGGGGCGGAGGCCGTGGTTGCGGGCGTACTCGTTGGCCTTGCTGACGACCCAAGCGGGCGTGTCGGAGACGCCAAGGTACAAGACTTTGCCGGCCTGGACCAGCTGGTTGAGGGACTGCATCACCTCGGGGATGCTCGTGGCGTAGTCCCACCAGTGGACGTACAAGATGTCAATGTAGTCGGTGCGGAGCTTCTTGAGGGACGCTTCGACGGAGACACGCAGGCTCTTGGTGCTGTTGCCGGTGGTGTTGGCCTGGATGTGGTCGGGCTTCAGATGGCGGTAGTTGGTGGTGTACTTGGTGGCAATGACCATCTGGTCGCGGACGCCGCGCTTCTCCATCCACTCGCCGATCCACTGCTCGGACTCCTCTGCTGTTGTATTAGTATCTGACTGACCGAGCTGCTCTCCCTGGAAAGCAGAATATATATATATAATATAACGTACCCCACTGGTAGTTGTTAGAGGTGTCGATAAAGTTGCCACCCTAGACTTGTCAACTGGCTGTTCGTGAAGCCTGTACTACAATATCACCTTCACACGAGACACCCACTTTGTCGTAGAAATAGTCAAGCAGCTCATCGGCGGTCTTGTGGTCGACGCTGCCCATGTAGTCCTTCCAGGCTTCGCCAAGGTTCATGCCGCCCAGGCACAGCGGGCTGACACGGACGCTGGCGAGTGGCGAGAGCAGACGGTAGCGGCCGAGGGCCGACTTGGGGGGAGGGGCCCGAGCAAAAACGGACATTTTGCGGATTTGTTGTTATTGTTTTTGTGGTGGTGGTGGTGGTGTCTGGATAGTTGTGATATAAAGTAGACTGGCCTTGAGAAGATACCGAGGACTAAAGTCAAGGACGGCGAGAGACAGAATAAGGGCAGGGGGAAAGAAAGCAAAACAGGGGGTAAGGCAACATATATATACTCGGAAGAATAGCTTGTAGCTGCAAATGAATCCCCGGATAAGAATACCAGGAGACACAAAGAGGAAACGAAACGAATTAACTACATCGAGCAACCGACAATCACGACCGTCAGCAATATCACCAGCAAGGGGTCCGAGGTATACGGACTGATGACTGGTAAGCTCATTGCACCGTGGGCAATGGTGTCAATAATCTTAACTCCGGGGCCTCACTTGGATGGTAGTCGAGCTGGTGGGCCGCTTGAAGCGCATAGAAAGACCTCACGCGGGGGGCACCGGCTGGATGAGCTCGTTTACTTCGTACTTGTTGTCGCCCTCTTCTTTTCCCGGGGAAGGGGTCCACTCTTTGCATGTAATTGCTTTGGGGTGATACTGCCGCGGTCGGTAGCTGCATGGCCTACTACGCATCAACCCTGTGGACATCTGTGGTCTGCTTTTCTTCCGCTCTCCATCGGCTCCATTGCTTCGTTTTGCGCTAGAGACCACTTAGCACGACGCCGGCAGGGAGACCTTGCCGAACACGTTCTGCATACGCAGTCGCTGGCGTCATTGGCGCCGAAGATGTTGGCTCGCCTTTGGGTGTGGTTGTGCTGGTCGTACTCGTGCTTTATGTTGAGGAGACGGTGAGATACGATCGTCAGTGAATTCCTGGACAAAGAGACTGCATATCGAGCAAACGCGGGCAAAATAAACCAAGCTACGGTATCGTTTGCTCTTTCCCTGGACACCCTACAAAGCACAATGGTTCCTGGATAGGAAGGCGCGGCCGCACACTCTGTCACTTTGTCGGTTCGGGAAGGAATGTTGTGCTCTCGCAGCTTGTCGCTCCTTCCCTGTGTTGGCACATCTGCCCCCGCAACTGCCAAGTCAACCCCCAATGTCTCCGGAGATGACATTTCCCTCCTGCCCCGGTTAAAAGATTGCTTTGTCACATAACGCCGAATTGGCTGGTTGTGCATGGAGTTAAGACTTTTTTGCTGACGGCAGCACTTGAGTACCAGGACTTACTGCCACCATCACACACCACTTTGCGTTGTCGTCTGAGCGCCGTCTGGAACAACTAAGTATCTGGCAATCCTGTGGCTCTACAACAGTGATAAGCGACTTCCTTCATCACTATTGGCTGTGACAGCATCTCGCCCAAATAATGCATAAAACGAACAGCAGTGTCTATGGAACTAGGCGTCCCGGAACTGGACATATTACAAAGAGACAGGTGCAAAAGACAAACGTGCTTACTGTCATTGTAACGCTGTCAAGCTAGACCGGCCTCGTCGATGACGCGACGTTGTTGAGCGTGACGTCTTTTCGTATTGAGGCTGTTGATACTTGGTGATCCCCATGAGCATTCACCGATGCCTTCCAGCACCAAACTTTGGAACACGCCTATACCAAATAATGTATCCCCAATAGTACTCTAACATGGAGGACGACGAACAGACAGCACTCTGGAAATACAGGGAGAACAAAATCAAAACCAATAAATACATACAGTGTACAAAAACAAATCGATGCAGAATGTGTTTCCTCTTCTCCAGCCCATCCTTGCCCTGTTTGTTGCCCATTTTCCCAACCCCTCCACCGAAACCATGAATGGGGTGTTTTTCTCTTTATATGTACATCCTCCTTTGCCTCGCGTCTTTCTAACAGGTCCACACGCCGATGCGGCCGTCCCGCCGGCCCTCCACCATGTAGCCGTCTCGTATCCGCACATGCTCCACAATCGCGGGCGCCGTGTGGCCGTCCTCGGCCGCCGTGATCCCCGCGCCGCAGTCCCACTGCCGGCCCTCCACCTTGTCGTACACCTTGACCACGTCCTCGCCCGCGGCGCTCACAATCCGCCGCGCGTCAAACATCATGCTCGTCACCGGGTTGTCGTAGGCGTACGCATCGTAGATGGAGCCCGTCCGCAGGTCCCAGATCCGGATGCTGCGGTCCACGCTGCCCGTCACCAGGTGCACGTCGTCAAACTGCAGACACGTCACGGGGCCCGTGTGGCCGACCAGGCTGCGGTGCACTTGCCCGCTGCGCAGATCCCACAGCCGCACCATGCCGTCGGCCGTGCCGCACGCCAGCGCCGCGTCAAACACCTGCACGGCCCCCACAAAGTCCGCCGCCTCCGTCTGCGCGCGCGACGTTTGCCGCCACGTGCCCTCGCTGGTGCCGGCCGCGCTGCTGCTGCTGACACTGGCCGACGCCTGGGCCGCCGCCCACATCACGTCCAGCGTCTGCACACACCGGCCCTTTTCCAGGTCCCACTGCCGCATCGTCTTGTCCGACGAGCCCGAGACCAGCACGTCGCCCCGGAAGTGCAGCGCTGTGATCTCGCCCATGTGTGCGGACAGCGTCATCAGTGGGCAGTCGGCCATGCTGTCGGCTGGTGGCTCGACGGGCTCGTCGTCGGGGTTCTCAAAGGCGATGCCACCGTCGTCGTCGTCATCGTCGTCGGCGGCACCGCCCCCGCCACCGCCGCCGCCGCCGCTGGCAGCACCATTGCCAGACTTACTGAACAGGCTGCCGTGCGGGTCGTACCGTGACCGGCTCAGGTCCCACAGCCGGATTGTCGCGTCCGCCGAGCCCGTGGCCAGAATGTTGTCCTCCACCTGCAGCGTGCGGACCGACGCCGTGTGGCCCTCAAGCAGGCCGATGCAGCGGCCGGCGTTGAGGTCCCAGACGCGTACCGTGTCGTCCATGCCCGCCGAGACGAGCGTGCCAAACGGCGCGTCAAAGTCAATGGCCGTCACAGCGTCCTGGTGCGCGCGAATTTCGCGGATGCTCGTGCCCGGGTGGAAGTGCTCGTGGAGGATGGGCATCGACTTTTTTCGCACGGCCTTGGGCGTCCTACGCCCAGCGGTCGACCGAGACGGTGTGCTGCCGGCCGAGGGGAGTTTCTCGTAGATGGATTGTGACATGAAACCGGTCGCTGCGCTGCCGTTGGCCGCCACGCCGTCCTCATCGTCGTCGTTGTCTAACGCCAGGTCGACATCGGATTTTGTGGGAGAGTTGGCTGCGAGGGTCTCGGCCTCGTCTGCCAGCTCCTGTGCAATGTCTATTCGGCCCTCCAGGTCCATGACTAGGGATGTTAGCTCACACAACGCATGACCGCACGTCTTCGACGGCAACTGTAATACGTACTGTCGTGCTCCAGCAAGGCCTCGTCCTGCTCCAGCGCAGCTAGCCGGTCCAGCAGAATCTTGCGCATGCCAGCCAGGTTGGCCACTTTGATGTCAATATCCCGGATTTCGCTGCCAGCCATGTTCTTGCGGATGCCCAGCATCTCAAACTGGTGCATCATGGCCGCCTTGTCCTTGCGCATCTTGTGAAGCGCGTGCGGGCCGTCTGGCGTGGACGGCTTGTCGTCGAGCATCTTGCGGCCTCGCGACGAGCGCCGGCGGTGGCCGCCGGTGCCATGGCCGTGGTGGCCGTGCTTCTTGCCCTCCTCGGTCATCTCGGGGAACGTGGCCTGGAAGCCCTGGAACAGCGAGTAGGCGTTGTCGTCCTCGGGGATGTTTTGCAGCATTTCTTCGGGCAGGTAGGACAGCGCGCGGTGGCGGATCTCGCTCGTAGACAAGCGCGAGCGCACCATGTCGGTCGGGGTGGTGCGTGCCATGGCGAGCACGCTGCGCTGGACGTGGGGCCGGCGCAGCTGGCGGTGCACCTCGGACATGGCCGACTTATAGTGGGCATTGGCGGACGGGTCCGAGGGTCCCATGAGGTGGGAGGCTGTGGTCGTTACCTTGCGGCCAAAGGCCTCGATGCCAGCGGCGGAGATGATAGACGTGTCCTCGTCGCCACCGAGGTCGTCGTGGTAGTCATGGTGGCTGTCGTCGTTCGCCATGCGCGCGTACAGCAGCAGGTTGTGCGGCCGAGAGTGCCGGAGGAGAAGGGTCGTGTCGTCACGGATGTTGCGTCACGTCTTCGTAGCCGAGCCGTCTGTTCAGCTTGAGTGTTGCTCTTGCTTCGTGACGTAGGTCGCGTGTCCCCGCGCGTCAGATGCTGCTATCAGCTCTCGCGAATCGAGCCGCAGTCGAGTCGATTGTTGTTGGACGTGTGGCGCAGGGTCAATGGCTCGCTGGAACCGGGCAATTGACAGGTCGTTTTGTTGCCTCGTCGTCGTCTGATGTGTTTCGCCAGGTTGCAAAAGTTTTGTGCGAGATGAAGGGCACGGAGAAAAGCGGGTATCGATTCCGCCCAGACTGGGGTTGTGGACAGGCGCGCGAATCGATCGAGAACGAGAAACTATGCAGCACAGCGACGAGAGGGAGTGAAGAAAAGGGGCGTCTGGGAAAAGGGACAAGACGGATGTCGAAATCCACACAGTTTGACGTAGAAAGAGGCAACAGAGGCGGAAAGGAAGGTGGACGTGAAGATTCACCCCTTGGTTTGCTCTCGGCCTGGCTGCTTCCTGTTTTGGCGCCTTTTGATTTGCTCTCTGGCCTAGACAAAGCCGAGCAAGGTTGATGAGTAGCGGAAGGTGCGACCAGTGGCTCTGAGTCGTCGCCTCCCAAAGCAGCCTAGCTGCACCTGCCTGAACCTGTATGGAAGAACGAGGACGCGCTGCAGCAGCATCTCGCCAGAAGCCCGCTGATTGGCGACAGTGTGGCAAGCGCGGTGGGGCCTTCTTCCAGTGTGTGTCGTACGTCACTGGCTCTTCAGGGCGTGTAGCTGTGCCTTGCAGTGCCCAAATCAGCTGAGCCCTGACCACTGCCGCAGCCCTGAAATTCGGGACATCTCCCAGCGCATGGAGCATTGGCAAATGAGAGGTCACTCACCTGGATGGAATCACGCCCGACGCCGGCGCACAAATTTGGGTCGAGCCTCGTCCTCAGCTCCGCTCGCCGGAATTCTCACGCCACTTGCGTTTTAATCGAGGACGATTTGAAGGAGACCCTGCGCACCCGTTTCCCGTGCTGCTTGCAAACTCTGAGAGCTCAGCTACACAACAAGCCGCGTATCGTCCACCCGCATCGACGCCGCCATGGACTCCTCGATCGACTTCTCTGACCCTTCGCATGCCCTGGACCTGGGCCGGATCCGCGAACAGCTGATGTGTGTATATCATGGGCGATGGCGGCTGGACTGATCTGTCATGGCTGGTTGGCTTTTGTTCGTGCTCGCAGCACTCGCTAACGGTATAGCCGTCTTGAGGATACCATCACGTTCCACCTCATCGAGCGTGCTCAGTTCCCGCTGAACAAGAGCATCTACGAGCCCGGTGCCGTGCAGATCCGCGACACGTCGCTGTCGTGGCCGGTCGGCCTGCTCTGTGGCAAGCGCCACAGGCAGTACTCGTTTATGGACTGGTACCTGTCGCAGCAGGAGGCGCTGCAGTCGCGCATCCGCCGCTTCGAGTCGCCCGACGAGAACCCCTTCTTCCCCGAGGCCGTCCAGAAGCCCATCCTCAAGCCGCTCAACTACCCGCACGTCCTGCACCCCAATGACGTGGTTGTCAACGACCGCATCAAGACGTACTACGTCGAGACACTGCTGCCGGCCGTGTGCGCCGATTTCGGCCATGGCGACCGCGGCGAGACCCAGGAGAACTACGGCTCCTCGGCGACGTGCGACATTGCCGTGCTGCAGGCGCTGTCGCGGCGCATTCACTTTGGCAAGTTTGTGGCCGAGTCCAAGTTCCGGTCGGAGCGGGCCAAGTTCACGGCGTTGATTGAGGCCGAGGACCGCGAGGGGCTGGGCGAGGCGATTGTCAACAAGAAGGTCGAGCAGACCATCCTGCAGCGGATGCGCCGCAAGGTCGAGACGTTTGGCCAGGAGGTGTCGGCGGACGGCCCGGCCACGGCGGCGCCATCGGCCAACAAGCTCAACGCCGAGGCGGTGGTCGCGCTGTACGAGGAGTTTGTGATCCCGCTGACCAAGGACGTCGAGGTCGAGTACCTGATGCAGCGCCTGCTGCCGCCGACACCGACGCCATGGTACGCCTCCCTGCGCAAGTCGAGCGCGCCGGAAACACTGCTGTGGGCGGTGACTGTGGGCGGTGCTGCGGCGACTGCTGCTGCTGCTGCTCTGTGGTGGATTCCCCGGAAGCATTGAAAGTAAAAGACGAATAACGATGGATAGACAATGATTTTCACTGCATTTATTACGAAAATTGAGGAGCACGGAGCGATCAACAGCGCGAAGGGAGGTGTGTCTAGATAAAAGACTGAATACAGTCCAATGTTAAAAGCAATACCAAAACTGTTAATCCCGTTTGTTATGGGCAATATTTTTTATTTAAAAAACTAAAGCAGAGGAATTTAAAAGTCATAAATGCATGTCATTTTGCGAATTGAGCCCCGTCTATATTTACTTTTAATTGCCACGTCACAACGTCCACTCGCACTCTCACGCCGACTGCACGTACTTGCTGACGGCCTCAATGGCTGCCGGCAGCTTGTCTGCTTCAATCAGCATCAGCAGTCCTTGCGACTTGACGCCCAGCTCTTGGAAGGCCCGCTTGCTGTCGGCCACGGATTCGTCAATCTTGGTGTAGGGAAACGTGCCGGCCGCCACCGCGTGCTTGCGCAGCACCTCGTCCTCCGGGTGGAAGTAGTAAAACGGCTCCGACGTCGACGACCCCGACGCGGCCGTCTTGGCCTTCTTCCGCTTCTTGCTCTTGCCACTGTCGTCTTCGTCGTCGTCGTCGTCAACCACCATCGCCGCCAGGTCTGACTGCACCTCCTCGTACGTCTTGGACAAAATCAGGTAGTGTGTGAACTGGTACGGTTCGCCGTCCTCGACGGCCGCCTCCACCTCGTCCATCAGCATCGTGTACAGCGGCGGCGCGATCTCGGCTGGCATGTTGATGAGCCGCTCCGACAGGATCAGGCCAATGTGTGGCTTGCCGGCCTCGGAGGGACCCGAGGACTGGTCGCTCAGCAGGGGCAGCAGCGGTGCAAGGGCGGCGTTGGTCTCGGCCGCGGCCGCGGCCTTGTCGGCCAGGTACTGCTTCAGTTGCGCGACGGCCTTGTTCTCGCGCTGCTCGCGCAGGCTGAGCGCCGTCAGCATAGCATAGGCGTCGTTGGCCTTGCCATCGACCTTGACGGTGGAGCCGATGGTGGACTGTGCCAAAATGACGTCGGCAAGGCCAGAGACGTCAATGAGCGCGGCATCGACATCGAGGAGCTGGCGCAGCAGCGTCTTGGTGCCGTGGAAATCGACCTCCGAGTCAAAGTTGAACCACTCAAACTCGACATTGACAACATCAAAGTCCTGGGAGCCGCAGTTAGCTACTGTGCATCCGTGCCACACAAATCATTCAATATCAACGCACCTCGCCTGAGTCGGAGTCCTCCATGCGGTCCTCATCGTGGACCTTGTTGGCCGCCTCTCTTGACCGCTTTTTGCCCATTGTGAGTGCGTGTGTGTTGTGTGAGCGACAATGTGTCGGAATTGAGCTGCGATGAGCCTGTATGAATTCCCTGGCGCCGTAAACGCCCTTAATACGTCTATATTGTGATCTTTGGATGCCGTTTTGGTCATTGAAAATTTATGACGTCGCCCTGTGATTGGCCCAATTAAGAAGCTTACTGGCCTAGTATGTCGTGGATTAAGGTACCTCTACTTGTGTGGAGACCGCACTGCATATGAAGTACCTTTCGTACCTGACTTGATGGAAAAGTTGAAGTAGCCTCGAAATTCGCAATAACTCCCTCTCTAATCTCCTTCGATGGAAGATGACGTGAAGCCTCTACAGCCAGGAGTAGATGATCAGTTAACGTCTTTTGCTCCGTTTGTGAACTGCATACGACTGTACAACATATATGATCCTGCGATGATCCGAGCACACAAAAGTTTGAACTAGACGTATTCGGGACTGACTACGTCGTACTTCAGCGGTCGCCGCATGCTGTAATAAAAGTCAATTTTTAGAGGTTGTTTTCGGGGTTTCAGGTGTTTTTAAGTGACATAAGCACACGTCTTGGCCGTTTAGGCCTCCTGTCAGTGATTGAATTGCGGGGCCTTTGCCGTCAGCAGCAGGCGAGCTTTGCTGTTTTTGCGACAACGTGCCCCCCCAAACCAGCAGGCGCCCTGCTTCACTAAGGTCACTTTTCCTTGGCACAATGTGGAGAAGGTACAAACGCGACATCATCGCCCCCTTCCGAGCGCCAGGCCACCCACAGGGGGCAGGTGCTTTGCGACAGTCCTGGTAGCAGGGGCAGGTGTAAGACTTACTTTATTACGGCATGACAGAAGGGTTAGCTCTTGCTGTACAGGTTCTTGCTGTCCCGTTCCGCTTCTCTCACAATCCTGCTGCTTGCTCCAACCACCGAAACTATTCTGCTGCCTTGCTTGTCCACGTTTCCCACGCTTCCCTCCAAACAACACAGCTTACCCACGTCACACGTCTGCACAGCAATAAAACTTTCAGTTCATCCGACCTCTCAATCTTTGACAACCATCTTCGCCTTCGGCCCTTTCGTCTCATCGTCTCATCGTCGTCCCCCGACACAGCTCCATCAAACGCACCACGTCTACCGCGCCATCCAAAACAACCAGCAACAATGGATCTTTCCAACGCCTTGTGAGCTTATGCCAGCTTGAGGAAGCATTGATTCGTCGTGCGGCTTAGGCCGTACGTACTCTGACGCTGGCGCACACCTGCTAACCGTCCGATCTTTTCCCGCAGCCGCATCATCAACCTTGGTGTTGGTGTCATCATGGTTCTTGGTGGTATCTCGCAGTTCTTCCCAATCACATTGTGAGTTGCCGCCCGCGCGTGTTTCGTTTCTTCCCCCGTTCTTGCTGCGCGCCACGCTGCTAACCACCGTCGCCTATCGTGCAGCCAGTCTGTTGTCATTGGCGTCTACGTGATCCTCTTTGGTCTTGGTATGTGTCTCTCCAGCGAGCTCCTGTGGCATGGCTTCTCGTCGCCCGTTTGCTAACCATGCGCGCCCCTTGCAGCGACCGCTCTCCTTGAGTTCCAGATCCCGCCCCAGGTCTCCCGGTACGCGTCGTTCCTGTTTTCCTTCATCGGCCGTGGTATCTGTAAGTTTTGGCCTGTCCCGTCCATTTTGCCACCTGTTCATAGATTGTCCGCCTCTTGTCGCTGACCCAACCCCAGTCTACGTCTTCATCGGCTCCATCCTCCTGCACGACCACACCCTGCGCATCATTGCTGGCTCCATTGTCGGTATCATCGGCCTGGTATACTGCGTGCTCGAGTTTATCCCGTCGATTGAGCCGCCTGCCAACATGCGCGAGGCCGATGCTGGTTGGGGTGCCGAGCAGGTGTAAGAGGACCTCGTAGGGGTCTACGGGGAAGTGCCGGCACACGTCGACAACTGTACGCGATAGGACGCCTTGCGATGCGCCCACAAGACCATGTCGGACGACAAGCATCCCCGAAGCTTTGCGAAGTGAGAACCCGGCCATTATCTGGCTCCTTTTCGACAATCATTTTGGTGACTTTGCAAAGATGAATCTCGGATGAGACAAGACGTTTCCGAACACCCATCCTTTGCAATTCAGTTGGAATGACTTTGTGTACTTTTACGGCCCAAAGGTGAGGGCAGACGTTGGTGTAGAGAGGTGGCTACTCGCTGTCGAATACCATGGAGGAGAGAGTCTGAACGAAGTGAGGGAAGAGATGGCGCCCGAGCACAATATGGGAGTTTGAGGGGGCGACTGGGCAAATGTGGTCTGTGGATTTCTGGCTTGCCCACCCGAGTGTAGGACGAAGCCTGTCGGTGTTGTTTGCAGCAGTTCTTTGTTGGGTTTGGTGGATGTGCGCTTGTTGTGCATTTTTGCATCTGCATTTGCATCTGCACTTGTTTTTAATTCTGTTCTGTTTTTAATCTCCTCGTGGATTACCAGGCTGTATTATTTGCACCCATGTATTGCACCTATTACTTTTGATGTTATTAGACTTGTTTTTCCAGCACGCTGTATGATGTCACTTGTGTTTATTATAATAGAGTTGCCTGTAGCGAGATTTGTCTGAACGTTGGCTTCCTATCGCGTTTCCCTCATGCCATGAAACGTAAACATAGGAAAACGTGGAAGCCCCGATGGCCTCAGAAACGAACAGGTTGAGCGTATCCTTTTGAACTATTTGCCGTCGTCAGTTTTGCTAAACAAAATTATACTCCATATGGCCATGTCAACCTCGTCCATTGATGTGATATCATCCCATTCAAAATGAAAAAATTTTGTCCCGGAAAATAAATATAACAGAAAATATTTCGAAATAGGAAAAAGAAAAAAAAAGAAAAGAAAACGCCAGGTATCGCGCCCCCGTTGTTGCGTAGAACGTGGTATCATCACAAAATCAACGAAGAATCCAAAATCTAATCGAGCTCAGCGAGCTCCCGTTCCTTATCGGCAAGCAACTGCCGCATACGCTCAGCCTCCCGCTGGAGGGCCGCCCGCTTCTCAAGGCGCGCGTCCTGGCTGTCGCTGCGACGCGGTTCACTGTTGCTCGAGGGGTGCGACGTCATGCCGCCACCAATGCCTGGGTATGGGCCGGCCATGCTGCCGAGCGAGTTGTCGTCATTGTCGTAGGCCGGTGCATTGAGGATCGACTTGATGGAGGACATGCGCTTGCTAGAGGCCTCGCCGTTGCTGCCGTTGCTACTGTTGTTGCTGCTGCTGCCGTACAACGAATTGTCGTTGTGCGACGAGGGCAGGGCCGGTCCACCGTAGTCGTTCTCGCTCGATGAGAAAGACCGCTTGCGGGAGGGCGAAATAAACGATGCGGGCGACAGAGACGGCTGGCGCTCGATTGGACCCATGCTCGTGAGGCTTGTCAGCGGTGGTAAACGGTTGTCGTCATTTAGGGAGCCGGTCATGTCTATGCGCTGGCCGGCTGGATTCGGGAAGTGGTGTGCGTGTTGCTGGTGTGACGACGACGAGTGGTATTGGTTCAGGTCATTTGCACCGCCGAGTCTCGGTGACGGTTGCTGTTGCTGCTGTTGCTGTTGGTTCTGGCGGAGAACAGGCTCAGGGACAAGTGACAGGGCATGGTCGGCCCGTCGCCGAAGACCTAGATTGACAGATCCGTCCGAATTGACTGTACCGCGCTCCACATCAACGTCTTCGCCAGGCTGTGAATCCGACCGAGCTGCGAGAGAGGCCGGCGCGCCCGGCGGAGGCGTCGCACCTTGCTCGCCCGACGAGGAATAATCCTCACCATGCGGGTCTTGGGCAGTCGGAATGACACGCTTTCGCCGTTTGATGACCGATTTCTTCATAAAGGTGGGACGGTGGACGCCGTGGAGTTTATAGTAAAGGCCTAGGTTGGAAAGTCAGCATATGCCTGTGTAACAGACCACATTGTTTCCGTCCGAAGAGTCAATGTGGCGATCGAATAGGAGCACTCTAATTTCTGAACATACCACAAGCATTGCAGATCGTGCGGCCATTCTCATCTCGCCTCCACAGCGGCGTGATAGTCGTGCTGCAGTTTTGGCAAGCGATGATGACGGTCGACACTTGGCTCTGCAGATTCGTCATGTCGATGGGTGCCGCAGGGTCAAGCGATCCGGCCCGGTCAGACGCATCTCCAGTTGCTGCCGTCTTCCCGGAGCCACAACCTGTGTGCTCCGGTGGCACAGATTTAGAGCCGTCCACAGGCACAACGGTAATGTTGGCGATCTTCGACATACGGTTGTTATAGGCGGGGCAGCCACTGCAACCCTCGGCGCCGCCCGTGCCGTTGCAGTGGCCACCGCCGGGGCAGGTGCCCGAACTTAACTGGTCGGCAGCAACATAGGTCGCGCCAGGTGTCGCAGACTGCAGTTGGGAGACACTCTGTGGCGAAATGGGGACAGCATCGGCGTTCTTCCGTCCGCGAGAACCGCCGCTGCCTCCGGCTGAGGGGCCGGTGGTGGGGGGACGTTTTAGATAACTCGGCCGAGCAGTGTTCCGAGCCTTTTGATATAGGCCGCAGGCATTGCAAATGATTGCGCCCTGCGGCGAACGGCGCCAGAGCGGTGTCCGCGTGATACCGCAGTTGCTGACAGGGATACATGTTAGTCAACGTAAACCATACGCTCATATGATATGGCAGTCGCTGTAAAGCTTACCTGCAGACTTGGCCGCTCAGACCCTGAACAACGCTAGACCCAACATCCGACTGTACGTCCACATCTGCTTGCGAACCGGTCGTGGTGCCATGGGTCGAAGCGGTCTCGGCAGTCACGGAGGTAGGGCTGAGCGGTTGTGATAGGTCGGCGGGCGACCCGGAGTTGCGCCGGCCGTTGTTGGGCGACCGTGCCACAGATGAACGGTTACTGTGTGCACCGCTCTCTTCCGGCGGGGGTGATCGTATCCGGGTCTTGGACGAGTTGCCGTCGACTACGGCTTTGGTAGTTGTGGCCATCGGCCGGGAAGGGAGGGCGGAGCGCATATTCGATTTTGGGGGAAGATATGCGGCAACACTTGCTGCCTCCTCGATTGGGCTCCGGTCGGACTTTTGGAATCCTTTGAGACCCTGGCGAAACGCTTCCAAGGCCTTGGGTTCGGTCTGCTGCTCGCGACTATCGTGATGTTGGTGATGGAGGTGGTGATGCTGATATTCCTGGGATTTATGAAATGGTGCCACTGAGTGTGTCTGTAAGACTTCACCCAGGGCCATCGCCAAAAACCTAAGTAGAGACGAGTCCGATCAAGACGAGTATGATGCTGTCGGAAGTTGCATGACACAGATGATGCGGAAAGTAGGGTCTTCTGAACTTGTGGACGCGACTAAGCAAAGACCAGTGTGGTCGAAGGCACGTGACGTCGTCGTGCCGTTATGATGTCGTCGACAAGATTCGTGAAAGGACGGACTGCCAAAGACGTAGCGAATTATGCTTGCTTCGAACAAGATGATGTCCTCGGTGTCGTCGTCGTCTTTGTCGTTGTGAAGGTGGTTCTCCTTGTCGACGATGTGGCAACGAACAGGTGGAAGTGAGTGACAGAACAAGGAGAATGATGGCTCAGAGATGGCGCTGTATGGAGTGGATAATGACGAGATTCAGACCAGTAAAGCGAGAGACGAGATGTGCGAAAGCAATGTCGACGATCTGGAATCGGAGGACTGGACGCCGAGGCGGAAGAAAGTGTGGCACAAGTAGGAGGCGTCAGCTGTTGTGAGAGAGGGAGTCCGAAACAAAAGACGGTCACCACTGCGCGTTATCGAAGAGGGTGGGATAGGTGGTGGCGGTCGGCGACGGCGTCCGTAGTATTGGGCCGGCACTGGTGGTGTTCAGAACAGACGTTGAGAGGTTGAGAGTGAGGACTGCAGAGATCCCAGGTGTCGTAGTATCGTCTTTAGCGGTGGTGTTCGCAAGTGGAGCAGTGGTGGCATCTGCAGCACAGGAAGGAAGTATCCACTCACGTCGCTTCTATTAACAAGTGTGAGTTTCGGTCCAAAAGGGCATGCGAGGACCGGATGGAAACGAGGAGGAAACAGCGATGGCCACGGGAAGCAAGGCAGTGACGAAAAGGGGGGTGAGCAATGAACGTGACGACTAATAGGCAATTGTAATCATGCGAATCAGGAAATCGCAGCACTGTATTTATCTGATGGGGAAGGACCGGCTAACAAAACCAGCATACCCTACCGCGAGCGGCATGGGGCAACTACTTCTTTAGGAATACTGTTTAGTCCGAGAAACATACTTCGTAGTCAGATTGCCCAGCAGTAGGAACGTGGCTGCCTTGGCATGGCCGCAGTTGCCTTTCGGGGGCGTTATTGCCAAACGTGATGCCGTAAGAAAGCCTGCCCTCGTAGGCCACATAACGCGCCTAAATCAATGCTCTCTGTCTCTATCTTTTCACCGTTTTGTACTTTCGTATTTCTTCTACTAGCGATCCGGCTGCTCGGCGCTGGTGTGCGTCTACTTGGACTCTGTGTCTTTTGCGGCATTGTGGCCTCTTCTTTGAAATCTAATCAGTCGGGCTTTCCCTGTCAGCAGTTGCTCTTGCCTTTCGGGTCCCAACGTGCGCAGGGCTCCGCTGTCGGGTCGCTTTATTGACCAATCAAACTCGCCATGAATGTAATCCCAACCTTTTTAGGCTACGCCACTGCCCCGTTTTCCATCGATCCTTCCCTGTATTGGGGTCTAGGCCATCATCTGTTCGTAGCGCAATCTGCCCCCGAGGTCGCAAAGCGCACCATGTTGTAAGATACAGGCGTAAGCCCTTGCGAATGGGGGCATTGCGCGTTGCTTCCGGGCAGTTTGTTCCCATTTCGCTCCGCCGTATTACTTGTCCGCGGAGGCAGGTGTTATGCCCGTTATGCCGATAGATGCATCTTATATCCGAGTCCGTACGCCTTGCCTTCATTGCATCGCTCCCCTGCCCACAAAACTTGTATCTAGGCGGGTGCCCTGGATGTGCAGGGGAAGGCGCGATGCAGCAACGATGGCGGGGGAAGGAACGGGTTATGTTGTGTTCTGGGGCATGTTCGCAACTGTGCATACATGCCAACAAAACAAGGACAGGCCGCGATACGAAGGCCCGTGAGATTATCTGATCCAGTGCGATGGCGCATCTTATCTTTCGACATTCGGCACAGGCCGACTTGGTCCATTTTTAAGGTCGTATTTGGAGAGGCAGCTGCCTGAAGCTGAAGTGTATAGGACGTCTCGTCATTTTGTCGTCAGTCGCGCTTGCCTCACTTGAATTTTGAGATATTCTTCTTTGCTTCTGTCCTCTTCTTTGGGAAACGACGACCCAGGTAAGACTCCTTCATATTTCATCTGTTCGCTTGCCAAAGGAAACGAGTAATCAAATGTGGGCCAGAAGTATCATACAAACCAGTCCAGAGAGCCAAGCTTCGGCAGAGATCCACTACTCACGCAGCCGCTTGGTGGGGACAATAATAATTTGAAAGAATAAGAAACCGAAGCGTACTAGAAAAAAAACCAATAATTTTAGATTTTCGAACACTGCAGTCTGACATGCAAGTGCATAATTTACACTTGTACTTTGTGCCTGCAGAGTACTCGAACGTACTCGAACAGGGCCGCCCCCTGACAGAGACAGAGTAGAAAAACTAGCTTCCAGCAACGCTTGTGCACTTCTACTGTGACCCAAGCCGCTTTGTGCCGAAAAGGAGCGAAGAAAACTGAGCGGCGAGAAGACTAGCTATTTCCTGCAGCGACCCGGTCCCAAAAAGCGGCCAGTTTTTATGGGGGTGTTCCATCGATTTTTTGGGTTGCCATCTCCGTTGGCCTTTTTAGGGGTGGGCGCCGATCTACATCGACCATTCAGGACGCGCGCATTGTCAATTGTCATGGTCGGTAATGGTGTCATGCAGTTTACAATGGGGTTTATTGGACAGTGACTCCGTTTCCCAAAGCGAAAAACTATAATCGCTGGCTACCAACCGCCCCATCGACGCTATTAACACGCAAAACGATGACATACAAATGTTGTTCAGAGACGGCGTTCCGCACAGCACCATTGATACACACAGACAAACAAAATCCGAGGCGAAGAAAACGGAATGGCGAAAGGCACAAAATTGACACCAGATCAAAAAAGTTGGGTGACAGGGCGATGGAGTGGAAACACCGCCTTCTTATACGATACTTACCAAGCCGATGGCGTCAGGCAAGCCGGCAACGACGAGCATCGCTTGGAAATGCTAAAAAGGAAATTGTCGACAAAACGATAAGATGGCCGGACGTGGGGTATGTTTTGAAGCATTTTTAATCCGCCGTCATTTTCAGCTGGAGAGAAGATGTGGCAGTGTCAGGAAGGCTTTTTCTCTGTCTTGATTTCGGTAGGCGCAGAACAGCCCATGAACCGGAACCGCATTTGCTGGTTCTGTCTTGCCCGCCTAGCATGGTGGGTGGAGTTTGCCATTGGACGTTACAGTCACATACTTTGTCATTTCGTGCTGTGTTCAGGCCTGTTGTGTGAACCGATGCTGTCGTCGGCCACAGCACCTTTACCGAGCCGCATACTATTCCAAAGATACAACGAAGACAACACGTCTACGAAGTAAACGTGAGGCCGATTTTATCGGGCGATCTCCTTCCTTCCCAGTCGTCGAGTGGTAATCTGACCAAGCAATGGCCATGGTGCTTGAGACACGATTTTTGAGGACTAACAGTCAAGGCTGCTGAGGCCAACAATGTTTGTATCAAAGTGTAAGCTGAATGGTCTTGTAAATTCAAACAGTAGAGAAGCTAAACCGCGTTGTGCTTTGACGCTCTATAGGACTTGTATGAAAAGCGCTTGTTGAAAATAAGCCATGTTGTTGGCCGAGGATCATGTTGACTGCACGTCATATGACAAACGTTGGTTTCCATCGGAAGATCATACCACAGAACTGAAATCAATCCCGAAATCCATGTAACACCGATCTATCTGAATCTCAACTTTCCAACGCCGCCAAACTCGAACATGTTGGAGACCTCCTCCGCTCGTGTCTCAAAGGTGGCAATGCCGAATAGTGAACCGCAACCTCATCGTCTATGATTTCGATGACCTGTCCATTTTCGTTCCAGCTACTGGGAATTGCAACAACGTCATCACCCATGTTTGCGTCGTCGACTTCTGTCTTGATGACAGGACTTTGTGTGTCGTTGAAGTCCCAAGTTATGGCCGGCGGTGCATGCACGGGACGCAGCGGAATGATTTCCATGACGGTGTTGATCCGGGAGGCAGCCTTTGCCGCGGCAAAGGCTGCCCCCGCTGCGGCGGCCATGTCGATTGCGCTCTCCTCCTGGCTCAAAGAGACGATGTCGAGAGACCCCAGGATGGGCGACACGTCCGCCTTTTTCTTTCTCTTGCTGGACGAGCCGACGCTATTGCTGCTGTCGCTCTTGACTCTCTTACGGTTACCGTGTGGCCTGGCCTTGGCCTCATCACCCGAAAACCCATCACCCAGAAACTGCACGGGAAGTTGTTGGAACAGTGGCTCCTGGGGGCCTGGGGGCAATAGGTGTCGGGGTCTGAATACACGACTCTGCAAACCGTCGACAGAACTATGTGGCTGCTCCATGTCAGAGCGTGCATTGGCCCAAGTATGTCTTCGAGAGCTGCGGACCTTGTTGAGTCTTTTGTAACCCGGAGGCGGCGCCGTATCGTAGACATTCCGCTGTGATAGACGCTCTCCCAAGGGGTCCTCCATATCCATCGCTTCGTCGGCAGGCGGTGACAGAAGAGGCGAGAACATCAGGGGCAGGTTGGACCGAGAAGGTGTCCGCAGCGGGACCACGGCGGTGTCGACATCGGATTCAGCGATTAAGTCAGTATCGGTTCTTTTCCCTGTATGTTGTCCCCCATTTTATTAGTGGTCTGACGGCAAATCGGGTATGATAGAACACCCACAGGCTTTAAATACTTACCTGCAGCCACTCCTAACGCCATCCTTTTTGAGCTGTGCCTTGCACCTTGTCCAAGTCGAAGATATAACGAGTCGTCCTGCTCGCGAACAGCATCGGAGTCCATCGACATCGGACTGCGCACCTTCCGCTGCGGTCCATGTGATGAAGCAGCAGTCCTGAGAGATGGCAGCGTCGTTTCGGGCTCCCACTTCTCTCCACGCGAAAGAGGCATTGTTGCGACGGTGGCATCGGGTTTGGGCGACATTGATAAAGGGGCGCTAGATGGACAAAAAAAGATGTACAAAAGGGGCTCAAATAAAGGGGCTTCTTTCGTCATCGCGGGAATCTTGTCCATCAGAGGAAAGAGCTTCCCTCGAAACGGAAGGAGTTCTGAAGCGGCAATGGTAGGCATTCCGTACGAAGAAGTCACGAACTACATCGCCCAGAAGCGAGGAAGGAGCGAAGAGCGCCAATTGCTATCGAGTTCTGTGTCGACTGGTAAGAAAGACAAAAGAATTGGCAGGGTTTGATTCAGTATTATATATATAAGCAGTGCACGATGCAATTCCAACAAGTAAAATAAGAAAAAGGAACGAGGGCTGTTCAACCATCGCATACTATTTTTCCAGATCCCGCTGACGCCGATGTGGTCCCCAAATCCCACGAAATACGAACCAAACAAGGAGCAAGAAGAAAACCACGACAAAACATGAACAACGCGGAAACGCATCCAGCAGATGCGGTCTTGGCCGCTCTCACTTCTCACTTGCCGCCCTTGCCCTTGGCCTCCGTCTCGGACAGCTCGCGCACAATAATCTGCGTCTTGCCGGCGCCGCTGTAGTCCTCCTGGCCCGTCTCGAAGCCGGGCGCCACGCCCATGGCGAGGTACCGCCCGTTGCCGGAGAAGGACAGCGCCCACACGCTGTTGGGGATCTTCTGGTACTGCTTCATCCGCCGCTTGGCCTCGGCGTCCCACAGCGCGACCGTGCCGTCGCCGCCGCCCGACGCAAATGTGCCGTAGCGCGGGTGGAACGCCAGCGCGTTGACGGGGAACACGACGTCGCCGCCGCCCTCGTCCTCGGGCGCGGCCTGCCGGTGGCACTTGAAGGCATACTTGCGGGCCTGCGACTCGGCGCTGTCCTCGAACCACTCGACGGCGACGCGGCCCTCGATACTGCTCGTGGCATAGCCGGCGTCGTTGGGCATGCAGGCGACGGCGCGCGTCAAAAACTTGAGCGAGGACTCGCGCTGCTGCCAGGGCTTGACGGCGGCCGGGTCGGTGGTGCCGGCGGCGAACAGGGCGGCGATGGTGGGCAGATCGTAAATGTGGACGAGGCGGGCGGTCATGGCGACGACGACCTTGGTAGGGCTCGTGGACAGGGCGTGGACCTTGCCGGGCAGCTGGATGGCGAGGGGTTCGTGGCGGCCGGAGGCGGAGACGTCGTGGAAGTGGAGGGTGGCGTCCCACGAGCCCGAGATGACCAGGCCGTGGTCGGCGCTGTAGGCGATGCAGCTGACACCCTGGCTGTGGCGGCTCATAACCTGGAGTGCGCCGGTGGCGAGGTCGATGCGCCGCACGGTGTGGTCGAGGCCAGCCGAGAAGGCCTCGGAGTCGTCCTTGCCGAAGCAGACATCGAGGACGGGGCCCGGGTGCGGGAACGTCTGGACGAGCGTGCCCTCGCCGCCCGCCTCTCCGTTGTGGATGTCGTAGAGGTATACGTTCTTGTCCCAGCAGGAGGCGAGCAGGCGCGTGGATTCGGTGCCGGGCGCAAAGCTGAGGGCGGAGACGGCGTCGCCAGGCGCTGGCGCGACTTCGAACTGTACTGTTTTGGGGTCCAAGGGAAGATTAGTCGGTGTGGAGGGCATACGCGATAGCTTGAGAGGCTGGGCAACACTCACCTGGCGCCATATTGGTGGGCGTTTGTAGTGGGTGACAAGCAAAAGGCTTCAGACGAAGAGCAGAAGCCGCGACAGTCAGCTGTAAACAAGGAGGCTGCGACGTAAATAGAGATGAAAGTCGGCCGTCAGAAAAGAGAAGCCAAGCGCACCGCACGCTAAGGCGATAAGATAAGGCGTGGGGTGGGAGGGTTGCCGCCTGTCGCCAGGACATGTGGGGCCTAGGAGAGCTCTTCCAGCACACCCATCGTCCCTTACAAAGATGCACTAAGTTTTTCTACGGTCTTCCATCATCACCAGGATTATATCAACTTTGAGACAGGACATCACGCTTTGGCGACGCATGAAACGGACAGTTGACTTACCCAGCATTGATACATCTTATTCGTACTTCCTCACCCAGCCAGCCTGCCCTCCCCATGCCGTTCGCCCAGCTTGTCCTCGGCAGCCCCGGCGCCGGCAAAAGCACATATTGCGATGGCAGTACGTACTTTGAATTGACGGTGCAGTTGATCTGGCACGCAAGTACTGCTACTGACAACCTGTGTAGTGCACCAGTTTATGAGCGCGATCGGACGCCAGTGCTCGGTCGTCAACCTGGACCCGGCCAACGACCACGCCAACTACCCCTGCGCCGTCGACATTCGCAACCTCGTGACGCTCGAGGAAATCATGGCCGACGACAACCTGGGCCCCAATGGCGGCGTGCTCTACGCGATCGAAGAGCTCGAGAACAACATGAGCTGGCTGGAGGACGGCCTCAAGGAGCTGGGCGACGACTACGTGCTCTTTGACTGCCCGGGCCAGGTCGAGCTCTACACGCACCACACTTCGCTGCGCAACATATTTCTCAAGCTGCAAAAGATGGGATACCGGGTAAGTGAAATGACGTTCCGCTTATTCTTTTTGTAGGACCTGTCACGCTAACTACTTGACTACTTGTAGCTCGTCGTCGTCCACCTCTCCGACAGCTTCTGCCTGACGCAGCCGTCGCTCTATCTCGCCAACATTCTGCTGGCGCTGCGGGCCATGCTGCAGATGGACCTGCCCCACGTCAACATTTTGACCAAAATCGACAAGGTCGCCGCGTACGACCCGCTGCCGTTCAACCTCGACTACTACACCGACGTGCAGGACCTGTCGTACCTGCAGGGGGCGCTCGCGGAGGAGTCGCCGGCGCTGCGCAGCGACAAGTGGTCGCGGCTCAACACGGCGGTGGCCGACATGGTGGAGTCGTTTGGCCTCGTGCGGTTCGAGGTGCTGGCGGTCGAGAACAAGCGCAGCATGATGCACGTGCTGCGGGTGATTGACCGGGCGGGTGGGTATGTCTTTGGCGGCGCCGAGGGCGCCAACGACACCGTGTGGCAGGTGGCGATGCGGGACGAGTCGTCGCTGCTCGAGGTGGGCGACCTCCAGGAGCGGTGGATCGACAACAAGGAGGAGTACGACGCGATGGAACGGCAAGAGTCGGCGCGCGAGCAGCAGCTGCGCGAAGCGCACGAGGCCGCCGCACGGGTCGAAGAGCTGGACGTGCCGGGGCCATCGTCTGCTGCCCCCTCTGGTGCCGACGACGACGAACTCTTTGACGCGGACTTTTCTCAGCCGTACACGACGGACAATGGCATCAAGGTCGTCCGTCGGAGCAAGAAATGAGTATACGATGGGCCGAGGAAAGGATCCCCTATAGATGGTTCCGGTCCTGTTCCTGTTCCTCCATTCACAGGGGTTGTTCTCAGTCCAGGCCTGCTGCTTCGCCTCCGTCATCCTCCATGCCCTCGCCGTTGCCGTCTTCAAAATCCGAAAGGTCGTCTTCCTCGTCCTCATTGCTGTCTTCGTCGTCGTCGGACATGACATCCGCCAACAGGTTCTTTGCCTGCTTTCCTTGCCCGGTGCCTTTCGTTGCCGCTGCCGACCGCGTCAGCAGCTCAAATGCTGACGTCGTGTTGCCGGCCACGTGTGCTTTGGTCGCCAGGACCAGCGTCCGGGCCTGGCGGATGGCTTCTTGTTCGACCTGTCGGATGGTGCCGCCGACGCGCGACACGCGGAAGACGCAGGACCGGCCGTTGCGGACGGGCACGTGGCGCATGAACGTCAGGGCGGTCCAGACATAGCGCACGTGTTCGCGGGTGATGCGGAGGATAAAGGTGGAGGTGGCTCGAGAAAAGTATTTGACTGTTGTGTGTTAGGGCCACGGACTTGAGTGGTGTCAATTCGGGAACCATCGGGGCCTACCACTGAGGGTCCGTTCGACGGCGCCGGCACCGCAGTCGCCAAAGAGGGCCTTCGCCTCAGATTTGATGCCACGCAGGAGCAGCTGTCGCGTCAGGTCGCTCTGTGTCGGGCGGCGTACGGCGACGAAATGAGGCTGTTCATGGCTGTTGGTGTTGCCATTGCTGTTCTTGGCGTCGGCCGTGCCGTCGCGTGGGTAGAGGATGTTGACCAGCAGGTAACGCTCTTTGACGCGCACCATGGTTGCGTTGACCTGACACGTTGCGGGCCGCTGGTCAGGTTCGTCTGTACTGTCGATTTTCGCTTTGGTGACGTGAAAGGGTTCACCTCGAAAAGTGAGCCTCAAAAGTTTAGCGGGTCAGAATTTGGAGCTTGGGCGGATGAAAAAAGTGGAGAATAGCTGTACCTGCCTTAAGCGGGGACTCGCCCGCAGGTCACCCGCACTGAACGCCAATGGCCATATCATGACTTTACATGAATCAAGCATTGTGAGGTGTTTGCCAGATACCCAACCTGATTGTCTCCCCATTGTTTTGGATTTCTCGTTGTCGATTGCTTTTACACAATCCTCGGTAAACAACCACGGAACACGGTAAGGGCCGGCATCACGTTGATCTCAAGTCACACGAGGTCCATTCGTGTTGCATCGTCGCTGTGACGCCAGCAACGTCCTTCATCCGCCGATTCCATTGCAGTTGTCCCACGTATGGCATCTCCCGCAACACTCCAGGCGGCCATCTTGGTCGTGTCGACAACAGCCGCGCGCGATCCGTCGACCGATGCAGCCATTCCGGCGCTGACGAGCGTCTTGGAGGAGAGCGGCCAATGGACGGTGGCAGAAACACAGATTGTGACCGACGAGGCCGCCGCCATTCGCAAGCAGATACAGGCGTGGACGGATGTCGACGAGAGCCGAGAAAGCTTCATCAGCCTCGTCGTCACGACCGGCGGCACCGGCTTCGCCGTCTCCGACATTACCCCCGAGGCCGTCTCCGAGTTGATCGAAAAGCCGGCACCGGGCCTGGTGCACGGCATGCTGGCGGCCTCACTGCAAGTAACGCCATGTACGTATTGCGTGTTTGGACTGTTGGTCTGTCTTCAATGCACTCTCACTAACCAGCAGTCGCCGTGATGTCGCGGCCGGTGGCGGGCGTGCGGAAACGCAGCATTATCGTGACTCTGCCAGGGTCGCCCAAAGGCGCGAAAGAGAACCTGCAGGCGATTGTGAAGATGTTGCCGCACGCGTGTGTCCTGGCCGCCGGCATGGACTCGCGAGCATTGCACGCAGGTGGGGTGAGGAAGCTCGAGAAGGACGCGGGCGTTGGTGCTGGTGCTGCTGCTGGTGCGGGTGCCATTGCCGGTGCATCAGCGGCCGTCCACAGCCATTCGCATAGTCACAGCCACGGACACGGACACGGGCACGGGCATGGACATGGGCATGGCCACAGTCATGGTGGCCACGGCCACGGGTTAGTTCACCATGCCCCGCCAGCAGACGCGGCACCGACAACGCCTCTCTCCAACGACCCGAGTCTGGGCCCTACCCGACGGAACCGGGCCAGCCCGTACCCTATGCTCTCCGTGGACGAGGCTCTAGCACGCATCAGCGAGTTCACGCCGGGCTATGCCGAGGCCGTGCGGCCGGTCAACGAGGCCCTCGTCGGCCATGTTTTGGCGGAGGACGTCTACGCAGCCGAAGACGTGCCGGCCTTCCGTGCCAGCATCGTGGACGGGTATGCCGTGGTGGTGCCGAAACCGAGCGACGCCGATGCGGACACCGATGACCGTACCAATGGTGGCAGTCGCACCCTGTCGGGCGTCTTCCCTGTCGTGGCCGTCTCGCACGCGGCGCCCGACGAGGGCAACGTCCTCCGCGCCGGCGAAATTGCCCGCATCACCACCGGAGCACCCCTGCCGGCCGGCGCCAACGCGGTCGTCATGGTCGAAAACACGGTGCTGCAGTCCCGAACAGACGACGGCGCCGAGGAAAAGGACGTTGCGATCCGCGCTGCCAATGTGCGCGACGGCGACAACGTGCGTGAGGTCGGCAGCGACGTGCGCCGCGGCCAGCTGATTTTGGCCAAGGGCGCCAAGATCACGGCGGTCGGCGGCGAAGTGGGCCTGCTGGCGTCCGCGGGCGTGCAGCAGGTCGCCGTCTGCCGGCGGCCCGTGGTGGGCGTGCTGTCGACGGGCAACGAGGTGGTGGAGCACACGTCGCGGCCGCCGTCGCGCCTCCGACTGGGCGAGGTGCGCGACACGAACCGGCCGACGCTGCTGCTGGCGGCGCAGGAATGGGGCTTCGACACGGTCGACCTGGGCATTGTGGCGGACCAGCCGCACACGCTGGAGCAGCGGCTGCGCGACGCTCTGCGGCAGGTCGACGTGGTCGTGACAACGGGCGGCGTGTCCATGGGCGAGCTGGACCTGCTGAAGCCGACCCTCGAGCGGGCCTTGGGCGGCACCATCCACTTTGGCCGCGTGGCCATGAAGCCGGGCAAGCCGACGACGTTTGCCACGGTCGAGGTCAAGGAGGCGGTGCGTGACACGAGCGTGGCCAGTGCCGGCGGAGGCAGTGCTGCCGGCGACGTCGTCCACAGCACCCGCCGCGTGGTCCGGCCTGTCTTCTCGCTTCCCGGCAACCCGGCCTCGGCACTCGTCACGTTCCACCTCTTTGTCCTGCCGGCCCTGCACCAGATGGCCGGAGAACAGCCACGCGGCCTGCCACGTGTGCCCGTCGCGCTGTCGCACGACTTTGCGCTCGACAAGGAGCGGCCCGAGTACCATCGCGCCGTGGTCAGTGTCGGTGCCGACGGCGTCCTGAAAGCGACGAGCACGGGCGGCCAACGCAGCTCCAAGGTCGGCAGCATGCGTGGTGCAAATGCGCTGCTATGTATGCCGGCGGGTCCAGAGCCGTTAAAGGCCGGCGCCAAGGTGGACGCGTTGTTGATGAGCAATGTTCGGAGCGAGATGTGACAGTTGTTACGACAGCCTGATCAGACGATATTTAGATGTACAAATTATACAGATTTTTCTACCTGCTTCCGTCAAGCTACCGTGGTAGCGTCCTCTATTATACGTTGAAGTTGTAGCGGGTTGTCCTCCGGTAAAGGAGATGAAATTGCAAGTGAAAAATGGAACGTGGAAACAAAATCAAACGCCAGACAAATGCCGTGTCAGCCCTCTTTGTAGGTAGAAAAAGATGCCAACATGTGTAAACCAAACGGGAGAGAAAAGAAAGAAAGAAAAAAGGAAGGAGAAAATGAAACAGGGAATCATGCCAAGCAAGCCCGTCAAAGATTGCCATACTCAACATCACAGAAACGAGGATCATAATGGAGCCCTCATCCACAACTGTCTTTGGGTAGTCCACCACCCCAACAAAATCTGGTCTCGTCCCCGCCTCCATCTAGCCAAGAGTCGCCAAACTATCTGGAGCCATCGTTTGGCCAGTCGGCGGACGAACACATAGTCGTCTGCACCCTTAGCTCGCCGCGGCCATATTATTCGGCGCCAAACTCGGTAGCCTTGCTCGACACCAGCAGACCAATAATCAGGCCAAACAGACCCAGCACGGAGCTGAAAATCTCAATCACCAGGATCCGCACAAACAGCGACGGGTCCGCCGCGTCCGCCAGCGCGGCGCCGCTGCCGTTGATGCCGACCGCGACACCGCACACCAGGTTGCAAAAGCCGACGGTCACGCCCGCCCAGAAGAGGGCAAAGCCCGTGTAGTAGGAGTCGGCGCTGTAGAGGTCGGCGCCGGTGACGGCCTGGATTTTCGACGAGAAGATGATGGCCATGATGACGCCGTAGATGGCGACGACCTCGCAGAAGATGATGGAGATGAGGTTCTTGGTGCGGATGCGGGGCGCCTTGACGCCGCCGCCGAGGATGGAGGAACCGGTAATGAAGATGCCCCTGGCGGACCTCGCATTAGCATTGTCATCAAGTCCAGAGATCCAGAGACCAGAGACCAGAGACCAGATGAACCGATCGACGGATCAAGACTGGAGAGGGCGCGTCCACTTACCATGCCGCGCCGACGACGGAGAGGCCGATGCAGAGGGCAATGCCCAGGGACGCCCACGCATACGGCGACACCGACTCGAGAAATGCACCCACGTTAAAGGCCTCGCCGCTGCCTGTAAACAGCATGTCTGTCCCAAGTCAGTATTTCGTTTGGTCGTGATCCTCTCGCCATCCGGTTGTCCCATCGGGGATCGAAAAAACGTACAGGCGCCGACAATCAGCAGCGCGGACCCCGTGCCGCCCAGTCCGTACGAGAGACTCATCGTAGTGGTCGCCGTGTGGTGTGTCTGGAAGATCAAAGACGGAAAGGAGAGAAAGATGAACAGACGCCGGTGTCCGCGTCCGACACTCGTTATCTCGACACTTGTGGATGAGGTGATGGGGTACGCCGAAAAGTAGTGTCGTCTCAGTCGCTCAATCGAAGCCGTCCAGGGCAGATTCGGCCGTTGAAAAGAATGTCGTCGGAGAGGAAGGGCTCCCGCATAGATGGGGCCGTTGGCTGGTGATGTCGCAAAGAGCAAAGGGGTGGCGTTCTGTTGGTGGTTTGCGGTCTTTTTTCCAGGGATGGGTTTTCGAAGGCCGACGCCAGTTGTTGCAAGGCAGCTAGTTAGTTGCTACCTCGAAATCGCGAAGCGTGCTGCCTCGAATTCAGCCAATCAGACGGTGCTACCCGGGAAGCTTCCAGCACGTGTGTTAGCACGTGATTTTCACGACTTATCACGTGTTCTCCCGAAATTGTCATTATCGTGAACGACTTTAAGGAAATTTCATTTATTTCGTGTATTTTCTGTCTCATTTATGTACCCTGTCCCCATAAGGCCGTGAAGTCACCGACGAGGTCTGACATGAACGTTGGTGATGTTGGTGATTTACAGCCTCGCAAGCCTCCTTGCTGGCATCGTGCACTCTAAGATGACTTGGTAAACAATTGTTTCTTGAATTCTTCTATTAACTGTAGCCTTGTAAAAGTCTCGTGCAGGAGAACATAACAAAGGTAAACGAAACCAAACCGATGGTTAGTTGAATGTGAAAATTCGAGTAGAAATATTATTTTATTTATGTATATATAATCTAGTTATTCAAAAAAAAATTTAAAAGTGAAAATGAAAATAAAAATGAAGCAATGTTAACATTTGAAAATAATGTACACCACGATAGAATGAAACTGTACTGTATATCAATCAAGAGATAGAAACGTTTCTGTTGGTTTACCTGTCAGCTAGCCGCCTGACCTTACGTTGTAGATACGAAACTTGAGATGTTTTTAAAGACCATAGCTGAGTAAAATTTACAACGTGCAACGGCACAATAAGGTTCATCCAATGTAAAACACATGACCCTTATGTTTTCTTTTCTCCCTTATGTTCGACTTCCTTGGCTTCTTCTCATTGAACTTTATTCATTACCGTCGCTAGTCTCGTTTTATTTTTCTCTGTTTTTATTTTTATTTTTATATTTATTCCTTCCTCCGCTTCCCTTCTTTCTATTATTCTTACAACTTTTTGTACCTCAACAATCAACGAACGGCAACAATTAACGATACCTCCGTCAGTTACAATGTGCGGTTACATTTACTACAAATATGTATCGACCCTCTGCGAGCTCAGACGGCAGCATGTGAAGGCCATCCCAATCAACATCTGGTGTGACCATGCCAAATCGATCAACCAGGTCTGTGATGGCTCAGCATCGGCGCCCAAAACATACCTGCCGGATTTAGAGCCCAGGTCGTACATTGTGAAAGAAGGAAAATGTGTCCATTGTGTGCGGAGGAAGAAAACGGAGTGATGCTTTTGACGGCATTTCAACTGTGTCATGACTGTTCTCTGCATTTCACATCTACAACACTACCTTTTCGACGATAGCGTCACGTTACTTTGACCATCCGAACATTGACCTTGGACGAACACATGCGGCCACCAAAACCGGACCATCCTTACGACTGAGCACTCTCGGCCATGCTATCCCGCAGCGGCTTTGGCTGCAGCCTCTTCCTCTTCGTTGTGCTGTCCATGCGCCCCAGTGTCTCTGCGACTGCTTTCTCCTGTGCCTTTTGCTTGACCAACGCCTCCAGCGCATCCACCGCCTCGGCTGGCCCGTTGTGTCGCGCAAAGTCGTCGCGAATCCGGGCTGCAACCGCACGGTAGTCATGGCCCGGGGGGTGCAGGGCCAAGGGCCCGCCTTTCTTCTTGTTGCGTGGCGCACGCGCGGGTGCATCGCTGTCCACGATGCGCAGCACCGCAGCCCGCACGGCCGCGGCTGTCGGGGCCGCCGTGGCCAGGTCGATGCCCGCGCCCGACCAGGCCACGCGGCTGCTCACGTCCGCCTTGTCCTCGGTCCGCCCGGCACAGACCAGCGGCACGCCGCAGCTGAGGGCGGCCAGGACACCGTTGTAGCCGGCATTGGTGACCATGACGCCGACGTGCGGCAGCAGGCGCAGGTGGGGAACGAAGGCGGCCGTGCGCACGTTGGCCGGGCGCTTTATCTTGGGGCTCTCTGGGACGGCGGCCGTGTCGACACCTTGGACCGCTTCAACAGTCTCGACATTCGGCCCTGAATGTGAGGCCATCGCGGTACCGGCAGGCGGGTCGCTTTTAAACATGGCCTCGACGTTCTTGCCGGTGACAATGACGAGCAGGTCGTCACGGTCGGCGAGGGCCTCGACCGTCGGCTTTACCAGCAAGTCGGTGTTGGTGGCAATGGTCCCTTGGGTCAAATGGACGACTCGCTCGCGTGGATGGGCCAGCATCTCGTCCCACCACGGCGGCGTAGTGTCGGCCAGTTGCACATCATTTGCAGGCGGCGTGTTGTCGGTAGGCTGTACAGCGTCGGCCGACGCTGCGTTTTCGTCACTGGGCTCTGCGCCGGCAGCACCCGTGCTGGCATTGCCTGCTGCCTTTGTGCCGGCCTCGCTGCTGTCCTCCACGGCCTTCTTGTCCCCATCCAGCCAGGACGGCAAAAGAGGCCCGACAAACACGACGCTGCGCAGCATGTTCTTCCGGGGGAACTCAAACGCCGGCGTCGTCATCATGATGTGGAGGTCCGGCGACCGCACATCGTCGGCATAGCTGCGCCAGCGGCTGCGCGGCGGCAGCCCCAGCGCGCGGCGCTGCTTGTTGAGCGCCGCCGACAGCCGCGAGATGAAAAAGACGATGCCCAGAGCGTGGCGCACACGGTTGCGCAGACGGCCCCCGGCGGTCCGCGGCGGCTGCTCGCCGGACCCCCAGGGCGGGATTTCCGGGTCGAGCGTCACCAAGGGGTTGATGCCGAGGGTGGCATAGGGCAGGCCGGCGCGGTCCATGTAGCAGCGGGCGGCGTAGGTGCAAAAGTCGACGACCAAAACGTCGGGGACAAACCCGTCGGCGGCGGCGGCGACGCCCTCATAGTCGCGGACCTGGGCGGGGATGCGGTCCAGAAAGAGGCGGCGCAGGTAGTCGGCGACCTTGGCGAGGGTGACTTTGCCGTGGATGACGTGGATGTGTTCGTCGTCGATGAGCGCGTCCGGGGACATGGGCACAAACCGGGCGCCGGTCTGTCGAACGCGCGCCTCGTAGACCGGCCCCGTCATCCAGACGACGTCATGGCCGCGGCGGACGAGCTCGCAGATGACGGGCTGCGTTGGGTTGAAGTGCCCGGCGTAGGGATAGGTGGACACGAGGACCTTCATGGTGAGGTGAGGGATGGTGGCGATGAAATGAGGCCAAGGGCGTCAGACCACGACGAAATGGGTGTGTCAACACATAAATGTGCAGACAAAACGATGCATTCCAAAATGTCGGATAAACCAGACAGTTGGAACGAATGGCGATGACGGATCGCCAACCTGCCGAGGTTTCATCCCTGCCGTGTGTGCATCGAGTTGCTGGGGTTGTGGGTGTTGTGCCACTCTTCGGAACAATGCCGTGCCCGTCTGGACGATGCTGACATCTGCTATTCCAACAGGCTTAACGAACCAGGAGCCTGGAAGACGGGACTCGATGTGGCAAGCAATCAAGACGAAACGATTTCGAGGGAATGCATCAAGCGATGACGAAGCCAGCAAAGAACAAGATGTAATAGAAATATACCCAAAAATACGAGAAAATAAATATGAATGCCATTTGTTTCATAGTCGGTATGCTGAATAGATGCCTGAGTTTCGTCGACAAAACCCAGCACAGATTGCCAAACAGTTGGGATCGTCAGTGCTCTCTTTGTTCGTCAGACTAGGCAGCAGTGTCAGTGCAGCCCCAGAGTCCGAGGCCGCGCGACGCCAGAACGAGCCAGTCGCGTCGACAGAGGCTTCTCTCGAAACCAAACGACGAGCGAGTCCAACCATCATTCTAGACGCTGCAACGACCCGTGTATTGCTTCATCATCCGATCGTCTGTTTGTGTTGTGCCTTTCTGTGCCCGGGAAACGAAGAAAAAAAGGAAGACAAAGGGAAGACAAAAGGAAGACATCAAGGAACAAGACCAAACCAAAAAGATCAAAATACATCAAGATGAAACCCGTCTATACTTTTCAACGCCCAAGAATGCTGCCATAGATGTCATGCCCATACACAAAAAGTCTGTGCATCCACGCCGCTCCGTCTATTTCTTCTTGCGCGACGTCGTGTTCACCTTGCGCTTCTTCTCCTTCTTGGGCATCTTGACGAGGCGCTTCTCGCGCTTCTCCTCCTTGACCGCCTGCTTGTGCGCCCGCTTCTCGTCCTTGTCGTCGAAGCGCTTGCCCCGCGGCTTGCGCGGCCGGCCAAACTCGTCGTCTGAGTTGTCCGAGTTGCTGACGGACGAGCTGTCGGAGTCGGAGTCATCCTCCTCGTCCTCCTCGTCCTCCTCGTCCTCGTCGTCGTTGTCGTCATTCTCGTCAGCGTCCGCACCAACCCTGGTCTTCTCACCCGCCAACAGGTTGCCGTAGAGGCTGTCCTTGGCGTGCAGCGCCTCCACACCACCGACAGGTCCGTCGCCGCGGGCCACCATGCCTTCGTCGTAGATCTGGTGCAGAGACTGCGGGATGTACTGCGCGCGGAACACCTCGTTGTCGACCTCGAGCGCCGCCAGCGCCTCCGCGTTGTCGCCGCTGGCGGCCGCCGTCTCCTCCTTGGGCCGCGCCGCGTACAGCGCCTCGATGGCCGCCGCCGCATCGGCCGCATCGGCGGCGGGGTCCAGCGGGACAGGCGACGCCGTCGGTGCCGCCGTGACAAACGCAAAGACGGTGCGGTCGCGCAGCGTGTCGACGCCCTTGCGCCGGAAGAAGGCGCCGATGTTGTGCAGATCCATGCGCAAGAAGTCGTACGTCTGCGGGTGGTCGTGGCCGACGCTCTGGGAGACGTCGATGATGTACAGCGTGTGTGCGTGGTACAGAATGTTGTACTCGCTCAGGTCGGCGTGCACGAGGCGGCAGACTTGGTAGAGGCGCCGCACGAGGCCCAGCAGCTGCACGTACAGCGCGCGCCACTGCCGGGCAATGTCGGCGTCGGCGGCCTCGCTGTCCTCCGCGCCCTCGTCACCGTCGGCCCCCGCCGCGGTCAGCTCGACATCCCGCAGCCGCGGAAACGCGTGGCCGTCGCCGTCGCCCAGAAACTCCATCAGCAGCACATTCGCCTTGAGCTGGATCGGGTACGGACACGCAATGCCCGCCCGGTTCAGCCGCTGCAGGTTGCGGAATTCCTTTTCGGCCCACTTCTTGACCATCTTGCGGTTGTTGCCCTTGTGCCCGCCGCCCCGGAAGCGGTGCTCGCCCGCAATGTAGCGCTCGCGGTCCACGAAGCTCAGGATCGACGTCTTGTAGATCTTGGCCGCCCGGTACAGCGTGCTGGTGTGCGTGCCGTCCTCGTCGTCAAACGTGTGCAGCGGCGCCGCGTAGACGTTGGCCTCCTTGCCCGTCGAGATCACGCCCTGCAGCTCCGAGATGAGCTCCTTGCGCACCATAGCCTCGACGATGGCCTCGGTGCGGCGGTCGAGCACCTGGTCGCGCGTGGCGCGGTCCGCCTTTTCCTTGCCCACGTGCAGCTTGCCATCCTTGTGGCCGGTGCCCGAGCCGCCGTCGCTGATGTGCACGTTGGAGACGCCGCCAGCGAGAGAGGCGACACGATCGTCAGAAGCCATTGTGATGGCCGTGAATGTGTCGGTATTGTATTGAGTGTTGTGTGGTTCGCTATCGTGCTTGTTTGTGTACCTATGTTCTGTGTTCTGTGTTCTGTGTTCTGTGCCCTTATTCGCAGTCTGGTCTCGTAATCGTCCTGGGCCTGGATCCGGCTTTATATGCACGTCTGGCGACGTAAAGTGCACGCTGAAAAAAGAGGCAAAAACACCGAAAAAAATTAGGCCGCGATGCGTCTTAGTGGGATGTTGTCGATGCAGGCTAACGTAACAGCCTGTCACAGTGGACGAGAGCGGCAGAAACCCCGCCAGAACGGTGTGTTAGCGCTGGCACCTTGCTGAACCGCCCCTACGTGACTCACCGCCTGCACACCTTCCACATTCGGTAACAACACACATGAGCGCCCGTCGCGGCTTCCATTTGCGAGCCACGAAGTTGTTCACTGTTTACCTCTTATATTCTCGCTATTTCTATGTGTTTGTTTTCTTTTGCCTCGCATCATCACACATCGCCACGGACCACCGCCACGTCACAGCCCCCTCTGTCCGTCTGCCCCTCCGTCTTCCCCTCGTTTCCCCAGCGCTACACACGGCACAGACTCCCGTCGGCCTCCTCGGCCCACCGCTCGCTGCCTACGCAGGGCGTGCACCACAGGACATCGGTCGGGTCCACCTCTCTCTTGATGGCGAGCAGCCGCGGGTAGTGGTCGCCCCAGAACGTCGTCTGCCAGTTGGGCTCGTACTTGGACGCCTCGTTCATGTACGCGCCCGTGTCGGGTGCCAGGTCGCGCATCGCCGACGAGAAGAAGGTCGTGAGCTCCCTGGCGTCGGCCGCGTACGTCGCGTTGTTGGGGAGGGAGTAGGCGACGCTGGCCGTCGCGTGCACGTAGGTGCGCCGCCAGACGGGCAGCACCGCGTTGCCGCCGCCGCGCGGCGTGGCGTTGTGCACGCCCGGCCCGGACACAATGTACACGGTGGCCTGGCCCGACGCGGAGAACTTGGCGAGCGCGAGCTTGAGGGCGGCCGGGTCGGCGGTGAGGGCCGGGCGGTCGAGCAGGCGCGAGCTCATCACGTTCTCGTGGCCCGTCGGCGACGGGTCGTAGTTCTCGGCGTACCAGGCCTGGAAGTCCGGGTAGTATGTGGTGTTGTACTCGCCATACATGTGCGGCCAGGTGGCGTTGACGTGGTCCAAGATGGGCTTGATGTGCTCGATGAGCTGCGACGCGTTGCGCGCGCCCGGCAGGATCAGCTTGCCAATGATGCCCTTGATGAAGGTGTCGCTGTTGTCAATAAAGTTCTTGACCGTGTTGAACACGATCGGGTAGCCCGAGACGCCCGCGTCGGCCAGGCTGGGGAACTGGCCCACGACGTACGCCAGCATGTCAAAGGCCTGCGCGTTGTCGGCGGCTGTGCCGATCCAAAAGGTCATCCCGACCAGCTCGGGGCTCGGGATCAGCGCCATCGTCGCCGACGTCAGCACGCCAAAAGTCGAGCCGCCGCCGCCCCGCATCGCCCAGAACAGGTCCGTGTTCTGGCACTCGTTGAGCGTCAGGATGTCGCCCGACGGCGACACAATCTCCATCTCGAGCACGCTGTCTGTCGCCAGGCCGTTCTGCGGCGCCAGGATGCTGTGGCCGCCACCCGTGATGAACCCGCCCAGCGCCACGGTGCGGCCGTTGCCGCCAATGACCGTGTGGTTGATTGTGTGCGTCAGCGCATACGCATCGTACATTTGGATGCCCGCACCGGCCGTCAGCGCAGCCCCGGCAATGGTGACATTGGAGCACCCAGTGGGCGAAAACGACGTCCGGTGCAGCGTGGCGTTCTTCATGTGGTGCACCCAGATGGACAGCGCGTACGGCGCCGCGGACCGGCCGACATAGTCGTGTCCACTATTCTTGACAATGAGGCGGACGTTGTTGGTGCGCGCAAACAGCACCGCCGCCTGCACGTGCTGTGGCGTCGTAGCATTCACCACGTACACCGGGTAGCCCGCACCACTGCACGGCTGGCTGGCGTCGGGCACGCACGTATCGTTGGTCCAGTTGTTCCACTCAACGGAAACGGGGTTGTTCGAGTGGAAGAACTCGTCCGTCCAATTGGCCTGCACGGCCGCGCACGCACTGGCCGAATACGTCGGCTGCGACGGGTGGCACACAGCGCCTGGTGGTGCGGGCTTGAGCAGGCGGCCCTCAACGGTCGTGTTGAGTGCTGCCCAGAGATCTGTTGACGGCCAACCAGCGCCGCCCGGCACGGCACGACACGACGGCGATGTCTGATTGAGAGCGTTGCGGTGATGGAGACGGGGACGATGTGCCGATGCTGCCGTAGCCGAGGCCGCAAACGAGACGACCGCAAAGCAAAGAAACCGCATGTTGGATGTTGGCCGTGGATGCTGCTGTCAATGTGTTGCACGAAGACAAGACGCGGTGCAGGAGCGTTCACCAAATCGTCAACAGAGTCGAGTGGCTGTCGTAATGTTGAGAGGACGCGATTGCCTGGAGGTCGCGCGTCGACTGTGAGGAGCGCTTCTGGATTCTCTGGATTCTCTGGATTCCCTTTCCCATGTTTTGGATCCTGCGATGGAGTACCCCTCACCACCCGCTTCTGCTTCCTATACCGTGTGTGGTAGGGCCACGGACTGAAGCGAGGATAGTACTCGGAACCAAATTCTCCTCGGAAGCGCGAGGAAAACAAGCGGCTTCGGCCGCCAGGACCAACACAGGAACCTCATCGCTGTTCCGTGTTTGCTATTTTCGGACGATTGACAATCAAGAGCCTCCACTCGTTATCACTTCCGCTTTATACAAGGTATAGACGGAACAGAAGGTGATATGCCAGGGCACTGCAGAGCTTCTTTTAGGCGGCAGAGTGTCGCATGCTCTTTGAAAGGAATACTGTGAAAAGAACATCTAGGCTAAAGTCGAGATATGCACAACAGCCTAGGGTTCTCGAAGTTGTCAAGAACACCGCTGGAGAATTAATGTTGCTTTAGCACGCAGGAACAAACATTCGATTTTCTATTTTTACAACGGCCGGATATCGTTTCTTTGTTTTTCTCTGTCTTCCCCGCAAATCGAGCCTCAACATACAAGCCGAATGCGATGCCGTCAATCACCAGCCGGCTGCATCTACCGCCGGATAATTATGTGCCCTTGTCCATTGCCCCCATGGATTGATTTTTCTGGATAGAGGGCTTCAAATTAAAGTGAGAAGGGGAAGAGAGACTCGCTGCAGGAACCGGAGCAAGAGCCGATCAGGGCCTGTGCAGCACATCGACACCATCAAACCGGAGGTTGGACACATATGGCTGCGTCAATCCTTTCCACGCACACCTGCATCGCATCACATCCTCCTCGATTTTCCAACGGCGACGCAAGCGAGACACACTAGGAATTCGTCACCGTCTGTCGGACCCGGCAGGCAAGACTGAGCAACGATTGCTTTCGTCTTTGGCAGCGCGACAACGACCATGGCCGAATTCAAATCACGAGCCAGCTTTGGCTTTCGTTTCGTTTTGCGTTGGCTCTTGTCCATCCTGCTTCTCGTGAGCACGTTTGCTTGTACTGCCTCCGCCCACGCTGGCTCTTCCGCGCATCACAGCCCCCTCACGGGCGACGTGGTCAACTTCTTTGGCAAGGTGCCGGCGTCCAACAATGCCACCGGCCGTGCCAACGCCACGGCCAGCCGCAACAAATACCTGCCGCCACCCAGCAAGGACGCCTGGTACGCGCCGCCGGCCGGATGGGAATCGACGAAACCGGGCACCGTCTTGCGCACACGGCCCCATGCATACCCGACCATCAACATCCGCAACGCCATCGACACGTTCCAGGTGCTGTACCGCACGTCGGACAGCCATAGCAATGCATCGTGGTCGGTGGCCACGGTGTTCATCCCCAAATCGCACGCCCACTGCGTGCTGCATTCGACGTCGCCCGCCTACAATGCCAGCGCGTGCGCGCACGCCATGGTGGCGTACGAGGTGCCGTCGGACAGCGCCGACCCGGACGCGGCGCCGAGCTACCTGCTGCAGATGCGCGAGCCGTATGGCGAGATGCGCGACATGCTGGCGCGCGGGTGGTTTGTGCTGGTGCCGGACTACGAGGGGCCCAACGCCAGCTTCTGCGCGGGCGTCCAGGCCGGCCATGCGACGCTCGATGCGACGCGGGCCGTGCTGAGCCTGGCGGGGCCGCAGCTGGGGCTCCGGACGGACGCGGTCAAGGTCGGGCTGTGGGGGTACAGCGGCGGCGCGTTTGCGGCCGAGTTTGCGGCGGAGCTGGCGGCGACGTATGCGCCGGAGCTGCGGATCGACGCGTCGGTGATTGGCGGCTCGTCGCCGAACCTGACGACGGTCGACGAGCGCATGAACGCCAAGGACACGGCGGGGCTGGTGGTGACGTCGATCCTGGGCATCACGGTGCAGCAGCCGGAGGCGCGCGCGTTTTTGCTGCAGCAGCTGCACCCCACGGGGCCGTACAACAAGACGACGTTTCTCAACGCGACGACCATGACGGGCGCGGACGCGCTCGACGCGTACTCGGGCCAGAACGTGTTTGACTACTTCGTCAACGGGCGCAGCGACTGGGCCAACCCGGCGATGCAGGACGTGATCAATGCGGACGCCGTCATGGGGCTGCACGGCGTGCCGCGCATGCCGAGCTTCTACTACAAGGCGGCGCACGACGAGATGAGCCCCGTCGACGAGACGGCCGAGATTGTCACGTCGTTTTGCCGGCAGGGGGCCAACATTCTGTTCCACCGCAACACCGTGGGCGGCCACAACGACGAGCTGTGGAGCGGGCGGCTGCGGGCGCTGGACTATCTGTCGGCCAAGCTGGACGGCGCCGTGCCGGCGGACAGCACAAGCAACTTGACGATTCCGGCAACGGGCTGCGCGACCGTCGATGTGACGATCCCGCTGGACCCGCTGTACCTGCTGCCGGACTGGTGGTGGACGGAGGGCCCGGGTGCGGGTCTGGGCTTGATGGGGGCTGGTTAGGGACGGGTGACGGGGCTCGAGTGGACGACGATGAAGCACGAGCAATGGTTCTTATTCCTATACAGAGTAGATGAAATGGAACGTACATAGAAGAAGATGCATAGATTCGAAGCATGTTGTCGGGCAAGAAGACAAGAAAAAAGAGAACGAACATCCAGGTAGAAGCAATACACCAAACGTATGGCTTGCCTGTCCTGTTCACTACGACGTCGTCCTTCTGGTCACTCTTGCGGCCCATCTCCCGTGAACCACTGCTTGGCCGTCGCCCATCCAGGGCACTGCCGCGCTTGTCCAAAGCCATGGCCCTCCAAAACAAGACACCGATGTCTGCTCCACTGGGAAATGCGTCGCATCATCCGCTAACTGAGATCCCTCGCTGTCGTTTCCGAGGGCCGATGTGTCTTCACGCTGGTCATAGATGGCCATATGGGCCGTTGTATTTGCCCCCAGTCGCTCTATTTCGACCGTTTACCTCGCAGCTTGATCCCGTCCACTCATAGGGCTTACGGCCGTGCCGCGGCAAGGCCTAAAGGAGCAGCTTTAGTTTAGGGGGCTTGGACTGCATTCAGGACCTTTGAGAACGGCGCGTTGGTGTCTAGACGACGTGTAGGCGCTGTGCCGGCATATTGTGAACCCTCTTCGCCGGCCCACGCCGTCGGTATTCTGTTTCTAGACGGACTACATAGAGTTGCATGCATTACACTCTGTGCGCCGCAATTACACTATTTTGCGGTGCTTTACCACATGCTGTTGTACGGCGTGGCAGTTCACTGCCAGCAGCCAAATCCAGTAACATCTGCCCCTCCCTGACGAAAGGATGTAATGGGATTGGTGGTAGTAGGAGAATAAGTGGGCCAGCAGCACAGAGACAAGAGACTGACACTACCAGACCAGGTTGTCTATGGAAATCAGGGAAGAAAAGCAAAGTCCTTGTAGTCAGTATCAGCACCGATAGGTGACAGTTGATACGAGAGAGTACAACATGCGTGCATTATCACAATCCATTCGCAATCACATTAAAAAGATTTGGTCATCAGAATGATACATTAGGATTCATTCTCCGGGAAGAAGTAGACCTTTTTTGGTCTCTGCTTGCTTGTTTTGCTTTTTGAGGCTTCCAGTTTAAGCTGCAAGACACTCACGAGTAAATAGGAATAAAAGGACAGCAAAGCAAAAACCCATGAAAACCCCTAAACACCAATGCCCATTATACCCAAATTAGAAAATGTAAACCCATCAGAGCTTGACCGAAATCCCGGCGAGTCCCTCTGTGTGTGGTTGCGTCCCTTTACACTGAATCCCTCGCCCAGTTTTGTATTGCATACTGTTGAATAAGTGTGCCGTGTCCTCGTCGGCCGTTTTGCTTGCACTCGCAAAGACAAAACCAGACTCAAATGTATGGCCGCTTCGCAAAATGAAATCGTGTCATAAAAAGAACAGCATTAAACAAATAAGACGCCAGTGTACCCTTTTTCCACCTGCACCACTGTATGTGCGGTCGCAAAACAAAAAAAAAAATACAACAATAGGGGAGGAGAGGATGAGAGAAGCAATAACACAATATACGCTTTGCGCAGAAGGAAGAGGAAAGAAGGAGAAGGAGGAGTGAGGGTGAAGGATGAGAGCGTGATACTGTCATATCGAGATACTGCGGAAGGTGGGAGGTGTAGGAGTGTGTGGTGGATAGGAGAAGTGGCGATATTGCCGTTTTTGATGTATGACATGTTGCATCGGTATCGGCAGGAGGCATTGGAGGAGGACTGTGGCCGACCAGCCCACAATTGGCCTCTAGCCCTTGATGGCCGTGGCCGCGTGGCCGTCTGCATTGGCAAAGGGAAACCGATCTTTCACAAAGGAATAGTCCGGTGGTGGCGGCGTGCCAGCAAAGGGAGGAAACGCGCCGGCAAGCGCAGCAGGTGATGCAGGCGAAGCAGGTGACGCCGTGTTGCTGCTGCTCGTGCTGGCGCTGTCGCTGTCGCCGCTACCCGCCTTGTCCCCCGCCGAAATCAGGGGGCCGGTCGCGAACATGGTACCACGGCGAGGCTGGCCCGGGACGTGGCCCTGGTTCGTGACCGGCGACGTTTGCACAAAGCCAGACGTAGGGGGCGACGCGGAGGAGGTTGATGACCCGACGCTCTGGATGGACAACGAACTGGAATCGCGGCTCGGTACGTCGGCATGCCAGCGAGGGCGGGAAGGTTCCTGATGGGTGCGGGCGGTATGCACGGGGCTGCCGTCCGAGGTGATGGTCGAGGCGGGGCTCGAGGTAGCCTTCGTGTCGTTTTGTCCGTTTTGCGCGGAGGAACCATCCTTAGTGGGGAGGGATGGCTTCGGGACATACTAAATGAAGAGGAAAAAAGCGCATCTGTTAGTGTTCAATGTCCGGTGCTCTGTGCTGTGCCGTTCACGTGCGCTGAGGTGTTTGATGTTGAAGAGAAGGCAGAGGGTTGGTGAGACGGATCGTCGGGTGACCCAGGCATAGTACGTACAAAGCAGTATTTGCTAACGATTTCGTCGTACGACTTGGATGCAATGCCTCCGGGGCCGTAGAGTGCCGATTCGGTCAAAATCGTACGCGAGTCGCGATCGAGGGCGGCGACGGGAAGGGCGACGGTCGTGGGCTCCTGGGTCGTGTTGACGGCGATGACGCGCTCGTTGGTGTTGGCCGAAGCAGCGCCGACTTTGACGGCGGCGTCGGCGGACGGAGCGGGGACGACGGCGACCTTGCGGCTCGGCTTCATATAGAGGCCGCCGTCACGCTTGTTGGTCGCCATGGCATCCTTGGCGGCCTGCATGGCCGCGGAGAGCGAAGCGCCGAAGTCGTACCGGTTGGCAAAAGCCTGGCCGCTGGGCGATACCAGGCGGGCCGTCAGGTTGTCGCTCGCCAGGCTGGGACCGCCGTTTTGCGACGACTTGAGCCGCAGGGCCGGGCGGTCTGACTCGCCAAGGTACTCGTGGACGGACTGGTCGAACATCTTACTGCCATGTCCGTTGGCGCTGCTGCCGAAGTCGTCCAGGGACACCGGCATCGACACAGGGCGCTGCGTGGACGTGGCGTTTGCGCGGCGGTGGTGGCTGCGCGGCAGGGCGCCGTTCTGCAGACCGCTCTTGCCGTTGATCGCGAGCATCTTCTTCTTGAAATCAAGCTGGAAGTTGCTGCCGTTGTTGTTGTCCCAGAACTCCTTGCCATCGACGTTGTAGCGGATGCAGAAGTACATGGTCTTGGACTCCAGATTGGCCAGGTCGGACAGCTTGATGGTGAAGTTGAAGCGGTCGTTGCCCTGCGGGGTGACGCGTGGCACAATCTCGGCGCTGTACTCGGCGGCGATCTCCGAGGTCGTCTTCCAGTAGTCGAGGGTGAAGCGGCATACGACCAACTTGGAAAAGGCCAAGTTCAGACACGACACGGAGCCGTGCAAGAACTTTTGGTCCGGCGACAGCCACACGCGCTCGAGGCGCACAGGCAGGGCCTTGCGCTCGGCCGTCTCCACGGGGAACTTGGTCAAGACAATCTCCCACTCGAAGGGCGGGCCACCGCGCTTCTGCTGCTGCTGCTGCTGCTGCTGCTTCATGCCGGGGATGCTGCTGTTGAAGGGGTACTCCGATTCACTTTCGTACACCTCGACGGGCGACGAACCGGCGCTGACGGCCAGCGGGCGGTCGACCTGCAGAAAGTGGCGGACGTGCTCCAGGTGGGAGTCAAAGTGCACGACCTTGGAGAAGGTGGGGGTGCCAGGCATACTGGAGGGCCGGCGGCCCGCGCCCAGGCGCAGAGCCGGGCGGACGAGCTCGCCAGACTTCTTGCGCACCATGGGAGGTTTCGCCAGGATTTCGAGGTCGTTCTCCTCGTCCGAGTTCGCGACAGAGCTGCCAGCCGACGGCGAGACCGAGACGCTGGGCTCGGTGGCCGACCGCATGTGCGAGATGCGGCGACCGTTGCTACCAATGCTGCTGCTGCGGCCACCGCCGATGCGGAGGTGGTCCAGAGAGGTTGTGCTGAAACTGTGGCGCATGTTGGTCTCAGTGCTGCTGATGTTGCTGATGCTGCTGACAACAGGCGGGATCGGCTGGACGACCAGGACGCCTAGGTCGGCAGGCTCGTTGTTGGGCGAGCTGGCGCGGCGCTGCTGGGGCAGCTGGCTAACGGCGTCGTGCAACTGCTTCAGCTCAGACATGCTCTCCAACCGGCGGCCGCGGGTCTCCACGTGGCCCTCGTCGTCGCTTGTGGGCGGCGAGTCGGGCGGCGAGATGACGGCGCCGGTGGGCATGCCCCGACGCTCACCTGTTATTGGCGGGGGCGACTGGCGGACGCTGCTGTTCTCATCATAACTGTGGCCGGACACCACCGGGACCATGCCATGGAGGTTGTCGGACGTAGGCTGTGGCGTAGGCTGGCCGCTGATTGTGGAGACAGACGAGTTGGAAACAGCCGAGGGCGTCCGGCGGTGTCTTGTCAGATAAGAAGACGACCGGGGCAGCGCCGAGGGTGGCGCCGGGGAGAAGTGGAGCGACGCATTTACAGGCTTGGAGGCGGCATTGAACGACGGCCGGCGGCTGGTGTCTGGTGACGAAGCTGCGGACGAGGCGGGCGAACGACTTGAGGGGGGCGTGTAAGGCATTCCCACCGATTGGGAGGGCACCGGGTCGAAGGGGGTAGGGGGAAAAAGGGAAAACGGAAGGGCGTGAGAGCCGGTCCAGAGGCGTCGCAAGGAATATTTCCAATAGATGACGGCGGACGATGAGAGCGTTTTTTAGGTTGACTAGGAGAGAGAGAGAGAGAGAGAGACGGGAAAAAGAGGAGACAGGACGCAGTGATGCGGCAGAAGGCGTCTCTGGAGATTGAAGGTCTGTTTCTGTGTTTGGCGGTATCCGGGGAGTAGGGAGGCCGCAAATGTCTAAATTGGGAAGCAGCGGGTTAGCCAGCCGTTCAAAACAAGTCAACAAAGAAATGTTGCCAAGGGCGAAGCTGTGAAGATGGAAGTTGCGAGTGTCGATGTCGAGGTCATCTGTTTCCTAGGGAAGGGCCGAAGGAGCCGGGCGTTTGCTGATGTGGATTTGAATTGTTTATGTCTGGACGTTTTGTTACTCACCAAGATTATGAGGTGAAAAGGCGAGCGAGGTCAGACTGTCCGAGCGATATTCCAGCAACCGGATCAAGGACTCTCGATTGTTTCAAATCAAGTCCAGCGTCGACCAACAGAATGGGACACGGGAGCAAGATGGAGAGAGAGCGAGAGAGGTGGAGAGACGGCGAGACAAGAAACCCAGTTCAGTTGTCTGAGACAAGACCGGGCGAGTCGCCAGCGACAAGTTCGATAGAGCGAGAGGAAAGGAGAAGGGAGAACGAGTCGAGATGTGATGAGGTGTCGAAGAGTGTATCCTTTGCTGGTCGGGAAAAAAAACGTCGAGAAGCGAGGGCGTTGCAGAGAAGGCAAGTGCCGATCGAGAGCGGATGAAGGAAGAGCGAGGGGAAAAGGGAGGAAGGAGGCCCAAAGATATACAAAGTCAACAACAAAAACTATGTCGTGCAGAGCCAAACAAGGGAAGAGAAAAGAAACAAGAAGACGAAGATACAGCAAAAGAAGAGGGAGAAGGAGAAGAAGGTGTGGGATCATAGTCAAACGGCGGGAGGCGCGATGGTTTTGAACATGCGAGCGAAGTCGAGGAAGTGGCACCACGCTGCAGGGAAGGTGCGAGGGAGTGGCGTGGGAGACTAAGAGGGGAGTGTGGTGTTAGTGGGAATGGGATGGCTCACAGTTTTTTTTTTGTGTGTTTCCCTTCAGACGCTGTGCTTTAGTGCCGTTTTGGGATTGGTAAGGAGGGCACAATGGCGATGGCAGCGCCGGGATGGGATGGGAGCACCTCCGTTTTGGGGAGGGCTAGAGCCTGGGCTATAGGCTTGGCTGTGCTATGGGCCGTTTTGGGCATGGCACAGCGACTCTGCGGCACGTTTTTGAGAAGACGAAGAGAAGCTCGCGCATTCCAGTGTTGGCTGTTACGAGGGAAGGCGCGATGCAGGCGCCGAGAGCAGCTGGGAAAGAGCGACTGGAATGACGCTGTCCGTTGTGTGAGACACGACCGCTCAGAGTCTGTCTGCCAATGTGAGCCATTCTGAGGCCGTCTGAGCGTCTCTGTTGACATCAGTATGAGAAATACGACAGTACTACATACAAGACATGGGGGGAAAGACCACTGTGGAGAGAGTTGGATAACGGAGACAAAACAAAAACGGGCCACACACGCCCATCTGTCAAACTGACAAAACGGTGCACTGACAGCCTCCTGGACGGACTTGCGCCAGGGAGGCGAGTATTTCCTGGGAAGAGGGGGCTATGGGCCGGGGGCGAGACCAAAGCCCGCCGTCTCCCCTGGATACATGCGCCGGTTGGTGCGGTGGAAAGCACGGCACGGTCGTAGCGCCAGACCTTTTTGACTTTTTTGACCTTTTTTGACCTTTTTGTGGTGATGTTGGCGGTCCATCAAAGCGCTAAAGCAAGAGCTACCTTTAGCGTGCCTGATTCTGTGCGGGTGGGCTCGGTGTGCTGGGGGCCTTGTGGGTAAGAAGCGCTGGGATGGGGAGAGATAGGGAGGAGGGTAGGGATGGCGAGGGTGGAAGGTCTGCAGGTTGGGGAGGCGGGATTGGGGGAGGCAAAAACGAGGAAAAGATAAAAAAAAAATTCAATTGTGCATTGGTGATGGTGGGCGAATGCATATGCAAAAGCAAGTGCAAATTGCGAATGGCTTACATTTTGGCGAGCATTTCCGTCGCTCCTGCCTTTCGACAAACAGCCGGGGGCAAATACGTTGAGGTTGCCTCGATGACCAAGAGCAAAAACTGCAGGAGCAGCCATGCGTTGCACCGCCAAAGAGGGCAGGTGGGTGGCCGGTCACGGCGAGACGATCAAGCAATATGGAAGGCGCATTCGTACGAGTATTACTCCGTTCTTCGTAGTCTGGGCTGCAAAGCAATCAAAATCAAATTCGGGCCCGGAGCCTGCAGGCTGCAAATTTAGAAACAGCGAGACGCAGGACGCATGAAACAGGCCGACATTGGCGATCGCAGAGGCGAGGCTCTTGCAATCTGCAGGAGCATGGTGCGTCTGGGCCCTCAATTGCAGATTTTGCTTGGAAGCTGGAATCAGTGCCCATCGGCGATCCTCCAACCCTGCCACCGCCGGGTCTTTGGTCTTTGGGTCCTTGGGCTTTACGGAGCACTCCGTCATACAATGTTTCATTTTGTGTGCGTATCTGCTGCACAAAAGTTTCCTGTTGGGATTACATGAATCTATGAATCCATGAATACAAAAAAATGTGAATATGCGAGCATTCGTCATGAAGTCGTTTGTCTCCGTCGCTCCTGCCTGGGAAATGAGACGCCTCGTACTCCGTAATCGTCGCAAATTTGGGACGATGACGTCGTCGGCGAAATGCTCGCTTCCCGCCCAGCCAGTCAGCCACCTGTATTCTGCCATTGTGACTGATTGCGAATGCGCAACACCAGCCTTTGCGTTCAGCCTTCTCGACTCCACGATGATGGACGGGCCTATCACAAGCCGGGGCGGCGCTGCTGCACGATCGAGGCGTTGTTCTGCAGGTTTTGCGCCGCGCACAGTAATCTATCTGTGGCCCGAGTCAACGGTCACATCGCCGGCGGCCGTTCGTGGTCAATTGGCGCGGCTTTCCATCTTCTTTCATTCTTGTCACAATTGACGACGAACGGGGCCTAACAGAAAAAGAAAATATGTAATCCACGCCGGTCCAATGCCGAGTATCTGGAGCGTTGTATGTTGTACAACATACAAAGCACGGCGTTTTACGCCTCACGACTAGAGGCTGCATCTTACTGTGCATATTTTACGTGTCTGATCCTGTCAGAACAGGAACAAGGAAATGGATGGCATGCAACGGACAAAGCTATCAGACAACTAAGTCAATGTATAGCGTATGTAGTCTCTTTACTTAGCACCAAGTTAGAGGTGTGAAAGAATAACGGCCGGGGGACGGGCCAGCCCTACGTTTGGGAAAAGACTGGTCACATTTGTATAGCGGTACAATAGGTGACAGATAGCACAGAGAGTCATCGTCGACTCGATGCTTATTTTGCTTACGTCGTTTGGCGTCTCAATGACATGTTCTTCAAAGAACAATGACTGGCCTATGGGTGCCTGGCCTCCTGGCCGAAGGACTTTGGTCTATTTTTGCCTTCCTCCCCAACAAACAGGTGCCTGGTATTGTAATTACATGGTAGCAAATTTCTTGGCAGACTCTTAATACGACGAAGAAATTGCCCCAAACGGTGCCCCATACGCAAATTCACGTACAGGGGCTTACAGCGACTTACAGCGACAACGTATTTCGGCGTAGCTCAGCGCCAACGCGCACTTGCCAGCAATTGCTACGATCGAGATGGCGACAAAGAATTCTCTAGGCATCGACCACGATCGACGCAAGGAGTGACAAGAGGAAGCGCGAAAAAGGTTCACCGCTAGATCGATTGCCCTCCTTTGACCGTGTTTCAACCGTGTTCCGCAAAGGAATGCTGCAGAAGGCACATAAGACAGAAATTGCCAGGGATCGACCCTCGATGGATGCACCGCACGTTCTCAGGGCATTTTCTTCCTTTCTGTATTGTCTCTGTTGACCCTTCTTTGCCCTGACCGTCAGACGAGACATGGCACCTGCGACTCGCTGCAGCGTGTGTGAAATGCTTTTGCGACGGACGCGGGCGTCCGAGTTCGCTGGAATGCCAAAGGAAGCCGACGGTCTCAGTCTCATCTCTGGCGTCAGATGTCTCACTGGGACAAAGGAAAAAGAAAACGTCCCCACAGTGGACTGCTCGATACGGTCATAGCTGGTCGGTGATGTGCTTCAAAGGGAGCCAATGGCAGTCGACGTCTGTAAGGAGTGGTAATTACAGGCGAAGAATGGCCCGGGCTCTGGCCGGGATGATGTTCTGCGACCTGCGCTACAGCGTGCTGTGACCTGCGCTGGGGACAAATGAGCGGGTTTATGACAGTGGCGGTGGGGTTGTCTCCAGTTGCGTTACACAGTTTACAGTGGACTCAGAACTGCGCCCTGCACCACAATGCTCATAATTACTGAGACAAACGGAGACGATACCGAGACGATACGGAGCATGAATACGGCGTACAGGGATGCTCGTATCGCAGCAGCGCACCCACCAAGCGAACCGGTGGCCAAGGCACAATTGCAGGAGAAAAGCTTTGGGGAAGGCAATTCAGGGAAAACGCGACAGCCTATCATCAGCCTTGTTGAAAGAAAAAGAGTTTTCTCATGCAACCCTCCAACTCACCAACAGCGGCAAATCTGTCGTACGGTTTACAGATATGTGGTTCTTGCAGAGATTTTCTATATTGCCCGTTGGTTCAAAACAGATGAAGGAACGAATGCGGTGAATATGCTGCCAACGAAACAAAAGAGATGAGAAGAGATTACGAGATAAGCCACCCAGCCGCCCAAAAGCTCCAAAGCCTCACAAAGCGTGGGGCGATACGCAGTGTGAGAGTTTTTGCTAGAAATCTCGAAACGAATGAAAGGACCTGCAAAATGGACTTGTCCAGGCCCAGAAAAACTTTTACTAAGTGGGGCATCCGAAAGCAAACAAGCGAGTGAGCGCTACAAGACAAGCGAGCGCTGACCAAACAAGGGCAGGGGAAGGTGGTAGCAACGCAGCCAAAGAAAACTTTGCTCTATGCTCCCCCTGCTCCCTCCCCTGCTCGCTCCCGTTGTTTCCACACTGCTACTCTCCCCATCGGCCATCACCCGTGTGATCGGGGTTGACCGATGGGGGTTCCTGCGCTCCAGATTGCTCTGAGCCTCGCAGGCTCCGCTATGTTTCTGATTTTCTGCACACAACGATATGCGCAATGGTCGATGAAGAGCGAAGAAGCCGATAGAAGCAGTTGCGAATTGACAAAGCCTCGCATCACCCTGACTGACAATTGTCGGATCCTGTTGCCAGATCGTGTCAATGAGCGGTTGGCGCCCCAAAACGGAACACGACAACCTTTGTGGAACAAAAATGCAACGAGAAAAGAAAAATACGTGACCCGTCGGCCTCCGCTGTCCGTGCCAAGCGACATCCAGAGGAAACCACCACCGCCGGTGGGCGGCGAGCTCAAGTTTCTCAGTCACTACAGCGCACAGCAGATTCAGTCGGGTTGCATTGGTTTGCAACGGCCGGCGACTGTTCCGTGATATGAGGGACGGCTTGCGATACAGAATGTCGACTATCGTCTCGTGCGAAATCGAAACTGGTCCTCCTTCTTCATTATCCTGTGCTTTCCGAAAAGATGATAAGATTACGTACTTGGGCAGGCGGATAGCACCACGGCGACGGAGATGATGACATTCGGAGCACAAATCTTATCAGCCCAAATGTATCTTATGGGCTGAGGAGTGCTATGCCACAAAGACCGCCCATTTTCAATGAGCGCAGTTTGGCACACGTAGTGATTGCCATCCGGGCTATCCAGTGTCCAGCTCCGTTTGCTCCTTCCGTGTTTCAAGCACAGATAGCATCTTCCTCTCTCTCTTTGAACGCTCCACCGTCTCCTTCATTCGTGCCTGCCTTACAGTCCGTTTTGCGTCTCCTGTTGCGGTCTAGCGTTGCCATCAACAGTCAAAGAAACGACGCCGTCGTTCGCGGCTTCCGGGATCCAAAAAACATACTCTCGCTCTTGCTCTTCCTGCGCACTCTCTTGCCCTTTTGAGACAACTAGTCTAGCAGAAGGAAAGAGGGGGCTAGGTGCGTAAAATGGACATGGATAGCTCCGTTGTGGATCTGTCGTCCAGCCGTTTGGGTGCTCGGTGGACTGGCGATTTTCAGCGCACCACGGACCACGGATCTCGCCCTAATGTCGCTCAGATACGACGCTGGGATAAAATGCAGTGCCAGAACGGAGTCCGGCAGTCGACGGGACCATGGTAAGGTGAGACGCGGGCAGGCGTACGAAAGGTGAGCCACCTGACCTGGCAAAGAAGGCGAAGCAAACTAAGCCAGCATCGACGCTGTTTTCCAGCTTGGACAGCCCTCTACGGAGCGAGACGGTCATGTGTGCCGTCCCGGCAAGAAGGACAAAAAGGCCAAGAAGGACAATAGAACGAGAGAAACGTCCGACGTTTCCTGGGGTGACAATTGCTTCGACTGTGCAACATGCCTGTCAGACTTTGTCCTCAAACGAACTAACGTGCTGCGAGGTGCTGAGCTGATAGGGTGGAATCGAAAAGAGGAGACAAAGCCCCCCAGCCTGCAACTGCGCAAAAGAGAGCAGAGACGAAACGCCACCAGACGCTGTGGAGAAGCTTGTGCAGCCTTCGTATGCCAGAAAGAAAGAACCTAGCTCGCCTGGCACAACTGACAAAGCGGCAATGTGTGCTTTATGGTGTTAGTACTGTTGCCCTTTGCGCGTATCTCCCAGTACAGGCCGCAAAACAAAGCAAAACAAAGTGGCAGGGGGGCAGGGGGAGCTGTTGGATTGTGACAAGGGGGGCGAAATTCAACGGGCGGGGGCTGTTGAAGCTCTGCAGCAACGAACCTCAGCTCCGTACGGAGGACTTCTTCCGTTTCCCTGGTGCCGTTTGTTTTGTCTTATCAAAAGTTAAAAACGGTCAACATAAAGGTCAACAATTGACATCTCCGGGGTTGAGGGTCCTCCCTGTTGTCTCTGCTTTCATGTCACTTTGTCTGAGATACGTTATCTCGTCACAAAGAATTAAAACGACGTACGATGTACGGAGCATGAGCCCGCCGAGGGTCAGGACTCAGACTGGCCGACTTCGCAACGTCATTTGTGTCTTGCCTTCCTTTGTCGCCTAATCCTGCTTGGTTGTTGCGCCAATTGTCCATTCTGTTGCGTGTCTTTTGTGTCTCACCTTACATTGCACAAAGAACGAAGGAAAAGGGTACAGGATAAAGGAGTACACATAGTACATGTGTCGTATCGAGTTCCAAGTCATACAAATGGTACAGAATTTCCGGAAAACAGGCATCTCCTCGGAAGAAAAGGGAGCCAAACGTAAAAACTGGCCGGTTGTGTCGGAATGCAGTGCCTCCCTTCATTTCTCGTGTCTGGCTTTGTACTGTCACGAATCACCGCTTCACAGCCACGGACACTGCCAACCTCAATTCTAACGTGTGTCTCAACGTCAACCTGTTTTTGTCTCGTGCACAAATATGCATGGTTCTTGTTATCTTTGTTTTCATACAGTATAAATTTCTCAACGTCCGATAGGATTGTGTGTATCCTGTATCTACGCGCTGTCTTTGCCAGTGTTGCCCGGTACTTTCTAATTCTTCGTGGCGTGCCGTAATTAAAGACGGTACCTCGTAGTTGTCTAACATGCAACATATCTGTTTAATCAATTCCCCGTCCACACATAGTATTACGTCGCATTGTCCTTCCAGGCAACTTGCAGACCGGCTGCAGCACCACTCTATTCTGTACGGCGGTTGGTGGTGGTGCAATGATACGCAGGTGAGAAAGTCCAGTTTCCTTTTTCGTGGCTGTCACCCTTGAAGATACGTTTCTCTGAATCAGTCCCCTCTGTGTTGAGTCGCTGTCACAAACAAAGAACAAGCACCCGGCCTCAGGGCATCTCACAATTTCCTTGTCCATGCGAAATCTACGACATAAGGGCATCTCTGTGTTGAGATCTGTCTCTCGCTTTCTATGGGTCATTTCGGGACGAAACAACTGATCATCCCACCCTGCAACGGCCTATTTGACCCTGGAAAGTAAGGGAACGAAAGAAAACAAAAGGGACACAAACACACACATTGACCACGTCTTCTGAACCGATTCTTCCGATACAACCGACGCCGCTCACTGGAACTGTACACCAACTTGAAGCAGGACCTCGGGGGCGCGTATAATATCCGCCCCTCTCTCATCCCAGTTTCTCCTTTGCATTCCCGGACCGCCCGGAGATGGCAAAGGGCTGCTTGTCGGGTCGACGTTGGACAGTGGGAGACGCGAGGACTACACATGTACGACATACGGAAGGCCTCGTTTCTCCGCTCTTCAATCAAACGCGAGATGGAAAAACGGACATTGTTCTCTTCTTTCATTTTGTGGGATTGATAATGCATGAGTTGTGCAGCGGTCCGTGGGCCAATCAGGTTCTCAATCCGGCCCAAGATGGAGGGTTGCTTGAAGCCGGTTTTCTTGGGAGTGGTGTGTTCATCAATTGGAACAACGAGAGCTTCATTGATAAGGTCAGAGTGAGCTGTCGCGTAGCAGCGAAAGAGCATGGACAAAACTGCAAAAAATGCAACGTGGAAAACGGCCAGCGGTAGTTGTGTCGATCATTCCAGCGCGCTCTTAATGCAGCGTCTTAGCACGTTTTTAGCAGCATTCCTCCCACTTCTCCCACGCCAATGCCCATTCTCTTCTGTCTTTGCCTCGACCTGAGGGGTTTGCGCGTCTTCTTTGCTCCTTTTCATCGAGCCTCTTGTAAATCGAGACACCTGGAACGCAAATCACAAAGAGAGAAAACACACAAACTAAGCCTTACCGGAATAGGAAGACATACGTTTCAGCCATCTCCTTGTCGATCACTAACGTTTTTTCTTTGATAACAGCGGATTCAAAAGCAAAAACTTACACAGCGCCCGTCTCTCATCCCGCTCAAAGAAAAAAAACGCCGACGTCGTAGCCTCGCTTCGACTGTACGAGTATGGCATCGAGGAGACTGGACACCCATTGATAAGAAGTAGGCATCTCTTTTGCGCGCAATTAACTGCTTCCAGCCAATGAATGGAGGCCTTGGCCAAGAAGTTCATGAGGTGTAACTCAGCGTACAGTTGTACATGTTCGAGATGCGTTTTCGTGTACTCACTCATCCGGGTACTTCGTACCTCCCCAATCGTCTTCTCATCGTGCTGTCTCACACACGCTTAGCTTCGATCCGATATGTCTCTTTCCCCAGAATCTACCGCCTCCTTTGTTGTTCCTTTGTTCATCAGCTTTCCCCAGACTTACTACGAAATCCCCGTTTACCCTCTTACCCTTTTGTCTCTCTCCCCGTACTCTCCCCGTGCTTGACGCGAAATCCCTTGTACCCTCTTACCCTTTTGTCTCTGTTTGTACCCCGGGTTTCTTGTCAGCCACTTTGTATTGAGAACAAGAGGGTATGGGATGCACACGACCAGTACATCGGGGACACAACCCGCCACGACGTACAACGCCTCTCTTTCTCCATGCGTATCAACCTCAGAGTCGAGGGATAGACACCGCTTGCCTTCCCCGCAAGTCACAGGAGTTGTATGAAGGGATGGAGGGTAATAAATCCCCGACTCTTCCTGCCTTCCTCCTGCTTCCCCTCACCCATTGCCCCCCTTGCCTCGCCGTGTGAAGAGGGGTGGAAGACGTTTATTCTATGGCTTCGTCAGAAACGGAGCGAATAGCGTGCGTATGGTCAACGTTTCCATCCAGCAATGGTGAACTCTGTCAGCCACATTGCGCTTTTCATGCCAGTTTGCGCCATACACACACAGTCCAGGGGAATTGGGCGGCTTTCTTTGTTTCGTTTGTTTGGGCAGGTATTTTGATCTGCACAAACCGCCAGACTTACTCCGTGAAAGGCTTCGTTCTTCGTCTGTCCTTTGACTTTCTTATTCACGTTGTTGTCTACCGTTGCTGGTTCTCTCTTACCGATCGCTTCCGGGATTGAATAGATGACGGCTGCCGTTCGACACCGGTCAAGTACGAAACTGTACGGAATAAATTTCTTTGTAGCTGTGTCCCCTCCCCTTGCAACTCCCCCTTCTTCCCCCTCTCTCTCTTCCTCTCTTGGGACACTAACGACGCCCGTTCACCAAGCTACTGTGCACTAAAAGAAGGGGAAGGGGAAGAAGGCGTCTTATCACGACCATTGTGAGCTTGTGCTGTCGCTGATTCAAGTCCGTCGCCGTTTGTCTGGAGACGCTCTCTTGTACAGGTGACTTTTGCGGCAGATTCCGTCACAAGAGACAACGAGACGGAAGGATGGTGACGGCGAATCAACAGCTTGGCACGGTTCACGTCCAGGCGTGTCTGTCGAGCACTGCAAGTGATGCCTTTCGACGAGTTTGGAGACATCTGTATGGACGAGGCGCTCTCGATCTCCGACTGTGCATTTCTCGCCACGACAAGCATGGGCAGCTCGACGCGCCACACAAAAAGCAATCGAAACGCGGTCAACACACAAACGTGGGTCTTTCTCAACATGCAACAATATGCAACAATATGCAGCCTGCAGCCTACAGCGTGCATCTGCATGGTCTCCTGCACGTCCCCATGCACGTCGTGCTGCACGTTGACCTCCACTCGCTTACACCTCCACCGGTCTGCGCCCAGTACGCCGCACACCATCCGCACACCCAGAAAAACACGAAAGGGTGTGCGCGAAGGGGAAGTGCTGTGTCGTGCTCTCATATCATCAAATCGCCACACTTATTACGGGTATAGACGAGCTTGTGTAAATAACGTGGTTGGCAAGTAATTACACGCAATTACAGGTTTACTTTGTCGTACGCTGCGTGAGGCGTGGTGCGACAGGATGAAAAACTACGTATCGTACCGTAAAGTTTTTCAAACAACAAAAGTGACGTCTCTCGTCTTTCGCTGACAGGAGTCAAAGGAAAGTCTCGACGTAGCAGAAAGTGCCTACAAAGAATGGAGACGATTTTCGGTCACATAATTATTCACGATACTCGTTTACTTTATTCGTCGTTAATTTTTATTTTCTTTTATTTTCTTTGAAAAATACATAAAGAAAAGAACAAAATCGTTATGCTGCACTTGGGCCTGACTGAGAAATACACCAGTCAAGGCTATTAGAGTCTTGGAAATATTGCTATGAAATACACTCCGTTTGAGCATTGCTGTTCACCGTTCCGCCCAAAACGGCAGGAAAGGTACAAAGGTACTTGTTTGATCGAGAACCCCACTGGATTTTGGCTTATCTTTGGCAGGAGCGTGGGACGACAGGCAGAAAAGAGGGGCAAGCGCCAGAAATAAACCAGAGGGAAACAGCGAGCCAACCAGAATGCGAGAACGAGAGCTGTCGCCAAGCTGCTCCTCCGGAAGCGGCAACGAGACTACGAAGCATTGGCCAATGAAACACCACGACAAGCCACATTCCCGATCGCAGACAGCCTTGCACAATGTGGCTTGCGCGCGGCATCAGACAAGGCTAGCACCAATTCGCTTTTTTCTTGACAGGGGTGGACAAGTGCTCGAAGAGGGAAGGAGCAGAGGACGCAAGCCCCTCACGCCCGTCAGCCCTCTGTCACCTGTTTTTGTTGCAGTTCCCACCGCCACAGCTACAGTGCTCCAACAACAGCGCAGCACCACCACCACAGCTGCTGCAGAACACCGCACCCACCACATCGCTCCTGGTTCCGCCTCGGACACTGGGCCTTGCTTCTTTTTGACATGTCACAAAACCTATTGTTTATTGTTGACGCCAAACATGTCTCGTTGTGTCGGTCGTCGTTACTCCGTCGCAATTTACAGCTGGAGCTTCCTAGCTCCAGTGGTGTCGGTCCCGTTTTAGCGACCAAAATAGCACGTTGTCTGACGCTTTTGCCCCCTGTAAACGACTGCAAGCGCCGACGCTCCCGGCACGTTGGGCGGAAGGAGGCGGTCTCGGCGGTGGAGCGTCTGGGGCCAGAACGCTCTTAGGATGCACGAATATGCACGAGAAACAGGGAAGTGGAGGAAATTGTCCGTAGCAAGCAGGGGACGAGTCGACGAGAGTGTTGAGTATCAGTCGACGTGAATGCGTCTAAGAATTAAAAATAAAAGCGGGCGGGTAAGACGAATAGCCATTTTCTCTGGACACGGCTCCGAGAGATAGTACGAAATGTTGAAGAAGACGATAAAACATAAAATAAAAGGAAAATCGGCATACTTGTTTGCATCTTGGACGCAGCGTGGGAACGAATGGGACGGCTGGACGGGCCAACCGCGCGAGGGGAATGAAACGCAGGAGCGGTTCGACGCAATGTGACGAGAAGACGCGTACCTTTGGCCCGGGAATCTGTCTTTGTTTCTACATCGTATTTGCACTCTTCTATGGGGAGAACAGTTTATATACATATTTATTTTCTATTCGCCGGGTGTAGACCCTTGTGATCAACTGCTGGCTTTGCTGATGGGGGGACCCTGGTGCTTTTCAAGACGTTTCAAAAACATGTTGGGGTCGCGATTGTTCAGGTTGCTAATGGGATTTTGAAAAAAAGACATCGAGATGTGATGCCGCGGAGACGCACTTTATTGAAGAAATTAAACCGCATCAAAAGGCAGAGTAACAATGCACATACAACCCACCTCCAGTAGCGCCCGTCCCACCTGCATACAACCTACCCCGGAGGTGGGCAGTTTGCTCCGACTGCACAAACCATGACCCTCTCCAGATAACACCGAGGGAGATGAAGCACGATGTTTTTTTAAAAAAAAGAGAAAGAGGGAAATTCCGAGGGCACGAAAAGCGGTCAGAATAGGCAAGAAGGCTGCCGATCTGAACGCATCACGCAAATCCGAGGAATTGTACAATGTACGAAATACAAGCAAGTACAATGTGCATGTACGACGACGTGTCGTGTTCATACAACGGTCGATATCGGCGTGTGTGTCTTATAGTAAAGGAAACTAAATATGTCCGTCCTGAGTCCTCCGCGGACGGGGCGGGATAACAAGGAGAAAAGGTCGTGCGATGTACGTCGTCGTAGACACAATCAAAGTAAAAACGACGAGAGCGAGTCTGAAATAGGGTAAACGGATGTGACAGCGGCGATGGGTAAGGCAACAATGCAAAGTTTGCGGTAAAAAAAAGAAAAGGTCGCGAAATCTGCAGCAAAAACCGCTTTCATGACGTCTTTGATTGAGTTTCTTACAAGCGTTACGGTTTATTTACGACGCAATACGACTTTACTCCGTTCGCTGTGCTCAGGAATACGTCGTAGTGATTGTGGCTCTGGCCCTGCAGGACATCTTTCTACCCTTGGACGAGCCAGTCTTGTGCAGTGTGCGCTTGATCGACGATTTTGCCGTGTCATCGAGTTTCTTTATCAAAGTGAACAGGGGGTTGGTTTTGGGCGACGAGCCGTGTTCGGATCGGCAGTCCACAGAAAACGGAGTTTGTCGGACTACGAATGTACCGTTTCTTTTCTCTGTTTCCGCTCCCACTTAATACCTCTGCGGATGACTGACTTGGGCGTTGAGTTTTCAACGTTTTTGAGCCTGTACGATGTATGGACGTGGGGGAAATGCCAGGGTGGCTCGGTCTCTCGTTTTGGGCGCAGCTACACATAACCTGGCCATTGTTATTGTTCGTATCCACGAAAACAAACCCCACGCTTCAATCCCACGCTTCTCACCTTGCCCGGAGCAACGATGCTCACCGACTGATAGCCTCCTGTGTTGATGATTGCGTCTTTCGTTTACTATCGTCGCCATCCCCTCCGAGTTCGCTGCTGCGTGTTGCGTTTGTCGTGCTCTTGTCTGTTTCCATCACATCCGTGTTTGGTGCTACGATATTCCACACACGCCAACGACATGTCATTAGCTTGTCTTTTTTTGGTCACCGTTTTGAATCTCACGATGCGTTTTGTTTTGCTGCCAAGGCCTGTGTCATCCTCGCGGCCCTGATTACTCAAGCAAATGAAAGGCAAAGAACAGGTAAAGACCAACTTCTAAAGACCAACTTCGTGACGGTAGAGGGCAGGGCTAATACAGTCATCGCCTCACGATTGACAGAAGAAGCACAGAACACGCCCAGTCTCCAACGGCGGCGCAAAGGCGCAGGAGCGAGTGAACAGGTGGTCTACCAGAGGCTGATTTTGTGGCGCACAAAATGAAGAACGCCATGAGCCCACCATCCGAGCGTGGACTGATGTTATGTTTTAGTATGTCCAAACGGCCCCCAAAACTTGTTCCCAGATATCCGAGAAGGCGCAAGACCCAAGGGAATACGCACACACACACACAAATACAACTCGCAAGCACGCCAAAAAGCTGCCCATACACGTTCTACACCGACACATGGTCATTGGCCAATCACCGTAGCCAGACTGCCCACTCTCTGCTGGAGGCATCCTTTACAGTCTGCAGGCGAAAGGCAACAAATCACGGAGAAGACACAAGACAATCAAATACGAACTACATACTTTCAGTCACGGTGTGATGCAACAAGCGGTGTGATGAGGAGGTCATCTTTAACATCACCACCACCACTATCGACCAAGACAGTGCATACCACAGTCAGTTTCAGACAACAAACGACACAAAGCAGGCAACAGGCAAAGCCTTATCTCTCGTCTACTCTGGGGCTGATCTGTCTCTCCATCTTTCACTCCATCTCTCCATCAGGGTCTCCTCTTTTCTGTATGCCTACCCATGCCTTCTCCGCGTCTTCTTTTCCATCTAGCAGCGGCACATGTGCATCGCATATCCCCAGCTTTCTACGAAACCCTTTTTTCGACTTCTTCACAGGACTAGTCTCTCCTCACTTGACGAATGTTGCTCTAGACACGTATTGGCCTTGCCAGTTGACCGCCAACACGTCTCTTGAAACGATCCTCCGGGGAAGGCAGACGCTCGACACCCGGCTGGCCTATTTTCGAGTCGTCTTCTTTTGTCTGACACGCGTCCATATTGCCCTGTCCTCCTCTTCATCTCGTCTCCACTCTCCTTTGTTGTTTTGACTTCCTCCCTTGCATCTCCAACGCCCAGAGTGTATCCCCGCAAAACACACTGCATATTGTACGTGCACCGCTCGGACAGTTGGTCAAGTGACCTGCAGGGAATTTTAGACGCAGACGACATGATAAGAGCGACAGGCATCGTCTCAATGCAGATATGCATTTTGTACTAGTGTACAGCCACCTTCTCATTGTCGATACCATCCGACCCAATATTGTGGTTATCGACCTCGTGCAGCGGACGACTCTTCCTCTTCTACACCTCACACAGGAGTTGACACCAGGGCTGCTGCCCGACTGTCGAATCACCATGTCCTGGCACTGGATGCACCACTGGTTCTGGCTCGTATGGAAGGCTTGCCTGCCGAGTATTGTTGTATATTGGCCCCCTTCTCTTATCTTCCCCGCCCCTCTTGTCCGAAAGACTGCAGAACAAAGAAACCTGCAGGACGCGAACATGCGGGCGCACCGTGTAGGTGTGCGGCCAAGCGATATGGAAGCTGGGTTGGTTCTGGAGAGGCAGTGGTGGCATTGGGTAGCTGGCAGGCATTGCCCAGAGCGACAGAGGAGGGGAAAGAGAAACGGGGATAAAAGACGTCTGGAGAAAAAAAAAAACTCTGCCTCGCCCCATACTTTGTGCGTCTCCATCGCCAGTCCATCTCCATCCCTCCATATCTCCAGACCTCAACCCCGTCGTGGAGCAGATGGAGCAGATGGAGCACCGATACCTTTGCATGCAGGCAGACAAGCCTGATACTGCAAACTCTCTCTCCACACCCTCTTTTCACACCCCTTCGTACCGTCGTTTACGCAATATCGCCCACAGGATTATCCACCAGCCCCACAGCCGTGGAGGCCATGCAGCAGAGGAGATTGTCAAGATGTGTTGAACAAAGCGAGTATTGACGCGAGAGTATCAAGAGTACCGTGTGTCCGTAAGTACTTGAGTACAAATCGACAAAGACTGTTGTTGGCAAGGACACAGCAGTATGGCAACAAAGGTACACATGACGGGGTTTGTCCTTGGCCGATCAGACAGAAACAGACGGACTTGACAGCCAGGATGCGAGGTACGACGTTGCTGCCAAGGACATCTGTCATTCTGATCGGTGCAGCACGTTGGGAAACGTCGTTCAACGACAGAGACCTTTCTTTGACATCCCAAGCTCGTTTGCCCGATTGACGTCTGGCCGTTGCCGTCGTCGTAGCTGGTTTCTTGCTCCCAGCCTCCGCGCAAAACGCATTGACTGAAACAGGCATGTGGCCGACGATACAAAGAAGGAAAGAAACGCCGAACACGGTTTTAGGTGTATTTTAGCCAGAGGCGAAAACAAGCAAACAATACACTACGTGGGCCATCTGTCACGTCGTTCTTCGATGGCGTCCGCAGTGGCACCGACGCCGACACCGATCGTCGTGTAGACGTAGCATATATGGACGGCCTTCCATTCTCGTCTCCGTTTCGACGTTTGGCGGTGCGCCCATGTCGTTGTTCCTTTGGCCGTCTATTTCTCCGTGCCGGTCTCGGCCGGTCTCGATCGCTCTGCTCTCTTTGTTTGAGTCTCGGGCCTTTGCCCCATATCGCGGGGCGCTTGAGACCGGAGCAGAGATCCAAAACCAGAGTCGGCGAGCTTGGCCAATGCACGACCCTATCTTTACGCTCTTCGTCTCTCCATCTTCCACTTGTGGGCCCATCACACAAGCCTCGCCTAAGCCAAGACAATAGACGAAAGAAAAGACCAGCAGAGAGGCGAGAAACGACCAGATGAGGTTGGATGTCGTTCTACATCGGCATCCAATGCCTCGATGTGCAGCAAACAACTCCACAACTCCACACAGGATACATTACATAACAACGCAAAGTGACTTCCCAGTTGCCTTGCCGGACGCTATGTAACATGGCGAGATGGTTGCAGATCCCAGGTGGAGATTGTCAGATGCTTGTAGGATATGAAAATTGTAGGATGTGCAGTACTGTGCAAGGAATTACACGCAATGGAGTTCCCGATTCAACACTTTTGAAGGGTTTTCATGCATTCGCTTATTGGGCTGGCTTTGCCTGCTTTGCGCCTAGGGGTGGCGAGAAACCGTGTTTAGTCTCAGGGGATGGCGTGCAGTGGTGTCGTCCAAGAATCCAAGAATGCGGTGAAGGGTCTTCGGTTCTGTTTTCCTTTTCTGAAATCACAAAAGGTGGAAAGGCTGAGAAACGGACTCGAGATGTTGGCAGGACGTTGGCAGGACGTTGGCAGATGGTCGATTGTCGTGCAGATGGTGCAGATGGTGCAGATGGCAGTTTCGAGTTTGCTTGGGCAGCCACTTGCATGCAATTCTGGTGCAGTTGTGAGACTTGCATGTGCAAAGGAGGCGCTGCATGGCGTGCGAGGCGTGCTTTACATTCGTTGTCTGCCCATGCCCTCCTACATTTAGATACATAGTATCTTACAATCGACGTCTCTCGTTGCCAAAGCAGAATAGATCTCCGGTCCTTGCTCCGGGAAATCGTTGGTGGCGAGATGGAGGCGGGCTACGTTCTATTTGTCTGTCTTTTAACGTTGCAACATTTTGTCGCTTCCTCTCTTGGCAGACTGAAATATTCGCTGAAATAAACGCAAGGACCCGTCAACGTTGTGGTTTGAAGTATTGTCAAGTATGTCGTCCTCCGCAAGTCGATGTTCGTGTCAGAAATTTCAAGTACATCACACCTTTACCCATCCCTGTCTCCCTTGTCCTGACCACCTTTTCTTTATTGTCCTACTCTTGTCTTCCCCTCTTTCTCCTCCTCTTTGCTCCTTTTCCGCCCTCCACCTCCTCCCGCCACTTTCGTCGAACGGGGTCTGGAGCACAGTGATCGACAGATGGGCATGTAGAAAAAGAACAAAGTGAATCAGAGCCAAGAAAAAAAGAGTACAGGCCAGGGGCAAAACGGAGAACCAAAAGAAAGGGACGAGAAATACGGCGACGCGACCTCACGTCGCATTTCAAGGGATGCATGGAGATTACAACAATTACAACAATTACAACAATTACAACAATTACAACAGTTACAACAATTACAACAATTACAACAATTACAACAATTACAACAATTACAACAATTACATAAAATATCTCCGTACGTCGCGCGAATGCTCCGTCTAACCGCACTCTGCAACAAACCGGTCAGCGTCTTCGTTGGAGTTGACGGAGATGCGCAAAATTGATACTGTGATCGTAATTGACGCTGGGCCAACTCATTTCCTCCTCTCGCATACGTGACGCATGAAACCACCTTCACATCATCTTGGACGTATATTTTATCAATTTGGCGAGCAATTGCCGTCAAGAAACGAACAACCGCCTGCAAAGACCAAGTGTCGTGTCCTCAGGAGCACCGTTTCTTGCGCCCTCTTTTTCTCACCAGCTGCGAGTAGATGGAGGACAAAAAAACGATGCACTAGATAGATGCGGCCAAGAACATGAGTGGGTGGCCCGGAGGAGGCCGCGGAACGACGATGGCGAGAGCCTTGCCTGCATTTGCAGCGTTGTGTATGTAATTTCGTCCGCGTGATAATATCGGCGTGATAATATCGGCGTGATATATCGGCGTGCTATATCGGAACCCAGATTGTAGCCGTTCCAACAAGACAACGCACAGCCGGTGAACCAACATTGTGGTGGGCAGAGGAGGGGAAACCAAACACGCAATGTGCAATGCAATATCAAAAGTGAAAATCAGATGCATTCAGGCAGCTTGGCGTGCTGGATGGCGTGTGGTATGATTTGTGCAAGACAGCACCGTCAAAACTGTCCACCTGCATGCTTGGCCATGCTTCCCATTTACTGCCAGCGATGACAGCCTCGTGATATGCAAGCATTCATGGCCGGCATTATCCGTCATATCAACGTTGAGACGAGTATCGAATACCGCCGCTGCTTGTATCGGGTATATTTATATTGTGTATTTTGCTGTTTCTTATTAAATGCAGTCCTTTGGTCCTCTTTGGCTTGCATATGCATCTGCATGCAGGCATGTCGAACAAACCCCGAATGGCATGATCCTGTATGACGGTGAGATTTGATTACCATGGACTCTGTGCTTCATTCGCCGCTCCCCGTGAAGACAATATTTCCTCGATGAGAGAGGGAGGCCGAGGAGAAACAAGGAGTAGGCAATGTGTTTTTGTTGTCTTGACAATAACGAAAATGTCGATTTCTGGCATGGCATCTATAGGTCCGCCGTCACAGCCGTTCATCGCCATCGGAAAACATCCAAGAGTCAGTCACAAGGCAGCGTTCTCGGCCCGGATCCAATGCCGCGATAGTCGTCAATGTTGAGATACCACAGTCTCCCTCTCTGTCACAAAACCCTCAGGTCTAAAAACGTATTGATCGATGGCGGCCCCCCGTCGTCTGCTGTTATTTCAATGCCGTTGTTGGGACATGATGTCCTCATTTTCGTCAGGGCATTGTTCTGTCAACGATTTCACCGCGTTTCCCTCGGGCTGCCTGCGTTGTGCAATGTACTTTGCAGAGACATCAAGTAGTAGTTTTCCGATGTGAAGCTGTCTGCCAATTATCAACTATCAATTATCACACCGCCCCTACATTCAATCTACAACAAGAGTGAATGGGAGGGGGGTAGCTGCAGCTATGCACACGCTGCCACCATGACTGGGGTTTGAGGGTGTGTGGCAGCTGCAGAAACAGCTTTGAATTTCAAGAATGTGTTGCAGAAGAGGAGAAACTCGATCTCGTTTGTCGCCCACAGAATTGAACGCGCAAGCTGTCTCACACCATACGGAAATCAACCACCAATCCATCTCACCGATGACGTGACAATCCGCAGTAAATGCTTTCCTAGTTTGAAGATGGCCGAATGAAAAAAAGCAGTAAAAAAATAACTCGACGACAGTGAACAATGCACATTGACAGATTCCCTGTGTTTAACATCCAAGTTCTGATGAATCTGGTAAAGACCCCGACAAGACCCTGGAAGGATTGATAAGAAGCGACTGCTCGTCGTATCGCGTACTTTCCAAATCTTTTGCCACTGGTAAAAACAGGATGAATCCTGGCACTTGGCGATAACGTTCATGATACGAATGAGTGACGCACAGCAGCTTGCCTGCTGGCCCTCGTATGGCCAAATGCAAGAAGGAATGCCGTTGCAGCCTTTGCTGGTTCTGCCTACGTACACATCTTGCCAAATGCACGTCGATACACTCTTCTGTTTCTGCAAACCCTCAGCGTGCCTTCAATTCTGTTTCTGTTTGTATTGCAGTCTGCAAGCCCTGTCTGCAAGCCCTGTCTGCTGTTTCATGCCGGCCGTGAGGCCAAGAACCACTCAATACGCCGCCCAACAACGCCGTACAAATCCGAAGGAAGAACTAGAACGAAGAACAAAACAATGAACAGAACAAGAAGACAAAGAAAAGAAGAAGAAAAAGATCCAAAAATGGTGTACACAAATAGTATAGCACAAGTTGAAACACGAAACACCCGTAATCGTAACAAGAACCAAGAGTACGGCTACCGTCCCACGACGGTCCGCGTGCTGCTGCCGCCGGCATCTGTGCCTGTCTCTCCCAGAAGACTGTTCGACACGCTGCTGCCGTCGGCCTCGTCGTGGCGCGGGCTTCGTTTCCGCCGGGGTGCCGCCTTGGTCGCCGCGCTCTTTGACGTGGTCGATGCGGCCGACGCCGCCATCCCCTGTCCTTGGCCTTGGCCCGCCTCGCCGCCGCCGCCGCCGTCGCCGTCGCCGTTGCCGCCTGGCCTTTGCCGCTGCTGCATTTCCAGCATCGACGCAAACAGCTCCACTCCCTTGGGCGGCCGGTCCATGTCCTGCCAGAGGTCCGTGGGCAAGAACTCGCCCACCTCCTGCCGGAAGTTGGCCCGCTCGGCCCGGTCCGCCTCGACCAGCCGCTCCACGGCGTCGCGCGCTTTGCGCCACACCGTCTGGATCTTGGCCTCGACGGTGCGCCGCCGCTCGGCTTCCAGGATCAGCGTGTCGTAGGCGTGCGCATAACCCTCGTAAAACGCGCGCAGCTCGTCCATGTCGGCGAGCCGGTCCGCGACGACGGCGCGCTCGTTGGCCCACCGCGCGGCAAACTCGGACTCGGCCGCGGCGTAGCTGCGCAGCCGGCTGCCAATGTCGTGGAGCACCGCCAACGCCTGGCCGGTCGCGACCGACGACGCGTGCGTCGCCTCGGCGTGCGCGTGCACGGCCGCAAAGGCCGCCTCGGCCGCGTGCAGGTCGGCGGCCATGTCGGCCACCACCTCGTCGACCTCGGCCGCGTCCTGCAGCACCACCTGGATCATCTCGGCGCGCTCCTCGGGCGACACGGGCTGCAGGGCGTCCTTGTCGGCCTCTGCGCCGTCCCCACCACTACCGCGGTTCCCGCGGCCTTCGTGCTCGGCAATCATGCCGGAGATGGACACGGGGTCCTGCTGCGGCGGGCCGCTGCCCGCTGCCGCCTTCCAGCGCGCCATCTCCAGGCCGCCCTCGGTCGTCTTGACGGCCGTCACGCACAGGTCAAAGTGGCGCGTCAGCGACGTCAGGTTCGTGGCCATCCGGTGGGACCGCTGCGTGAGTGTGGCCAGCAGGTGCGGCACGGGGTAGGGCGATGCGGCAGGCGCGTCGCCGTCGTCTTCGTCTTCCCTGCCCATTTCGCGGCTGCTGTCGCCGTCCTCCGGCACCAGAGGCAGCGGCGGCGGCGGCGGCGGCGCGGCCGCCATGGCTTTGTTGAGCGCTCGCAGGTCCGTGTCGAACCGCAGCAAGTCGCCGTCAAACGACGTCTGCGCCGCCTGCAGCTCCGCAATGCTCTGCTTGATGGCGTCCCGCAACGCCTCCACGCCCGCCTCGTCCACAAAGTCCAGCAGCGTCCGCGGCACCTCGCCCGCCGGCCGGAACACCGCCGCCACCGTCGTCGCCCGCAGAATCTCCATCGTGTGCTCGAGCTGTCCGTTGGCCGCGTCGAGCGTGCGGATCAGCATCCGGAAGTCGCGCCGGCCTGCATCGTACGCCTGGCTCATGCCCCGGCGGATCTGCAGGAGGATGGCCGCCTGCTGGCGGATGCCGTTCCGCAGAAATCCCGTCTTGGCCGCCTCGGCCATGGCCCCCGTATACAGCCGCCGCGCGTCCATCGCGAGCTCGTTGCTGCGCAGCACCTGGCTGATCGTGCCGAGCGCGCGGCGCGCGGCCAGCAAGTGCTCGACCAGCGTCTCGACGGGCACCGACGTCGACGAGGCGCCGCCGCCGTCGTCGTATCGGCTGTTGCGGCTGTCGTGGCTGCTCGCGTAGCGGCTGTGGTTGTCGGCATCGTCGTCAGTATGGCTTCGGTGGCTCCTGTAGCTGTGGTTGTCATTCGCGTCGTCGCCGCCAACGCTGCTGTTGCGTCGATCCGATCGCCGTGACCGTGAGCTCGCCTGTGATGGCGGCCGGTACGGCACATTTCCACGCCGGCCTGGCATAGTCAGTCGATGATGACTCTGAACAGCCTCGATGGAGATGGGATTGTGTTGCAAGAAGGTGAAAGGAACGGGGGCCAGGGGAGCTACAGCACGGGCAGCCTTGCTGTGGCCCCGCTTTTGATACGGCAGAACTAGATCACACGCTCACCGCCCGCGCATGACGTCGTTTGCAAGGTCACGTGCACTTCCAAAGACAGTGAAAACGACTTACACGACGACGATGTGTTGGATTCGCAAAGTTTGTGGACAATGATTTGTTTTATCGTTTTACATGTTATACGGTGGTTTGGGCCCGTCATGTTTTTAAAGAAAATATAAAACGAGTTGTTTGAGTATGTAGTGTTTATTTTTATTTTTATTTTTATTTTTAGTTTTGGATTTCTATTGAAAAAAAAATAATATAAGCTACAGAAAAGTACGTATTATGAACAACAGAAAGTAAAAGCAATTCTTGCCTGGCTGTAACTGTCATCCATGATGTGTTGTCCTCTTTCCCCTCCCCCGGTTAATTGTACTCGTCTCTACCAAGTTCGATGGCGTCTGTGTCGTTCGTCGTGACATGACGTAGGTATTTGGATCAGTAAATTGACAAGCATCTTCGTCTTGACGTCCATTGACGGAGACGGTGCTTGTATACCGTAGCAGGATCGTCTACGTATTGGAGCGTCCTGTATAGACCCTGTTAGGGTGCGCGGAATAATGACTACGTCTACCAGTAGAGTTTCGAGCAGTGACGTGCCCGGATTTGTAGTCCTCTGGAAAGTTCGCCAGAAGAGTGAAGGAAAATGAAGAAAGGAAACAATTCCAAAAAGTTAAAAGCAATATATTACCCCAGAAGGCCTTTGTGTCCGAGGCCGCCTCGCAGAAACAATGCTATGTAGGTACAACAAACTTGACGAGTGCCATGAAGGCGGGACGTCTCTTTGGCGTCAGATTCGTCGAACAAAGACAAGATCCAAATGTGAAACAAGAAATCAAACGCTTTTTCTGTCCTTTCTGTACAACGACTCCATGACACGAGGCTTAGAAGCTCAGAGACTCCGCCTCGGCGTGCTTGTTACGGTTCGTGTAGTCGACGACCATCTTCACCTTCTCCTTGGTGGCGGCCTTCTTGGACGGCTTCATGCGCGTGACGCGGCCGCGCTTGCGCTTGTCGCCAATCAGCTTCACCTTGTACTTTTTCTTCTTGCCATCGTCGTCGTCCTCGTCCTCGTCCGACTCCTCTTCGTCGTCTTCGTCGTCATCGTCTTCGTCGTCCTCCTCCTCATCGTCGTCGACCGAGCCCTCGCCAAGCCATTCTTCAATGTCCCCGACCTCCTCGTCGCTCTCGTCAAAGTCGCTGACGTACTCCACGTCGCCGCCGTCGGACAGGTCGTCCGCATCCTCACCATACCGCAGCGACTGGGCCTGCCGTGTCGCCTTCTTGGCCTTGACGCCCTCGTGCTCTGCCTCGAGCTCCTCCTCCTCCTCCTCGTCGTCTTCTTCGCTGCCCTCCTCCTCCTCCTCCTCAATGCCCTTGTCCATGTCCTTGTCGCGCGTCGCGCCGTCCTCCCGCTCCATCGCCGTCAACACCTTCTTCCAGATGGTCTCGCTCACATTGAGCGGCTCGTGGCCGTACGTGCCCGACCGCAGCCGCTGCAGCAGCTCGCGCTCAATCGTCTTCTCCAGCTGCGCCGCCGACTCGGCCTTGCGCTCGCGCGCCCGCTCGCGGTGCCGCACCTTGGGCGCCAGCTTGGCCACCGTCGTCTCGCCAAGCCGCGCCTCCTCCTTGGCAATCTTGCGCATGCGGATGGCGACCTGCGTGAGGCGCGTGAGGCGCTGCTTGTTCTTGTGGATCAGGAACTTGGGCCAGTAGATGAGGCGGTCGTCGATCTGTTGCAGGGCCTCGGCGTAGTTTTGGGAGAGGCGGATGCGCTCCCAGAGTTTCGACGGGAGATGGGCACGCTCGACGGTCTTCATGTACAGGTACAAACGGCCGGCTGGGCAGCAGAGAAGGGGCTGTTAGTGTCTGGTCTCGTGCCCTTTCTGTCTGGGAGTGTTTTTCACATACTCTCTGGGTTGGCGCGGACGGTGGCATATCGGGAGTTGGCCAGCGGACAGGCCTGCCGCGAGCAGAAACCTGTGACGTTGTATTCATTGTGGCAGAAGTTCTGGCCGCTCGGTGCTCTATGACAGGTTGTTAGAAGGAGACAAGGGCGAATCGGTGCGATAACGTGCAAATCCTAGCAACAGAGTGGCACGCACTTGAGCTTGTACGAGCAAAACTGCTTGTCAATAATGCCCCAAATAATCTCGTCGGACGCCATCGTCGGTTGTGGCGGTCCGTGGCCCGTCGATCAAGAAAGAGTCGGTCCGCTTGTTCGGAGGGGAGGGGAGGCGGTCGTAGGGAGAACTGTTGTCGAAAGAGCAACGAAATCGACGGTGCAGCAGAAAATTAAGTTTCGAATATGGCGATGTGTCTGCCGCAGCATAGAGCAGGAGAACAGAAGGCGAAAAAAATTGAAAAACGAGCTAAAACTTTTTGGCGGTGGGCCGTTCTGCCGGGCGGTGTGTCAGGATGAAAACAAGTGGGGCATGTCTGTGCTCTAAAGTGGAAGGCACGGAGACGACGGAGGCTAAAGCTCAAATTGGTTCACTAAATTTCACCGGAACGGCAACCGCGACTTACAACAGCCAGTGTTGACGTTATGGGGCTCGCAGTGCCCTTTCCTCGTCATAATTACGTTTGTAGGTTATTTATAACATTTTATTTACTGCACGTATTTCCCCTTCCAGGGGTTTGGATATGTAACTGTGCTTAGGACTGTTTCGAAACATGCACATGGCTCCCGTTTGAGCCTCACAAAGGGCGAGCGGTGGAAAAAGTGACGCATCACTAGCTGTGCTGAAGTCAGAATGCTGCTGGTCAGAGGCCATACAATCCTGCCAATAGCAGACAGAAGACAAAGATATGCATGCAGTAATGAACAAGAATCTCCGTATTTTTCACGGCACTAATGCGGCCTGGCATGAGAACGTGGCCAGAGCTGACGGAGAACTGCAGGACGATTCACGGACAATGCAAGCCATGATGCACTCCTACTTGACGATAAATCATGAAACAGCTGCTCAACGTGGCGGGATCTGCTCCGCCATTGTTTGGCTGCAGCTCCGTTCTCTGGTGGCAGTTTCAAGTACTTTGTCAGTCCATCACAAGTGACCATCAAGCCTCTCTGCCGGATCTGCCAATCCTTTGTTGAACGGCTTCCTCTTTCGCGAAGGAGAAGAATGAAACCGACAGAGAAGACTGTATAGAATGAAGAAGTGACAGAAGCCGTAGCAAGACAACATGGAGAGAGTAAAGTTAGCATGGTATCGGAAGCGTCTTTCTGGTATAAAGGAACAGCATATCTCCTTCTCCCAGGACATGCTGCTTTCCTTCAAATCATCCAAGCAAGACCACACGAGAACACGAAACACCAAACCATCAATGCATTGCCTCAATACGTTACCTCACAGTCCAGAATTTCAGAGGCCCAGAACTCAAGGCAAGGCACACTTCCTTTGTCGTCTTCACGTGAAGCAGACTGGCTAACACAAGAATCACGACAGACACAATGGCCCATACCGACCACCACTGCCCCGGTCGCAAGGGCAAGAATGGTTGCCGCCGCATTAAGCTTGGCAAGCTCTCCTTTTGCCGCGTGCACCAGATTGCGTGCCTTGTGCACATGTTCTACCACATGCGTTGGGAGCCGTGCGCCAAGTGCCGGGGCAACGACAGAGTGAAAGCCGCGGCGGACGAGCCTGCCAAAGCGGTCAAGACGACGAAGAAGCGGCAGTGGTCGTTCTGGAAGGGCGGCAAGAAAGGTGGGAAGAAGAACTGAGTCGACGGTCGAAGCCATGCCCCAGAGCATAAGAAACATCACTACCTTTTCCTTAGCTAGACAGACTGTGCACCTTTCGAGACGTGTTCACCTGGGTGGAACAAGAGAACATACTGTGGTGGAGGATATATTCATAGATTGTACCTAGCTTGAATCAATAAATGCGCCTCTCTATTGCGGCAATGAAATTCGTGAGAATATAATTTGCAGCTGCACTGTGGCATACTTGCTTACGTTATGGCTTCGGACCATCGTACCTTCCTATCTATAAATATTCTTCTAGAAGACGCAAGATGGAGAGTGAGTACCTTATATGGAATGCGCCTTGTGTATCACTACTTCCGTTTCATCGGTAGTGGGTGGCTCCTTCCCGAAACGCTGCACTATCGTAATGTCACCATGTTGTCTCCTTTTCCTTGCGGCTTTCTCCATTGCCCCAAACAGAAAGAGCGATGGGTGGTTTCTATAGACTTGAAATTTTGCGTCTATCGTTCTGTGCAATGTCTATCCATCTACTCTCACAGCTGGCCCATCACTATCACAGCCCCCTCCATCAATCGTTGCTCACTTTGACCGTGTCCGACATGTCCGGCACATTGAGCTTGCGCGCCTCTGTCAGGTCCTGGAGTCCTGTCCGCCGGAGCACTTCCACTGTCGCGTCATAGTGCTCCTCCGCATACGCCTCGGCGTCGTGGCCCAGCACCCACGCCTCTCGCCGCAGGCGCATGGCCTCCGGGTTCGCGCGGATGGCGTCCATGTCGGCCTTGTGCCACGTGTCCCGCGTCGTCTCGCCCGTCTTCTGGGCGGCCCGCACGTGCTCGTAGCGCAGGGCCTCGAAGGCCGCAACGGCCTCGGGCACATGGGCGGCCGAGCCGGCCCGGCGCAGCGTCACACCGAGCGTCACGCCGTCCTCGACGGCCTGGCTGGCGCCCTGGATGGAGGTCGGCAGGAACGGATGGGCGGCGTCGCCAAGGAGGGCGATGCGGCGGTACGGGCTGGTCCAGGTGGGCAGCGGGTCCCGGTAGACCAGTTTCCAGTCGACGAGCGGCTCCGGCGTGAGGTCCAGGATGCGCTGGACCACGGGCTCCCAGCCGGCCAGCACCTTGCGCGCATCGGCCACGGGGGCCTCGAGCT